GCAATTTGACGCCGTCCGGTCTTTTGTCTTCTCAAAGAAGTTTCAAAGACATCCCTCCTGTGTTTTTCGCTGTTGAGCAAGCTGATGAATTTTAAGGTCGTTGTTAGCCCGACAGGAAAGCGGAACTTTCTGCATTACCATAAGTGAATTCGTTTCCTAAATGATGTAGGCAAGGGGTGGTTTTAAGGTGATTCTCATCTGCACAGTCAGGAAATGCATCCTTAATTTCCGTTACTATCCTCTATTTTCAAAATGGGACTCTTTGGTGAGGTTATCCTACTGTGTGCCAAACAAAATTGTGATTGTTTAGAAATATACTTGTGTTCTGAGAATTGTCGCATTAGGAGGTATGAAAACTATTATATTTACCGCAAAGGGAAAAAGTAGTTCGGACCATCGGGAAAACGTCTGCGTGAAAACGTCGATTTGACTCAGTCATCAGTAGTCAGAAAGCGCGAAACGAGCAATTTCATCAGTGTTTATTTTAAATGCTTTTTTCTGCACACTATTTATTTATTTGTTTTGAATGATATTGGTATTTTTGAGGCAGGAATATATAAAGACGTTACTAACATACAAAATGTCAGTTTATTTTACTCATACAGAACTCGTTAGCTTATATGACCTTTGTACCCATCTGAACTGACGTCAAATTAAGCTAATGCCTGTTCTGTCGAAAAAATTTTTAATCACCACGTTTATGTCATCTGTATAACATGGATGTCGCATAATTTTGTCGTGACCCTAAAAATTTTGTGGAATATTTATTATCCTATGCCTAAGGAAGTTTCCAGGATGATGTGGATGTTTCCTCGCCTGGGCAAGAACCAATGAGAATGCCGGGTGCAGCTGAGCAAAGAAACGCATAACTTTTCTTACGTTTTCTTTAGAAGATAATTTTTATCATGGCTCACTTTTTTCTGTTTTAATCAGGGCAACATTGCGAATACGTGTTTCAAACCGCTTTTTGCCCGAAGGAAACCTACGTTATGACCCTCATGCTCACATAGAGAGCTCCGCATTAGCATTTGCTACAATAAGCGACGTGGCAATGGAAATTTATTGCAAATTGCAAACATTTTTGCACTTTATTCGCTTAAACGGTTTTGTCGGCAAGCATCCGCAGATCCAACTTACCTACAAATATCTATTTCACATTAAAATTAGCTTTCATTGTCTTTTTTTTCCTCATGCATTTTTTGTAGAGCCGAGAAGGGGGTTAAGCACCTGCCCGCCTGCAAATGATGATCATAAGTCAACTCATTTTACACGGCTAAAATATCGGTTGGGCCTTCAGTGAAAATTTTCGTTTTTGTACAAGAGGCCTCAGACAGACCGCTGATTAAACTGAACTGAATAACATTTTGAATCTTACTGGATATCCTCGTTGAACTACCATAAATATTTAAAGCGAATACGTCAGTGCACGCATTTTAATCGCAAGTCTAAAGCCGAGTCTATGTTCGTTGCGCTAGTATAGAGCAGCTGAAAGCGGAGTAGTTCTCAGTATCCTCACCGATAAGTATAGAAATTGATAAGTGTCCAAGTCGATGGAAAATTTGCAACTTGAGGGGTCAAATGACCTCCTTAAAAACAAGCAATATTCAATATAACCGGCGGAAAAAAGCCAAAATCTGTCGCGCGCTTCTCCCAAACAAACGATGTACATTTAGGTTAGAATAATTATAAACCGAATACGAAAAAAGGTGTTAAAACTGAGTCACAAGATGGAAAACTGTTTACTAAACCTATATGTACTCTAAAGACGTAAAAATTATACAAATGACACCCTTAGAGTGTAGACTTGGAAATATATGCCCTTATCAACGCAAATAGCCGCCGGATATTGCCCCCAGAAGTAAAATATGAGAAATAAATATCGCAGTAATTACTTTTGTCGATAGGATTTTTCTAGTCTGGCAGTGTGGGCTCCATTCGTTTTATTTCGATGGAAAATCATCAAATCGAATTCAAAAAATGGAAATTACTTTTAGAGATAAGATCGTCAGTTAAGATTAATATACAAAATTTCAGATAATATATATCTCAGGCTGAACTAAGATTTTTATTTTTCTCTTGGAAATGAAAAATATCTTTTCGAATCCCACGCATTTTTTTATTTTGGTAACACTTCTATATACTTCTTTCATGCTATTAACGTACGTTCATATCTTATTTTTATGTCCTCCACCGATCCTCTAAAGTTTATTTTTTACCACCGCGTCTTGGCGTTCAAAACTGAACTAGGCGAAATAACTTCGCATTTTCTCGTGTTTATAGTTGAACAGTGAACAATAAGTATAAGCCGTTGAATACTGAATTAACAATTGGAAAAGGTGACCGAAACAAGACAATAGTTTGGCGTTATCTTGTAAATTATATTTTCTTCGCGGGCTGAGCAAACTGTTTTTATCAGGCCCAACAGCTGCACAAAGAACTTGATCGACAGTTACATCGTCAGTGAATCGTGTATTGTGTAATTTCGTTAAAGAATTGCAACTTTGCAGAAAAGGCTCAAAGAGGCCGAGCTGAAATGTCAACTTTGCTTCTACTGTTTGTCCCAGGCGCTCAACCAGCATAATGACCCGTTCAAATTTGCACCAATTTCTTGATTTTGTAGACAGAAAATCCCAAGCTGTGTGGATATCTTGCCCTTAATGTGTTTGAGCAGATTTCTTCTTAGTTGCTTTCCTTTGGTTTCGAAATAGCGGCGAGCTGCTTGTGTTTTCACAAGGAGTTTTTTCGTAGTGAGAAAGCTTTACAATGTCTGCTTGTTCTAAAATTACAGCACGTGTAATACTGTTTCGCCTTTTGTCTTGCAATCGAATTGTTTAATTACAGTACTGTATACCCCACCATTCTTTAAAATTTTATCTACATTTTGTGATTATTTCACTCTTATATTTCGAGTTATTTATATAACAGCGACAAGTTCATATAAAATGTCCCTACCCACTGTTTTTAATATTTGATTTCTTTTTTAAAAAAATGATTTCACCAGGACATCGGAAGAGAAAAAACTTCTATGAGTAGGAGTAGTTTTTATCAGCAATTTCCCTTTTCCGTGTATTGACGTAGATGAAGCTTTACTTTGATCCATATTTTCCTTTAAGTTGAATAAGAAAAGCCAAATACATATCACCAAGACTAGCTCAATTTCCGCTCACTTCTTAAAGAGGAAAAGTTATTATTAAAATACAGGATGTTGCCAGTAATCTAGTTTTGTTCTGAGAAATTACATTCGAAGTCTAATTACTGTGGCCCCACGGCAAAAAAACTAAGTGGCCTTTTTTTGAAAATTATCTTTTTATAGTTGGCACGCTCTCAAAACCTCCAAAAAAGTCTCACTAAGCTCGAGAAAAAAATTTTGCAGCCGAAAATATTTAAGCACCCCCGATCTGAAAATTAATTTTAAATTTTGCCGAAAACAGTGAAGGAAACTTTTAAAAAGATCAAAAGATTGGTGTTGTTGAGTTGACAATAATTTACCGCTTTTATTGTGCTTTCTACTTATATACGAAAACCGAAATTGGTCCGGATATCCTGTCTTCGGAGAATTGAACCAGCTGCTTTTAATACACGGTGAACGTATTTTTGTTTTGAAAAGTCTCAAGTAATTATATGTAATATTTAATCTATCTATTCTTCGCAACGTTAATAACGCTGTATTTTTATCTTCTCTCGCAGACTTAATTGGAAAAAAAACTTTTCGCTTTCGCGTGGCGCCATTAAATTGCACGAACTGCACTGGTGCAGGAGTCTGTTATAACTGTTTGAGCGAAGTTAAACGTTTTATTTCTGCTGTGCTGATGAAATAAATTGTCCGCGGCGTAGCAGTGTCATGTGACAATTCTGCAGTAAGCAGCTGCTCAAATTGGAAAGGTTTTTATGGGAATCTGCACCTGTCAGTTTGGAAAATAAATACTTCATCAATAACTTTATGAAAGGACATCACGGGCGACCCGAATAAAGTGCTTTGGGGCGGATATGTCCAGCTTAAAACAAATAAGTTTCGTCTTGGCAAATTATTGCGTAAATGTTAAAAAGCACGCTTTTATAGGTGGGTCGGGCTGTTGGTTTTTATGTGTATGCATTGCGCGCGAGCCTTTCTTCAGACAAACAGCGCTTTTTTATTGTAAATTCTGGCCTACTTCACTAATGACGTTGTTGTTAAGATTACGACAACGATGTTTGTCAAACGCGAAAGAGCCGAACAGATATCGAAATTATCTACTCCGGAAGGCTTTTCTTATCCTATTGGCGGCACGTGTGAGAAAAGGAGGCATTTTCCCAAACAACTCGTAAACAATTGAGCAGATGTCTGCTGAACTCGATCGAGTCAAATTGATGGCCTATAATGCCTGTCCAAATTTAAAAGCGCTCTACTGACAAGAGAGGAAATTGAAAGTGATTTATGAGAGACTTAGGAAGAGAGATGCTGAAAACAAGGAACTGAAAAATTGCCTCTCTTTCTTGCAATATTACTGCACTGCATTTCATTTTACCTAACCAATATAGAAGATCAAACAGTAAAAGCTAATTTTGACAAAAAATCGATCGTTTTGTGAACTCAGCTGTCTTCGACCTCGCAGTGAAAACAGGGGTGTGCAAATCTAGCAAAGATACGATAAGTTAGCCAAAAGGCAAAGCTTTTATACAAATTTAGTGGTTGTCGTTACAGGTGCAGGCCTTATTTAACATAACAATAGAGCCGATATAAATGTAAAACAAAAGTTGATAGCGGGAAATTCTTCATAATTAATTGAACTGTGTCAGCGGAAACCAAGGTTCGGCAACGAAATTAGTCATTCAGTGATGTCGTTGCTCTCCGAATGCAGGTAAGTTTGCAAAAATCGAACTAAAAGCCAGTTACTGGAACTTTTCCAGCTACGAAAAAGGGCTCTACGCGAAAACAATCGCCAGGGAAAACTCCGCATCTTGCAAAGCGCGGATTGCTTTTGAACGTCATGACGTAACACCAGGTCGAGGCTTAAATCACAAATGCAATGGCTGGTTGTACGGACGGACGGTGTGTTGTCGTCGAATGTCCCGTGTTTTACTCTGGTTAATCCGACCACATAATTTCATCGTCTAATGTGGCACAAGGGCGACAGTGGAATGAACGCGATGAAGGCGAAATCGCTCTGAAAGAGCCTTCCGGAATGGACGAATTTAACTTCGCGCTCGGAGACGTTGTGCTGGCTGAATGGGAAGACAAACTCTTCTACGCGAAAATTCAGAAAATTGACCGGGTTACTGGGAAATGTATTTTAATCTTTGACGACGACTCTGTTGAGGAATGTCCATTCTCAAAGATTCACAGTGGTTTGTCCTTAATTTTTGTGCTCTAATTTTTCTATTCCCTCACGAAAAAATCGAAAAATCGGCGATCAGGCGTCTTCATGTATGACACACGGATCGCATTTGCTCTCTCCTCTTGATGTGGGAAGCAATTAGCGCGTTTTTATTTTGCCTCGGTAAAACTTCCTTTACGTAATATTGTAGAAGCATTGTAATTGGATTTCTTTGTGTTGGTTAACGCTGCTTTCTGTTCCCTCGTAGTGACAGAAACGACAGCAGAAATTGTGTGTATTATTTGCAAGGACGGCACTTCGCTGAAGCCAAACGAAATCGTGCTATGTGACAAGTGTGGAATTGGTAAGTAATTCTTCCGCGTCTGTTTTGTAGTTTCCACTTTCTGTTAGCGCATCGCTGAGACGGAAGGAACTCGAAGCTTTCGTAACACTGTAATCGCTTTCTTGCCTATGTGTGTTTTAATATGTGATGTAAAGAAAGGTCTTCCATTAAAGATCGCGGAGAATCCACCTGCTTCAGTGGCGCTGTTGTTGTGAAATTAGTAACAAGACGGGTTTGCTTGCAACGTGGAATCATTTAAACAATAACTGCGTAAAACTGAACATCTAAACTTTTAGTTTTTCTTTGCTTAAAGCGATTTCAGCTAAACAGATTCAACTGAAGGAGTAAATTATTCAGCCTAAACAGTTTGTAAACGATTTTTATTTCGCGGTAATGACTTCACATTTCATGTTTGCGAGGAAGTCTTCTGTTGTCTGGTGAGATATTACCAAAAAAAACTTGCTTGTCATGTGCTAGTCAGACTAAAATTCCAGTAAACTGGCGAACCGATGTTATGATAAAATTAAAATAGCAGATATGAGATAGAACTGATACAGGTCCTCTTTTATTTATGTGATTGTATTGATTTCAAAAAAATAAGAATATTGACGTAGATTTTCAATTTGCTCGAGTCAGACTTGTTCAAAAGAGCGCGATGAGATGACAATGGTATCCAAGGCAAGTGTCCGTGATCAGTGCAGAATTCAGCTCAGCCTCGGAAATGGTTGCCCCGAGACAAACCGATTTAAAGACGCGCAAAGTTTAAGCTCATTCATTTTGTATTATAGTCGCTACTATAGTGTTTGATAAGTTGGTTGTACGTTTCATCAGTGGCTGCTGCAGTACTGAACTTTAATGTAACCGTGGAATTCATTATTCTTTCCAGAAGAGGCTTATCGCTTACACGTTACGGAAATCGTTTTCAGGTGTACAGTGTTAACAATGTCTGAAATACTTTGCAGTTGCAAGGCATTTTTAAGTTTTCGTTAATTATTCTTTTTCTGTCATGTCAGGTGACAGCCCTCGCGCGCAAGATGATACAAACTTGAACAATGTTCATTTTGTCTCCTTGATCGAACGTTCGATCCATTATCAGAATTCAACTTCTTCTCGCTTTGACGCAAGCATAATTGGAGCTCACGTACATTTTTACGCTTTATCTATTTTTTTTTTGTTAAACTCTTATTTTTTGATATGGCACCCTTCACAGCATTTATGATATAGTGTTAGTCGCATCAGGTCTATTTTTAACAATTGTATTCCAAAGTCCCAGTGATAAGTTGATTAGTTTCTCAATTGAACATATAAAAACAGTAGGGAAAGCTTGGTATTTCTGAATGCCGACTGCGTTGAGTTATTACCTTGTGTTTCAAATGCCTTATTAATTTAATTTGTGGTCACAGTGATTTTTGAAAAGAGAAAGTAGTTTTCTCCAAAAGATTTTAGTCCTTCTTCTCATAGACTGTAGCATTTTCACTATTTGACATTTATTATGTTTCACCCACCCAGTTTTAGAGTTAATATGATATGACTGGCCAGATCAAAGTCTTTCTAACACCTGCTGTGTCTGTAAGCATTTATTATGTTCAGCTGGAGACTAGCTACTGTGCCATGATAACTGTACAAACTGTAGTAGAGGCTTGTCTAACAAACAGGCCAAAATAAAAGCAGCTATTTTTTAAATGAAGTTTGCTGCTTTTAAATAACCTTTTTTAAAGTCAACTCATTCTAATAATACACAACTCACGTTTTGGTTGTGATAGTGATTGTGCTTTTAATGATGTTTAATGTTTTGATGTTCACTTACCTTGATTATAAAGCATCATTATCTGTACTAAACTGTATTCAAATGCATTTAACATACATAAGAGTTCATTCAATCAATATTGAATATATTTTTTGAGATGTGCCAAATGATTAAGGAAGCTGTTAAAATTGAGAAAGATACTGGAGAAATTGAATTATAGACTTTGTGCAGTAAAGTAAGCACTTATATGTGCTAGCCGGAGAAATTTTAATAAAACCATATGACTGGAGGTAACCAAGGTTGGAGTGGTTGGGGGAATGATTTTGTCATTCATTCTTATAGAAATTCCAGCCCAGAATTACTCAAGGGATAATATTTAAGAATAATAACTACAAAAATAATAATGATAAGAATAAGAATAAGAATTTAAAATATTACGAGAGTTGCTGCAGACCTTAGAAAACTGATTGTTAGCTGATCAACATCCCATCAAGAAAACCTGGGTGAAGATCAGTCACTGGTGTGTTAGTGATAAAAAAATAACAACAAAAATAATATATTTAAACATTTCTTTAGTTCCCTATCCAAAAGCTATCAGGTGCTTCACAATATAAGCTTCTAAAGTGAAAATTAAATTGAATTAGAAAGGAACTAAATTGCTGCCTTATTCAAGACAAGAAAATAATGAAACAACTGTGATGAATAAAAATAGTAAATTTTAGGCTGAATGAAGTTGTAAGAATTTTTCTCTTGGTGATAATATTACATGTAGGTTGACCTAAAAATTTTAAATGCGTATGATTTTTGTCAACATTTCAGGTACAAAAAGTAAGATCTCAGCAACCGGCCCAGCCAGCCTTAATATATAAATACATCAACATTTTTATTATGGCATATAGGAATGAGGCTTGCCTATTTATTCTGGCTTACTTGTGAGCAATGCTGTTGTAAAGTGCTTCATTAAAATGTGTGACAGCAAAAGATGGAAAAAAGAGACTACAAAATCCTTCAAAGGCTTGAACTACTCACTTGCCTTGAAGCAATGAGCATGTGGAGTTTTAAGTGTTTCTAATTTTCTTTGCATTGTTACCATGTCTGCTAGACACTTTGTCTCTCTTACTAAAAAGGTGAACTCAGGTCTGTATAGTGTATCACCAAAAGCTTGCCTTTACTCTGTAACCTGTTCTTCTTCTTATTTTTTTTCCTTTCGCTTTTTTCCGTTACCCCTGTCTTAATAGGCTGTTTCTAGACATTCATTTAAAAGTTTCTCTTACTAAAAAAGACATGAACTCAGGTCAAATTTATGCTTAGATTTTATTGTCAGTTAACCTTTTTTTAGAGAATTCATATTAATTTGCAGATTTCATATTAATTCTCAGTGTAAAAAGTTACTTACATTTTTTGTACATTTCCTGATAAAACACCATTTGACTTGCTGGACCCCTCCCCCCCCCAGTAAAAACACTGAGTATTTTGACCTTTCTCATTGCTAAATAATAGTTATCGGTTTAATTTTAGCATTTCCATTAAAATCTGACCAAATAATAATTACTGAGTACTATTATGTTTGTGGCTGACGTTATTGTTGATAAGATTTTATGTATTTGATGGGTAGTTTCTGCAATCCTTAAAAGCTCCGCCATTTCAAATAATTAATATAACTCAACTGAGAGTTAATATTGATTATATTGATTTAAAAACAGAGGATTTCTTGTAACGCCATATATATAAACACTAATATTGTCCAGATTGTAATAATTACCTATATTGCAAATGTCTTTAATGGCCATTGGTTATGAAAAAGGTGTACATTTTTCTTTGTTATGAGAAATGACTTGCAGTTTTCATCTACAATATACTGATATTACTGTAGAACAGGAGTACACCCATTTGTGCATTATTTTTCAGAGGAAAGTGTTATTTGGATAGGTAGATGTATGCACAAGGACAATAATAATTATTTTTACTGATTTGGGTAAACTTTAAGTCAGAAATTCTGTGTTGAAAGGCAATTTTGAATTGGAGTTAATTTAACTGCCTAAGATCATGAACATTTCATTATCAACATCTAAATTCTCCACAGTACACAATATCTCCTCTTTAACTTTGTTTTACATACTGCCATTTGTCTGTATTGTTCTGACCATGTCTAAAGTGGTATTAAAAATATGGATGGTAATTTAATGTTATTGTACTAGGAATATGTGAATCTTAAAAAAGTTTATGGACAGGCAAGGCTGAAACTGTCTTTTCTTACGTAGAGCCATGTAAGCCATGCGTATGTTCATATACATTAGTCCCACCCCCATTCCTGTGTTCACCTATAATGTATCAGGTGCTGATGCAAAAGAATATAGGGATGGGTGTCTTCACACAGGTGTCTTCATGCTGCACTGACTGTCCTTTTCTCATTGAATGACTCAAACTGGAGCATTGGTGTCTTGGGATAGGATGATAATGCATTGTTTCAGCCCACTGGTAGATCTATGGGAGAGGTGCGGGCACCCTAACTTCTTGACCAATAAAAACCAAGGCTTACAAAGCATAGGTGCCGAGATACGTTGTTTCAGTTAGAGAGCAAGGCCCCTCTTTATAATTATCGTAAGATCCTGGCCTACTGCTGCATTTAGTAGATCACCATGCTCCTGTCTTGTTTCTCATGATGTAGATTATAAGCTGAGAAAATTGCCACCCCATGCATTGCTTTTCTATCCTTATGTCTGAGGTAGAAATGTTTGATGACATCACACAATGGACTCTACAATCTTTCAGTCTACTATGAGTATCTACATGTATGCACTCATGACTTCTAACCTTGCTGGATAATTGATAGCTTTTAAAGCCCTTTGATTGTAACTATATCTTCCCCTTTATATTTGGCCAGGCAGCCATGTACGGTGTTTAATTTGAAATCAGTATTGAAGCTGTCAGCTTCAAAATGGTTCGATATCAGCTCTGTTAAATTCAGATGCAATTATCATTGAAATGACTTGGACCAGTAAAACCCTTCTGCAAGACTGTAAGTAGCGATGATGATGATGATGATGAAGCTGAATTCTAATTTCACTTTCTTCGTTTATTTTGTTTTATTCGATGTTCTGTCATGAAGAGCATTAAGAAAATCAAGCAACCCATTGCTAACTGTTTTTCTGACATAATCACGCTCGTGAGTCGTCGCATTGGATTTGAGTTCAAGGTTAATACACAGCAACATATTCCGTTTGGCGTCACCGGCCGAGATAGGTGCGGCAGTCAGACTAACATTAAATTTTGAAAGCGTCACCCTTTACTCAAAACATCAATCAAAGCGTTCGCGCTTTGTAGAATTGAGCAGTGCCGGCCTTTTTTTAAAGAAGCGGAGGCAGGATAAAAGTCAACTGCTGTATGGGTTTGTCAAATTCGTAAATTAGCTAGAACATGGGTTTTTCAGTAGTTCAGGGCGATTTATGTGCACAGCTGCTCTTTCTACTGTGAGTGTTTACCAACTGTGCAAACCTTGTTCTGGTAAATATTCCCTTTTTTGCGTAGCATTCGTAATGAACATTTCAACGTCTAAGCGGCAACCTTTGTAGGCCACAAATCTGAGGATAACAAAGTGTTCCAAGAGGAATAGTAAAGCGTTTGATGTAAACACCTAACTTCCTTCTTGGGAAGGAATCGCGCCCTGCCACGCAAACGAGACACGCTCGTTTCAGTAGTATTAGAAAGTGCCAGTCTTTGAACACATAAATTCTTCTTCCTGACGCCTACTTACAACAACAAAGCTTTCTTGGCTGCTTAGCGTTTTTAGCTGGTTGTGTATTTTTCAGATACTTGTAAATTTTTTCCGCGCTATTTAAACTCGCCGTTTGCTGTTTCATGGTAGTGATGCGCGCGCGCGTGTGGTATGCTTAAGAGGAGCCGTACACTATACAGCCTGCGTAGTTGGCGGTTTTTATTGTATGTGGTTTTTGTTTTGTGGTTCGTACGGTAAGCGATACGGCCGCGCTAAACAAAGCCCATCGTTTTCTCCTTTGACCTTGCGAACGTCCTTATAAATTCTAACCAAAAACGAAAATCACACCGAAAAAACCGCCGGCAACACACTTTATATTCGCCGGGATTCGGGCAGGCTGGTGTAGTTAGTCTAATAGCAGAGGGATTAAAACCCACGTGATATAGTCACAAATGAACATTGTAACTAAGTTTAGGCAGATACCAAGTTGAATTGTTACTCAATTTGTTTTTAGAAGGTCAGTCATTGATCGCATGCTCACCTCTCGGTCCGTGGAAACGGTCTAACAGACTATTAAAACTGTTTAAATGTGTTCAAAAAGACAATTTTTATTGTTTATATTCTTCATAAAAAATGACGTCAAAATGTTCAAAACTTAGCAGAGAAACCACTCGCTTTGTCTCGAGGTTTCCCCGAAAAAATTTTAAACATTCTTTTGTCATTTCTATATGTTCTATAAGAGATTAAAAGACGAAAGAAAATTGTTGTATATTTAATTTTACAACAATATTGGAAATTTAAAAGTCCATTTCCTGCGACTGATAGATGTGCTGGAGGAAAATACTGTAATGAATTAAGGAAGGTATTAAAGCAAAAGAGATACCGATTGGAGGTCTGCCAATGAGTATAATATCCCTCAGGCATGTTACTGTTGTGTAATATGGACTACTGAGTATGGCAGATATTAACAGCCGATCATTGTCTTGGGCCAGTATTCATTTTTCAGAGATAAATAGCCTAGAACGTTTAAATCACCGTTAAAGCAGGTGAGAATGGGGACGTGCTTTTGATAATCAGACGCTCAATGAAGTTTCTTAAAAAATGAGGAAAGCTTTTAAGATGTTTATCATAGGTGTACAACAAGCTGAACACGGAACTCGGGGAACAAAATTTTAGCGGTATCTCAACACAACAGTTGGCTATTTACATGCGAATTTTTCACTCTTTCTTTTCAAGATTTTGGGGTCCATCATCTCCCCTACTAAGGCTTAAGGTTATAAATACAACGATTGTTTGGGTTTAACTATTTTCCTTTGCTTTCCCATCCTCCCGTAACGATTTTTGCGCACAAACCGGTTTTTGATCTCTGACTGTTATTCAACGACTCTTTTTCGGGTGAATTATTGTACTTCCAATAACAAGCGAACTTGTTTTCCATTCAAAACCGCCCTGTGTACTTGCACAAAAGACCACCCTGACAAAGCATTGATACAATTCGTCTTCTTGTTATGTGATCACTGTCGCTTGAAACAAAAGCCCTTTTTTACCAAATAACGGCAGCAGTATGCGTGCACACATATTGAGGAAAATTAAAGTTCTTTCGAAGCGGTCTGGTTGGCATGGAAATCCGTCCCGTGTTATAATTATACATTAGTTCTCACACACAAGCACACTGTTGTGGCTGCTTTCGATCATTGTTTTAAGTTGCTGAGATATCGCGGGGTTTAGCTGATTTAAAAAGCGCTCACAGAGCACGGTGGATGCCTCAAAGGTAGGCTGGTTTTTGGACCTTTATTAGATTGGCTGATTTAGACCATTATTTTGTAGCCTTTACGCCTTTCTTGAAAATTATTCAAGCCGTAATTATGCTCTTTTAGTGTTGTACGTGTATTTGCGTGAATATTTACAGTTTGTGTAGTTCAGAAGAGTTAGTAGGTCAATAGTAAGTCGTAAGATGGGAGAAAACTCCATCCCTGCAGCTGCCGATGAAATCCGTGCTGAGTCTACTCTACGTAAGGCAATTATCTCCCGCAGCCCTTGCCAGCCATGAGCTTAAGCATTCAGCTCTAGAAACAATATGACAACTGACCCGGTGCTATTTGTACAAAATCTCCGACATTATGTGGCGTACGAAAACTGGTAGATATCATTATAACTTGTCTTATCACCGTGTATACCCACTGTGTCGCGGCCATACGTGCAAGCGAACTGAATGTCACCCGGTCATGAAATACGAGGCCAATTGAAAAGTCGTACCTTTTTGGATATGTAGGTATATCTTAGCTTTATCTTAATGTCTTAAGTCTGATATTGCTGAATAATTGTCGACGTTTACAGTAAATGCTTATCTTGAGAATATTGATAATCAATAATAAATACTTTCCTCAAACTGTAAAAAAAACATAGATCAGCTAAATTTAAAAATAATCAGCACCTGCTATAAATCTATGTGAAGTAATTGAAATCTATCAAAGTTACAAATGTACGAAGGTAACGAATAGGAGAAGAGTATGCACAACTATAAACTATGCAAGCCGTGCAACATCGCACGCAATGATGGTTTTGACTTGAAGGTCTTAAATTTACATGAAATTCCCGTGCCGGTAGTTCTTTAGGTAAGTTGTGCCTCTATTCATGCTGTGAATATGAATGAAGACTGGCCTATAGCAGATTTTACTCAAGGCAAATGAATTTCTCGCGTGCATGTCTTAGATTGCTAACACTACAACTTTAAACATTTGCGTTGTACAGCGCTAGTTGTTAATGATTCTAAACACCAGTTGTAGGCAAATATATCTTGGCCTACTGGGTAACGTTATAAGTTGTAGTTTGTCTCCAATCGTTTGTGTGCAGGCAAAAAAGGTTTGCCCTTCTCATAGCTTTATTTTGTAACCTTTCTATAGAGCCAGATGCCCATATTTTGCAACTATAATCTAAAATATAAGGTAAAATTGTAACTTTATAAATCTTTAGTAGTATCAGAGTGGGACCTAGTAAAGACGAAATTCTATTTAACAGTTAAAATTGATGTGAAACTGTCAAAGGCAAACTGCATTCCATGTGACCATGTTTCGTTACCAAGCAACGTTGCTAAGAACAGAGACTTTCATTTATCACCAGGAGACATTAACCCCTTTGTGTGCTCAGAGGTGATGTATTTTTTGTTTCAAATTAAATGGAGAATTTCTAAGCCGTCACGAACTAAGGTCATTCTTCAGACATCTTAGTAGCATTCTGTTCGTTTTTTATTCTTAACCTCAACTAACCACTTACAAATTTTAACAATTACCAATCAATTGCCCTGAATTGATTTGTATGGATTGTACTAGTAGAGTAGTGTATAGGATATGTACCAAGAGGAATTAAGGTAAACAGCAATAATTTGTTAGGTCTGTGAGGTAGAATGTTTTGGTTGTATACTTCTTAACTGCCCATGCTTTCGAAGGAATTCTGCCTGGTAGAGTTTGTTTCGTGGAAACTGTCGGTAGTGGGTGAGGTAGTGTGGCGGCGCACTGCTAGTGAAGGTTTAAACACATGTCAATATTTGTAAGGAGGACTGGATGGTGTACTGTGTTACAAAATTGACAAGAAACTGTGCAACGCAAATAATTGTGTGAAAATCAAAGTTTTGTCGAAATACGCCTTGAAAAGCCTTGGAGGAAATGCTGTTAGGATGTAGCGTGACGGAGCGGTTCGCGCTTTGGACTTGCAAACTGCACACAATGTAGAGGCCCCCTAGTCCAATTGGTCTGGCTAATTCGACTAATTGTCCAACTAATGGTTTTCACTCATTTACTCGGCCCCTCTAGCCTTTGTGCACACAAATACTACCAAGGGTAAAAGGGGAATTATTATTATTATTATTATTATTATTATTATTATTATTATTATTGTTATAATCATGATTGGTATTTTTATTTGGCATCGACAAAAAGCAGCAACATCATATAATCAAAAATGTGATAAATGTAGCTATTAGAGCAACATATTAGATCTAGGAATCGGGATAGCCCAGACTTAATGCAATTTTGATTTTTTTTGTTGAATAATTCAATCTCAAGCAGCCGATTATAAATTACCTATACGTAGCGAGATTAACAATTGTACATTCAAAAACACAAACAAAGTTTCCATTATTATTACTATGGCAGTACTTTTTAAGAACTATGCCTGACATTCGGGATCTATTAGAGCCATTAGAGAATGCAATATCTCATATGCCCATTCCTGCGATTACTGAGCGCAAGTGTAGTCAGCTGGATAGGAATATTCTAGCTCTGCCAGTTCGGTTGGGTGGCCTGGGCCTGGGAAACCCGTCCCTTAAAATACGCTTCGTCAGTCAAAGTAACAGAGCGCCTTGTTGAACAAATCGAATCTCAGTCCCATCAGTTACCAGAAGATTCCCTCACAAAATCAGCATAACAGGAAGTAAGAAGTGAAAGATTAACTTATAACTTTATGTGATTTCTTGGAATTTTGAATTGTGAAGGGGTTTTGCCGCAAATTTGTATTGATATGGACGTTTCTTTTTATGAATATTTTACTGAAGTTTTGTGTGTAGTTTTTATAACATTTTAATAAATTTTTTTCACCTTAATTTTTATCACTATGGTAGTAAACACTTCTGAATGCCCTAAAGTGAAAAAATAGCCACACCGGGTGCATTGCATAACCTGTGGGCTATATCTAAAATCTGGAAAACTCTTAAAATCTAGATATTATGTATGATCCCTAACGTGTACGTTAAAACCTGCCTACAATACATTAAAAATGTTAAGAAAAAAATTCAAGTTCCTTTGCCATTTGTTAAAAAATACCTAAAATGTGTTTAAAAATTGCCTAAAATGTATTAAAAACAATAACTAAAAGTTACCGAAAATTTATTGAAGATTGCCAAGAAGCACTTTAATAAAGTCCCTAAAAATTGCTAAAAATTGCTTGACGTCTTATAAGATAATTATAAATTTCACGTCACCTAAAAAATGGTTTAAAGCTATGTGAGGATTTTAAACGATCTTGCAATGCTGAAAGAATGTGAGAAAACACTTTTCTGCATTTTCTTAGTGTCTTACTTTCTGGCCTTTCTCCGATCAGTGCCTTTATACTCTTAGCTTTGTTCATAGATCCATCTCCCAATACATAAACAATGATATTATACTGGGTCACTTCATAGCTTGGAAACTGCCTCTTGAGTTCAAAACGAAGTGGCGCATATTTCATGGTCTTCTCCTACACCTTTGCTTCTCTGTTTTCCATCCAAAGGGCAGCTCATTTGGAGTAGTGTGACGGTCTTTGACTTCAGTACTCTCGGTATAGTTTAACCCAGGATTAAGCCAAATTTAAATTAAAGCAAGGTTTGCTCGTCCAAGAACATGTAACTTAAGCTTACAAAGCACTATTAAGCCTTTACTCTGAGATACAGTAATAAAATCACAAAATGTTACTGTAAGCAATGTATGGAAAGTTAAATACAAAAAGTAGGAACAAATTTTTAATCCTGGATTAGCGCCGCTAATCGGCCTTTGAGAACGTGTAGCAGGTACTCCTCTTATTGTTGAAGGGCTGTTAAGAACATCTGAGGAAACACCAGGCAAATACAATTTCTCGTTGAACCAAAGGGCGTGGCCATACAATTGGCGCGGAAACGTAGTACAATTTTTTTCGGAGGCAGACTTTTCGTTGTTTTGACTTGATTCGACTATAATAACATCTTACTTTCACAAAATATGTCTGTAGCAAAGGAAACGTTTGTTTTCCGTAACAGTGTTGCTAGTTAATCAAGGATCCTCTTGCGTGCTTGAAACGTTGTGAGCGACTGAAGAAAGGAACCTTAAAGGTACTCAAGTCTCTTTGCTGTTGTAGATTAGGCAGGCTTTTCCAGGCATTTAGATAGTTTGGACGGCGCCGCGGTCTGGTAAAGGCTAAGATAAGAGGACACGTGACTCCAGGGATGGTCCTACCTCAGAACTTTTTATCTAGTCATAAGTAAAGATTGTTCTTTCGATAGCATTGTGACAATTTTCCTTTCTAGAGTCGGTTCTGTATATCACTCGTTTCCAGAACTATGACACATGCTTTGTTATTCGCCAAAGTGTCGTCTTTCGCGACTTTTGACAGCCCATCAGAGCGCGACCAAAACGTCGTCGGCTTTGTCCTCGCTATACTTCTCTAACTGATCCTACAAATTGTAATAACATTGTTTGACAATGCGTAACCCTCTTACGAGGTTCCCACTTCAATCTTCCATTTCACGACTTGACAAGTGGTGAGTATTGGACGTGACTGTCAGGGTTATTTAATACTAACCACTGGTATAACAAAAAGTTCAAACCCTCGTAAAATGTTGGAGTCACGTTTTCGTCTTTTGCCATTTGGTAAGCAGAGTTGGCGTAGTCGAATCAGTGATTCTGAGTTAGGCCAGTGTACCGCCCACCGCATCTGACATCGCTGTCAAAGTTTTGGGTTTGATTCTCGGTCGCGATGCCCACATGTTGGTTCTCGGCCCTGCTCTAAGGTTTTTCCTCTTTACTCCGGATTCTAAGGTTTTCCTTCCTCATAAAGAACGGAATTTGCACGTAAATTGTTTGTCAGATCGCTAAGACTAATTATTCTATTAGTTATTATTATTAATATTAATGTTAATAATAATACTTTATTATTATTATTATTATTATTATTATTATTTTTATTTTTATTAAACACATATTTATTTCGTGATTTTTTCGTTACTTTAGTTACTTTTTATGTCGGTTGTAAACATTAAAGTGAAAACTTTCGAAAGCCCGGCAAACTGGAGTAATTAAGCGGAAAGCACCATGTCGAGTGAAAATATAGCGCATAATATTTCAGGTCTCCTCGCTATAAGAGGAACGACTGAATTTAGTCAGTTATTGTGTCTTTTCAGGAACGGAGTGAGCCTCAAGCGATTTGTTAAAATGTTGCCATGCATGTTTTCAATACTTTTAGATCGCTCTTGATTCATGGTATTTTTATTTTGGTCAAAGGCCGCAGCGCATAAACCTTAACAAGAAAAGTGACGTAGAAAGAAATGCTAGATTTCGTACTGGTGGGGAATTTATGCTTCTAACTATTTTGTAACTGTACTCGTTTAATCGCCTGCCTCTTGATATACTCTTATACCAAGGTTCCTTCTTTCCAATATCTTTTTGCGGTGTTTAGAAAAACGGATTACAGGTTTTCCGCTTTTCCGACGGCTTGTGACAAGTGAACAGGAAAAGAAGTTTTCTTTTACGGTTGTCGTCATATTGTGACTCTCGAAATATACTTTTCCCGTTTCTGGTTCAATATTTGCTGATGACATTTGATCGGTCATGAATATCATCTAATTTTTTCACGTTTTTATTTCATTCCAACTTATTTTTCGCCCAGATTCACCGTCCGTTAAGACCATACCGTATAATTTTTTTCAGATAGGGCAATTAAATGTTTTAAAAGTTAAAAATGTGCGTTGAAAGTGGAAGAGTCTTTGCTCGCTTGTCATTCGGTGTAAAGTTGACTTAGTCGCCAGTGTAGGGAAATATTTATTACCTTTGTCAAAACAGTTGACAGCGCGCTCTCTTAGTGGCGGAAATAAATGGCACTTGCAGAACAGGTGAAACGGTTGTATGAACTTTATGTGAACAGACCCTCTGGCTTCACTTTGTTTGTGCCTAATCAAGGAAAAGAGTTTTTCAATTTTGCTCGTTCTTTGTGGAAAACAAACAAAAGCGTAGAGGTTGCACAGAAGTGAAGGCAGATGGTGCTGAATCAATGTTGAGCTGTGTCATTGTGAAGTGTGTTCCTATTGTCCCAGTTATCGTTAGTCTTTCCTTGTCAAGAGACGCTCTGATCTCCATGAACAAAAGCCCAGTGGGATTCCTTCCTGAATCAGCTAGCATTCTATGATGGAGTTTCTTGTTCCGTGAATCCGTGCGAGAGTTACTTTCAATATGGCTCGAAAGTACGTCCTCTTCCGGCTATGAATACGGAGCTCGCGCGCAACCACTTTTTTTAAAATTATTAGCGTTTGCAAACGTCGCTTGCAATGACTTGATTTTTTTGTCGGGCAAATTGTATGATTTCTTGGCAACTATTGTGTTATTTAGTTTTCAAAATTTACATTTTTTTTGGCTTTTGTTTAAGGGTTATCCGTCATCACAGTGATATCCGTACTTGAACGGAAGCTGTCTAAAATGGCCGGTAGAGCAGAACGATTTTGTGGACGAACAGTGACTGATGTACTATTTTAAGTGGGATAAATCTTTCCCAAATAAGTTTTCGTTAGACTTCGTTAAGTTTGTTTTGTTTGTCCGTTCGTGATGGACAGTACATTAGCTTTTGAAAGTTTCTCTATCAACTCGAGCCCTTGTTTGATCGCTGATCAACCCTTTTTAGTACAAAACGAACTCCTTCAAATTACTCGCGCTGGAGATCAACCGTAAGACCACTAAAGGTCGAATTAAATTTTGCACTTGTATAGCGTCGACTGCCACACAACGGAAACGAGTTTCGCGACCAATTTCCTGTATTTCAGTTGTTCTGTGAGCTGTGAGTATACACCTGACAGAGACATACAAACACAGGTGATGGTGATTGGTTCAGTTGTGTGTATTGACGTGTTTCCAGCTTATTACCAAGAATTCCTCGCTTCCTTGACAGCTCATAAGCAGCCTGCTTTCTTTCCCCTTATTTTATCTGTTCCTCTAGTAAACACTTCACTTTTCGAATAATTGCCGCTGTTTACTTAGATCGAACTCGGCCATTGTTCTGCAAATGGCCATTAATTGAACGAAATTATGTTCAAGCGAAAGTTGGTCTGCTGTTTCTTCAGCTGCTGTACTGTCCAGTGGTAGCTAGAGTTTTGTTCTCGTAGTCGAGACGCGCGCTTCGCCTTCTTTGCAAGTTTTCTACAAACAGCAAGTCAGTTTCTTTTCGCGTGCTGGGGAAATGAAAGCAAGACATTTTCACCCATTTTAAAACTGTACATCTCTTCGAAAATCGAGTAAGTCAAGCTTCGTTGTTGACTGATGTTCTGTATTTTTAATCATTTCAAAAAGAGTTGTCGATAACATTTTCTCCATTCGCATTAATTTGTCGCTCTTTATCGTTTTTCTCGCCATTTTTTACACTCTCCAAGCGAAACCGCGGTTCGATACCCTAGATCTCCAAAAACAGCCGCTCAAAAATGCTGCAGGGAAAATGATAGTCCGCACAAAATCCGCGAATATTATATCTTTTTCGCACACGTGGGTTAGGACGTTTCGTTGTTTTTTTCTGTGGTTCGTAGATAAAATGTGATATATATAAGTGACTTCTTTCCCGTTTCTTGCTGACGGCAGGTAAACACCTCATGGCGAGCGTAACTTAAGTATAGCGTGAATGCGCCTATATTTGAAAATTTGCTCAGTCAAGATGGCGGCAGTGAGGTGTTTACGATGACTGTCTGTTATGGGCAGGTGCTTGTGTGGGACAAATGGCACCGACTAACAGCGACTAGTCACCACTAATCTTGACGATCGAATTTCGATCGCTAGCAGAGCACTGTTAACTTTTAGGAAGTGAGAATATATTTTCGACGTTCCCTACTTGTTGGGGATTTTTCATGTTACATTCTTTTTATCATTTTTCGCTGTAAAGTGGCCCGCGATTGTTTCTCTGTTGATGTCAAGTGAAGTGGTACAGCGTTTTGAACGATTTAGCCTCGTGGGTACTGCATTTTCGTCCGACGCTTATTTAACAATTTTGAAGATATATATGATTGAGTATTATCGACTGGATGCGAATTAATTTTGTGGCCATTTAATTTTCTTATTCATCTTGAGCTTTTGGCGCCTATACAGACTAAAATTACTGCTAACACCGGCAGATTAGTGAAGTAGTTGGCGGTAAATTACCCCTTTAATAATAGCGGCTCAAATTCAATTGCAGTAAATTTTACTCTTTTATTTTCAGGATATCATCAACATTGTCACGACCCAGCGATCCCCGCGACCGCTCTTGAGTTTGATGCGCCTTGGATGTGTGTGTATTGTTCAATAGGAGCATTTTGTCCTTATTTGGAAAATCCATTTGAGAGTAAATCCACGAGAAAAGGAGTTAGAAAGACAAGACTTCACACGGTAAACTTACTGGGTTATATTTGTTACTTAATTTATGCTAAGTGAGGCTCGAATGACTGAGGAAATCCCATCCCAATATATTTGCAGAGCTGTGTATCTAAGGAACTGGCGCGTGAGTCCGGATATTCAATATTCTCCCGAAGGAAACAAATCCGAAACATCTCTTTCTGCGACAAAAATGAAAGGGATCATCTCGGGCAGCATTGTCGACAAATTTCAAAAAATAATTTCTTTCCGTTACAATATGGAGATTAGACATGAAATTTGTTTTGTTGGTGTGAGATTAACCACACATCTGTGCAATCTTCCTGTTCAGCTTGTTAAGGTGTAAAGCTTAAAATAGCAAACCGCTGTTTATAGACTACGTCCAGTTCAACAACAGTGAACCAACTGTTTATTGATACCTCTTGCTTTGCTAATGTACGTAAACATCAGGTTTTAGGGGAATGCGTTAGGTTTCGTTGGTAGGGTTGCGTTTTTTGTTTAGTTGTGAACAAATGCCTCGCTACAATCAACGACAAAATCCTCACTACGGAAAAACGTGCAAAATTTGTAATATCCTGTAATTTGGAGGAGACCTTCTTAAAGCAGAGCCACCTTTATAAATTCCTCGCAGTTCCTCCTCGCCCACTCTATACAAAGTAAACCTTGTTTGTGAGGGGGGAGGGGATAGGCATATATGATTTAAAAAACGTCAAAATATGTCCATGATTGTGTTTTTATGCTAATAGAACAATTAAGCCACCTATCTACCGGTTAACTCCTGCTCAGAATAACAAAGACAGAGAAAAATGATCATAACGTAGTAGATAGGAGATCATTTGCCGTGTAATTTCAACAACAACACACTTTATTTAGAAACTGATATTTACAATGTGAATAGTTACTACCCACAAATAGTTGAAACTAGTCGAGGCAGGTATGATTACGTTAGGCTTATTACAACATGGGGAGATAACTCCAACAACTACTTTCAGAGGAGAGTTCCATATTAATTTTTGTATGTAGGAATCCCTGCGCACAGCCGACGTTGTAACTCTCACAAAATTATAAGTTTACTTTAAATGATTTTGATTCCTTACTTTTTTGTTCTGTACTTCGATAATCGCTTAAACGAAAAAGGTTGAAGTTGAACCTGCTGTGTATCACCTCACGTCAGCAAAAGCTGTTAAAAATTCTGTTAAAAATAATTGCAGCCCAATGGCTTGCCTATTCCTAGTAAATCCGGCACCGTAACAGACGTGTAGCTCATCCGAGTGTCAGTAAAGCGCTTTCTATTTTTGTGATTGAATCCTTCTATCATGATACCATGTTGATATTGCCACAGTCTTTTTACTATCATGTAGGCACAACTTTCCTCAAATCGGAAAAAATATCATCCGGCCCCTTTCAATTCGCGAGAAGATCATGGGGTGACTGAAGTGCTGTTACTAATATCATAGTCATTATTTTTATTATTATTATCATCACCATTATCAGTATTACTATTATTACTTGTGTATTATATGTGTCTGACAGAGTTTCGATTTTACAAAACTTTTGTTATCAATATGCGTAATGTTGTCTATGGCCTTCGTTAGGGTGCCTTTATAATTCCATGTATTTAGCCACTTTGTGAGGGAGTGGCCTTGTTAATCCTCTTAAACTTTTATGACCCTTCTTAATTGAGTTAATTCACCAAATAATGCTGGCTCTAATATCTAGTATCTCATATCGCTAATATCAGATATCTATCTCTAATATTTTAAGTTAATGATAGAGCAAGATATATAGACAACCACTTTTTTCCCCAAAACTCCTGTACATGTTCGATGGAAAAACTTTTGTACTTAATCATCAAGTGAATTTACAAGCATTGAATACAAAAGAGCTTTTTCTGAGTTATATTGATTTACGTCAGGTTATCACTGGTCAACAAAAACTCATCCAGTTATCAGATTTTTAACCCCTTTATGTTTCAACCTCAAAATAAATTAAAGAAACATGTAAAGTAGTTCTTTTATTGCACTTTTTAACGAGTGGCCTTTAAAATAACTGAAAAGCTCAGCTCAGCAGAATCTTTGGCAATACTTTCGCAAAATTTGCTTTTCACTTTTTTGACTCTGGGAAGGTATACGCTAAACACACAACTGCGACAAATTAAGAATAGTCCTTCATGTAGAAGGTTATCATTTGCTCTTTAAATAGGTGGATACCCAAGCATCATTTTTTTTTGTTTACTTATGTTATGGAGGAAAGTAAAACGTTAATGGGTACAAGCAGACTTATCGGCGCCACTTTCCTAGACATTTGACACGTTTTAAATGGATGCAAAGCATTGACACAGTTGTGATACTTGTTCATTTGAGTAAAAGAAAAAAGTTTTTACATCCGATAAGTATTTTATATATTCATTTTCATATGGTTTGTTATCGTCCTCGATGAGATTTTGCAAAAAACGAGAACGAAAAATGTTTAAAAAGAAGCTGCAATTAACTTCTTGTCACGAGATGAGGGCAAAAAAATCTCGACTTCTCTTTTCCCCCCTAAAAGGTTTGGAAATTCTACTTGTGTCACATAAACCCAACGGCTCATCTTTGCTAATTAGGCACTGGCGCTCACGCGTAGGGATGCCGTCAGGAGCCCATTCCTGCGCAGGTTCAAACCGCGAGGTTCATTACATTGTTCTCGTTCCGTTACCAAACTTAAAATTTCCTGTCGTTCTTTCGCTTTATGTTTAACCCCTTATATTTAAACATTTAGACGAAGTTTGCTAGCAGAACTTTTGTATGGTGCTTTTAGTTTGTCCGATGTCCTATAATAATATTCGATATGTTTTTGTATAGGTCGGATATTTGGCCCTTGAGGGAACAGAAGGTCTAGTATAGAACCTTCTCTTTGTTCTTCGTAACAGATAGATCCACAGCTTGAGTAATGAAAACCCTTAATTGTTGTTTCGTTTCCTTTGGTTTTTCTAATTAATGTCTGTATTTTTACAATGTTTTTAGAAACCCACTGTAACAACTTGATAGCTGTTTCGGTTTTGCTAGGCTTTCATCCGGTTTTATTGACAGACGCTCCGTACTATCAAAAGCAATAACTGACAACAGTACGAAGCATGGTAAACTAAGGAAGCACATTACAATACACGAGATTATATTAGAAAAAGTAACTGGTTGAGTTTTAAAACGAGACGTGGATGAGGGCGTTTACCTCTTTATTTATGCTTAAGAATATGGTAGAAACAGAATTCAGTAAAGATTGCTTTTTGAGTCAGCAGTTCGATGTTGTGAATCCTAGCTAGCCCTTGTAAGGTGTTGACAGCCGTATTTTATTCATTTATCTATTTTTACGTCGCTATTTACGATATCGCAATTCTGCAAAAACTACTGTTTTCCAGTTTACAAAAATCGGTGGTTTGAGTACCGTATGACACTGTAGTGATGCCTTTTCCCTTGAACTCACACTGGCAGTGACCTTTTATTTTCCCTCGGTGTTCCTATCATTAACTCAACAAAACTGTTTTACGCGGAAGTCCAACTAGGGTTAAAAAGTCACAAATGACTAAGTAGGAAGGAAGCTTGTAAAACTGTACGTCTAGTTTTACTTTCCCTCGGTGTTCCTACCATTAACTCAACAAAACTGTTTTACGTGGAAGTCGAACTAGGGTTAAAAAGTCACAAATGATTAAGTATGAAGGAAGCTTGTAAAACTGTAAGTCTAGACTGGTCAAGACCATAAAAGGTACTTTTCAAAGAACCTCAGAAGTAATTTCAAACTTTTGCGCCATTGCATTGTGTGAAGAGGAAACAGATTGATGCCAAGACTCTCTCTTGTACTCTGAGGCGGTTGGAAAAATCTCAGCAGGTCAATGGAAGTATTGTTATTCATAATGTTATACATAATGAGCGCTTTAATTTGTGCCTAAAACGCTTATCGGGTGTGATCCATTTAAGACTGGCGTATGTCATCGGAGTCAGAGATGTTACAAGGGAGCCTCCCTCAGGCTCTCTTTGTATCGACTGAAGACCATTTTTTTAGGTGCGTTATTAAAACTGCTCTGATCTCTAAGTAACATTTCAGTTCGTAGGTCACGAAAATCTAATTTGACTTTCAGGGGTTTTTGCAAATCTTAAACATTAATCCGTAGCTAATGTTCTTACTGATTTGCTGTACAAACGGCCCGCCACTCCTGGATTTTTTTTCTTTCTGTTAAGTTCGGCACGAAACGTGATCAAGTCACGTGTACTCGGAAAACACTCTGGAAATCAAGTTTTGAAAAGGATGAGTGGAATGATGCGGATGGGCTCGTTTTGGCCGAAGTCGAGTCACTAGAGGCTAAACTTCACTCCATACCCGTAACGTGAAGTAAGTTCGATCACACTTTTTTCGTTCTACATTTTTAAACCATCACTCAGTACCACTGGAGGTAAAAATCGGATGTAATATTTTCTTGTTACAATTTATAAGCAAAAATGCTAGTAAACTTTAACTGAGGAGATTTCGTAATTTAGTATTTCATTCGCAGACTCGTTAGAACCTCTTCTTTCAACGCAAAGGAAAGAGCTGCGGTCTTAGCTTTGCGCTGGGTTGATCTGAATAAACGGTGGCACACGGTTGTCACACTACATGTATACACGTAGGATATGTCTCGTACTAGAGGGCCGAATAGTAAGGACGCTGTTAAACAATTTCAAAAAACCATTCTGCTTAGTAGTTTTCTTTTAAATGATGAACCTTCATGTACTCTAGGGCTTTACCCGGAGACAGTAAACGTAATTGTCTAGTGGATTTATTTCAGTCATGGGTGAGGTAAACAAGGTCACGTATTTGTGTTCAATTCAAATAAATAGTTGCCAGTGTGTTTTGCGTGAATATTTTCATATCTTTTTTCCATTATGTTTTCCTTTAGTTATCGTGGCTGTCTACGTTAAATTATTTCAGTTTCTGTCTATTCAGAACTGACCAAATACCAGTGAAAAAGGAATTATATAGTGCGATATTCGCGTGCGTGCCTAAGCGTCTCAAAACATCCTTCATACAGGAAATCGACAAGAGGCATTTAAAAATAACACGAACAAACTGATAGACAATACAGCAGCATATATTAACTCATGGTAAATTTAGCTTCAGCTCTACCGCGTGTTGGTAGTTCCTTCAGCGCTGAATTACATGACACGTTGCAAAGGTTAAAATTTGAGCAGATTAAGTTTTTCCTGTTGTGCTGTTTCCTTGCAGCCCGGGTCTAAAATCAAATCGGAAAGAAGTCTATAACCACCACCGTCTAAGCTTCAACTAATAAAATGGTCACCTTTAACCTCAAGTATTTTATTTTTTGAAATAAAGCGATGTCATAATTGGAAGGCCTACACGTCCCGGAAGAACATCAATATTTAACACTTGCAAAGCAACGCTGTAATCGAGGAGCATTCGGGCTATCTTTTTGCTGTTATGATTTTAAATGAAAAATCCAGCGCCAGTTTTGTTTAGGCTGTCATTTTTCTCAAATTATAGAGTCAAGAGTGAAAAAAAAAAATGGTATGATGCAATAAAACTTTAAACCACAGTACAAAGGAATGCTGATACATCTACAACAATTCATTATTTGACCTCAAACGTGATGCTATTAAGTCCTTCTAGGAGTGGTTTTAGCTTTGACGGTATGAGGTGAAAATCGTTAATTCCTGTTGTTTCAAGTATTTTTTTGTTTTCTTTATTTTTTCACTCTTCTTACAAGATATGCGGTGATATACAAAGAAGATTGATACTTGCTGTTCTATTGTATTTTTATACACTGAGCGACTGGTCACAGCTGCGTGCGTCAGGTTGCACCTTTTAAGGCCTTATTTGTTGCAGTCATTTGCTGAAAGAAATGACATCTGCCCGAAGTTCTCGAGTTGAAAGCACGTTTTACTTGTAAACCTGTTTAACGAATACTCTGTAGTTATTCAAGGAAAACGCAAGGCACAACACAGCACCTTGAGTCGGATAAGTGATTTATCTCCGAAGGATAGTATATCTCATCACACGGTCGGGCCAATATCGGCCTCACCACGTTGCTGAATATCGCGGTATTGTTGATAAATAAGTGCCTGAGAGGTTAATATCTGCTTATTGTATTTGTAGTATTGTTGCACCGAATCGAAACAGTATTGTATGTTTTTTTTTGGCGTAAACAAAACTGAGTTACTTGGTGTTAACATTAGAGGCCTCTGATCCTGTTATTACACAATTTGAACAAAGTTTTTTAAGTTTGACAGGCTTTTCTGTTAATGGATAGACTTTGAACTTTTTTGCAATGTTATTCTAAAGTTTTAGGGTCGATTGTAGTGTCATGACACTCTTTGTTGATGTTTGAAGTTTTCTTCTCTGTTTCATTTGGCGCCGGTAAGAAGATATCAGACGAACTCTAAAATACTGATAATGTGGGTTTTAAGTAGCTCTTGAAAAATATTGCTTAAGGAGTCAAACATGTGGAGATATTGAAAGCTGCCATTACTGATAGAGGTAGTCGTGAGTTAAATAGTTTTGTTTCCAAAATACTTAATCTTCACTTTGTTTTGGTCTGGAACTTTGTCAGTGTAGCCTCTGAAACGGGCTTTTTGCTGAGTTGATTTAATCGGAATATTCAGACTCCATTGGCAGGAAACAGTCTTTCTAAGATACTGAACATTGATATGCCTCTCGCTAATAATTTTTATCACCGCAAAAGCACGCTCATTGAACCAAGTATGTTCAGTTATTATTTTGTTAGTCTCACTGGATACTTGTTTAGAGTGACTCAGCAATCAGTCGCTGAATAGTCATTTCGTTTTAAACGTTGCGTCTAATCATTTTCCCTTTTATTTTTTCAGCTCAAGACGGGAGAATCTTACATAAGTTCGGGAAATTCTACAGAAGACGAAAAGGATTTGCCAAGAGAGAAGGGGAGTGAGGTCATAACCTCACGCGATATGTCGAGTTATTACTTGTCTTCGCACATGCATCAACGAGACGGTTCTAAGCCGCGAGGAAAGCCTGCGTTCGGCCACAAATCCAAATCTACTGGGGATAAACGTGGTCGCGGGACAGGAAGACCCTCAGGTCGCCCGGGTGTTCGTGATCGCGATCACTATTCTGATCGTAACTCTGAGTTAGATTTAAATCCGCAACGTAAAGGTTCACATCATTATCAGAGACATGGAAACGATGTTTCGCGCCATTCGGGGCGATATGGATCCCCTGTACGTCGTCTCGGAGAAGATTCCGAGGCAAGAAAATTATCTCCGACCAGGGAGTCCAAAAAATATCCGCAAGTGGACGAAAATAAAGGATCTAAAGTTGTTTCACACAGACGGGACGCGCCACGGGAAAAACAAAGACTAACTCAGGATTTAGCGCGTCAAAAGAGACTTCTCAGTGAAGATATTGCTCGCGCAGAACTTCTTCAACGCGAGCAACTAAGCAAGAAATACTCTGACATGTTTGAGAACAGGAAAGAAAATGTTGATGCCGATAGAGTAGCCGAGATGGATGATGAGGATGTGTGTAAGGAAAACGTAAACGTGGAATTGTGTAATGAGGGGGACAGAGAGCGAAGTCCTTCCATGTACGAGCGTTGTTATGGAGAATATTCGCCTGAGTACAATAATGAACATGGACAAAAGCTCTCAGCACAGAAGGATGGCAGTGATACGGTTTGTAAGCTTCCAGTGGAGCGAGAATCTCTTTTTGATCGTTTCTTACGCAAGGAATCAGTGCAGGAAATGACAGATATTGAGTTTATCAACGAAAGCAAAGTGGAGGTGAAGGGAATGCGGTACACAAACAGGTTTTCTTCGGATGAAGTAAAGTATGGTGCAGATAGCGTGACCAACTCCGATGTTAGACCTGAACTGGAACCGCTAAAGTTCGAGAATGTTACGGACGATGAGCTTACTTTTAGCGATGGTGAGAAAGATTCCACGAAGGAACTGAAAACAAATGGTGGAAGCCCAGTTATGAATAAAGCCTTGAGCCCGGTCGAAAATGGTGTTGATTCGGCGAGTGAATCCATCTGCAACGGTTTGGAGGAAACATGCGAGCCAGCGGAGTCTTTAGTAAAAAATGACCTTTTCTCTGCTGAAGAATTAATTACAAATCTGGGATACGAATCTTGTGAATGTGTAAGTGAGGATGGAAATCCAAACTGCGATGACAAAGCGAGTGAAAGCAATGAAAGGTGTACGGAGCAATTTGCGGAAACAGATCACAGCAGTATCAAAAGTTCGAAAATCGCGCGGCTCTTGGAAGAGCCCGACATGCAATGTGAGCACTCCAGTAAAAACAGAAATGACTGTGTGTTGCAGGATACTGAAGTGTCCGCTTTTGAAATTAACGTTAAAAAAACCGACAGTGTGTGTCCAACAGATACCACCGAAAAAAGGCTGGAAAAAGAAAGTAAAAACAAGCAGGCAGCAGACGGTACTGCAGTGGAGAAAGCTGATGTAAGAGAAATTCAAGGATCCAAACTTAAGGAAAAAGAAGCTCCCAAGAGCAACTCCTGTAGTATACAGCATAACTCCCTTGAGAATGTCACCAACGAATCGGAACTTTCCAACATCGAGGGAATGTCGGATGCTGGGGAACTAAGCGAAACCGAAGTTGGAACGGTGGTAACTCGGGAGAAAGTTAAGAAAAAGAAACGGAGAAAGCAGAAAAGTAGTAAGACCATTCCCCAGTCGAATGTGACCAATCCTCGGCGAAAGTCTAAAGGAAACAAAGTTCGTTCACCCGTAAAAGACGCCAAGACAACTAAACGAATCAAGCAGCTCGATTCAGAAAGCGATGAGGATGTTTTGCGGAAGAAGAGTAAAGAGACAACAGAAGGAAATGCGCGTTTAAAAGTTGTCGGTAACTGCATCACAACGGGACCTAATAATTTAAAGAATTTAATGGAGTCAAGTCCTCCACCCTCTACGTGTGATAATGACAGCAGAATTAACGAGTTTAACGGTCATGCTGAAAAGGATGATGAAACTGGCTTGTTATCACCCAACGAAGACGGTTATTGTTTAAACAATACTGTCGAAGAAGTTGTTGCCATGGGGACTGTTGGTTCAGATCATTGTGATAGCAGTCAGGAGACAAACGCTCTCTCGCCAGTCGAGGACGACGGGAAAAAAGAGCCTGGCAGGAAGGAGAAAAGGATCGGGAAAACCAAACGAAAGAGCGAAGAAAAGGAAAAAGAGAAGGATAGATCCACTCCGCCTCATCTTATCAGTCAGAACCGTTACGCGCGGGATCTTCCTCGACATAACTGGCTTGTGGAGCGCCTTCTACAGCAGAATAAACTCTGCGCGGAGGACACGATACAACACACACGTGACACTAGCGACGATCAAGACAAGGACGAGAACCAGGTTGGTGATGAGCCAAAGCTACCTAACGCTAGTGACAAAGAAAACCCGATAGAGAAGTTAATGAGCTCGCCCGTTGAACCTGTTACTGAAACAACTGAAGTCACTGGTTCATTTTCGCCCCAACAACAGAGCGATGAGGAAAGTCCAGGGAGTCCGTCAAAGGATAGTATCGAAAATGAACTTCATGGTGGTTTATTGCGAAAAAGTTTTCCTCCGAATGTGCCCCGAACATTGCCTCGATTAAAGCCTTCTCTTGCTGCCGACTCAAGCGTTGGAAGTGTCAGTAAACCTCCTCCCCCGCCGTTAAAACACAGTTTATCGTCCAATGAATCTTGTGGGCTGGAACCTCTACCCAAACTAAGAAAGATCGTGGATGAGAACGAACTTGAAAACGAACCTCCGGAGAAAGAGGACTTGAATTCAGAGAAACAGAAAAATGACGAGTCAGGATCAAATGAAGTAGACCAACGGCGTAAAATTATGAGTCCTATTGAGATTCTCGACGATGAAGACGAGAAAAAGAGACGGGAAGAGGAGGAAACAGCCAACGGTGTCAAGGCCTTGACAGCAAACGAGGAACTAAACTCCAGTTTTAATGAAACGAGCCACAAGGACGGAGAAAAATCGCCTGCAAAGTCTTCCAGCTCGTCACCACCTGGTAGGCACAATTCTTTCACTTCTCCCAAGAAACCTTTTGGTGGTGTAAATCCCACAATTCCTGGCAATATCAGGGAAAAATTTAGCCGATCGATGCACATTCCACCTCACCGCGCCGCCATATTGATTCCTGTCGTCTCGTCGATGCACGATGGTGGTATACCGATAACGCCAGGTCTCGGTCCTGCATCCCCGCACGTGAAGGGTTATTCTCCAAGGACCTTCACTCCACATTTACTCACTCATGGTGCACCGGTCCCTCGACCCAGCATGTTTGGAAGTCACCTGTCCCAAGGAGGGCGGTATTCTGCTGCTAACTGTGGACACCATATGCACGGTAACATGAACTCTGGAATACCTTGCAAACGGGACGTTAACTGTCCTTTCCATGGAAACAATCCGAGAGGCATCCCACCTGGAATTCTAGATATCCCTGGTCATCATGGTCCTGTGCACAGCTTTGGACATCACAACAACCATGACCATTTGTCCGCGGTTATGTCGCGCGAGAGACGCGAGTTTGACAAAGGATCTAGCCAGTCTCCCCCTGGTAGAGATCCTCTTGGAGAGAAGCATACCCTCCAAACGCCTAAAGTGGTTAAACCTATTGCGCATGTGCCTGGAAAACGACCTCCATTGATGCTATCACACCTTCAGCAAATTGGCAAGCATTCACCGGCGTCCTTAAAAGAACTTGAAGCTTTACACGACGAAAAAGCGAGGCGCTATGAAGCTGATATCTTGCTTTCACCTCGTCAACTGCAGAAGTCCCCAGATAGATCCCCCAGGGAACAGGTTGTACCTAACCTTTCTCCACTGCATGAACGTAGGCCTCACCATCAGCAGTTCACGTTGTCAGAGCTCAACCGAAGAAGAGAAGAAGAAATGCTAAAGGGGAAACCCGATGAGGGATTGAAGCCCAAGCCACTCCCAGGGGAGTTTGTACCTCCTGGCCTTCCTTCATCCGCTCGTGGACCTCCTAAGCTTACTCCGCCGCATTCCACAGAACCAAGCTTGCTTTCTCCTGGACGCGGCCACAGGTCAGGATCAATGTCTCCTGTGGATAAGCGCGACCAGATACTTTCACTCAGGCGTTTGGTTGAGGACAGGGAGCCTGGGGCCATCATGAATGACTTCCTCAAACCCGGGCCACCACGTCTGCGACCAGTAGAAGAAGGAGACTTGAGATTGTCATCTGAAAGACAGAGACGGGAAGAAATTTTTCTGAATCGAAGGTATAGCTCACCATTTTTAAGAGTGCCGTCAACAAAGGAATCATCGATATACGCTGGAAAGATATCGGAGGGCGTTGAAATTGTCAGCCCTCGTGGAATAGAGCCCTCAACGGCCCGAGAACGAGATTTGGAGGCATCCCACTTGAAACCGTCACATTCCAGTATTATGAACACAGGTATCAGATTCATTGAAGATAAAAGGATGCAAGTTGAAAAAACGAGAGAAACTGTTAGCAGAGATGAAAAACGCGGTAGAGAACAAGTCAGCCCGGAAATGGAACGTAGGCTTCGCCTTGAGCAGTTGGAGGAGCAAAAGACTAGAAGCCGGAGTTCGGATCTTCTTCAGATCAAAGACAAAGATCCAAGAATAGAACTGAGAGACAAGGACAGTGCCAGGATAGCCGCGTCTGAAAGAGACCGCGCGGATGACCTGTTGCTTCTCCGTGGTGGTGAAGAGAGCAGTAGACCTAGGATGCCGTCTGAGGTTTCGCCCTCTTTGCGTCATAAGTTGTATCCAGAAAGAGCCTTCCTCCCTGCTGGGTTTCCTGGTCGATTGGATCCCCGAATTGACCCTCGGATGGTTGCTTTACACGAGTTGGAAATGCACCGACGCGGAGAAGTGATTCGAGCCTCGGAGCCTTCGCATCGAGAATTACTAAGTCGGATGGCATCATCCTTGCCTATTAGTAAAGGCGGCTCGCCGATTGGCAAATCGATCTTTGTTAGGCCAGATGGTTCGTTGGAAAGACGAGGTCCTGACTCCTCTCGTTTACCCTCAGAAGTTCATGCATACTCTCCACCAACTTCACTTTCCTCTCGAGAGTTTGGCCCGATGATGAATTCACGACAAGCCATGGAAAGGCTGGCTGCGGCAGCTGGGAAACCCGGGTCCCTATTTAGAGAACAGGTTAGATTTAGTATTATCTCGTCAGTGAATCTGTCACTGCCGAGTTTACTCTAGAACTCTGCTATAAAAACGATGAGTTTTTGCGAACTGTTGCTCAGTTATCCTGTTCCTCATTGTACATTTTCAATACTCTTACAACCAGCAAGCACTCAAAATACATGTATTTGTTTAAAAATTGCAGAGAACGTACTGCATAAAGATACTGTTTTCATTCGAGTGTCGAAATTAAGTTTGTTTTATGATATAACATAAGATGAAAAACTCCCTTCCTTTGTAATGCATACACTTAGTCTTATGAACTATAGTCATCTGGCCCTGACTTCCTTTAAACAACCCCAGCTGTTTAACCCAATCTATGAAAGGTAAAGGCAAACCAATATAATGCTTTGCCGCACATGTTACCGGTTTACCGTTTATTGAGCAAGGTTTCGATTACCTGCTTTTATTGTAAATTATTACTAGCGTTATTCAATTAATAGCCGTTCTCTTTACAATACGAATTTTGCAGGACCTTGAACGCGATAGAGAAAGAGAGAGGCAACGGATGAGTTTAGAGCAGATAGAGGCCAATAGAAGACTGTTGCATGCGGAACTCAAAGACAAAGTGAATCCACTCGTATTTAGCAAAGAACATCAGCTGAGAATGGAGCAGAAGCGAGAGCATATAGACGCAATGAGGGCGAGAGAAAAGCGACTCGCTGACCGCGAAAGGTTCATGTTTATGGAAAGGATAGCAGAGGAAAGAAAACGAAGGTTCAGTGAATTGGATTCTCATGGTGGAATTTTAATCCGTCACTCGTCGCCCCCTCGGTTTGGTCCTTTAGCAGATCGAGAAGAGTATGAGAGAGTAAAGAGACTTAAGCTCAGTGAAGTGTCGGTTTCATCACCCGGATTAGCGCAGCACTCTAAACATTCGAGTACGAACCTTCTCCACTCCGAAAGAAAAGAACCAAAGAACCACCACATTTTAACCTCCTCCCAAGGAAGAGAGAAATCGAGCGAAACCCCTGATGCAAGAATTAACCGCCAGCGGGAAAATGAACTTGTTAAACAGTCAACAAATAGCACTTTGTATGATCGAGATACTATCTGGCATCGAAATCGCGGGCAAGGCGGTCGGGCGCAGGAAAGCATGGAGCAGAAAAGAAAAAGTCTTCATTCTGAAGCTTCACTTCACGGGTTCATGCCCCTTAAGGGAGGACCCCTGATGTCCCAGCGAGAAGACGGGAAAGGCTCCGCTGGTAAGCACGATGATGATGACGTCAACCGTTGCTCGGTGTGCAAACGTGATGCGTCGTTTCTGTGTTCTGGTTGTCAGGCAGCGTGGTATTGCAGCTCCGATTGTCAGGTAGATAAATAACCACCTACTCTTTTTTCCGTACGGTACAATAGAAGTGCTATTTTTGAACCTCCTAAGGATAGAAAATGTTGGTGGTTTGAAAATTAGAGAGTTTGATTGGGAAAGGAGAGTAAATTTTGGTTTGAATTATCGGAGTTTTCAAAAACCGGGAGTTCGAGGAAAAGGGATTCTACTGTACTACGTCAGTTCATCCCCATAATGATTATAACCAATTTTCTCCTTATAAAATCGATACTGTGTCAACCAAAGAATTTTAGAAATGATCATGTAAGTCCATTCTCTGTAATTACTTATGATCAGTAAAATTCTGCTGGCACTCCGTTGCAAATGTTGTATTCTGATTTGCTGACTTGCCATCAGCTCCGAGATTGGAACTGGTGGTTAATATCAGTGTACGCCAATAAATGCTTTATAAATATCACCAGACCGTGCTCCAATCTTTGCGATAGGATATACTAGCAGGTTTTTACTAAGATAATTACAAGGGTTGTTCGCTGTTGGTATCGGCTTAAATGATTGTTTCAGGTCTTCGCCCCGTGTCAACGCCTGCCTTACAGCGAATTTGGTCATTAAGCAACGTTTGGTGTACTCTTTTGCCTACGAGCTAAGCGCTCGAAAGAGAGAGGGGTTACTAAAAGGAACAGAAGGTTAAGGGAGGGGAGTCCGAGAGGAGAGGGAGGTAGAGGAGTCCCCCCTTCTTCCTTGCGTGCCCTTCGTGTCTTTTTCCCTTCGCCGATTTTCCTCTTCCACTTTCCCTTTGGACCTCCTGCCACAAAGGCTGTGTAACATTTGAAGAAAACGGTTAGCCACTGGGAACAGTTTCCTACCTTCTATGTTAAATTGGTTGACCAACCGATATATTATTGACAGAAATCTATGAAAGACTGCAAGCTTAAAGGAAGCGATTTTGCTCAAGGCTGGTGCCGCTCAATTGATTGCTCATAATTGATTATTGTAGTATTTTATGAAAAGAGCAAACCAACTCTCTGAAAACAAGGTGTTTCATGCGGATATTCTATTTTTTTTTTCAATTCTAACAGCAAATTATTTACTTTTCATTTTGCAGTTGTCAGCTTGGGGAACACACAACAGAGAGTGCAGTCAGAATAAGCGTCAATAGTCACCTCTTAGCGCGATATGAAACTTCAAATGAAAACGGACAAAAATGCTGATTTCATTCATTCTAGACCCCAGTGCCTTCAGTGTGCTGCATGCAAAGGAAAGGTCAGGCATGCGCAAACGTTAAGAGCTCTGGTTTAAATCAAGAAGTGATTTTTCATCTTCTCATACAAATAGAGTATATAATAGTCTTGTTTGAAACATTTCATCTGAATGTTCACTCATTTAATTTCATCCACGCCTCAGAAACTAGCAATTTACCCAAGTTAAAGGGGCAGTCTTGAGGAAAGTATTAAAATTCGATTCTTGTAGCATAATTTTGACCAAAATTCGGAATAACAGTTTAATATTCTCACGTCTCCAACTGGATGCATCAATTTGACGTTTTCTCATGAGTGTTTTTGTAAAAAAAAATATAATAAAATAAATACATAAATAGAAGTAATGAGACGTAACAAGTCAGTACCAGTGTCATAGACGACACTGGAAAAGATTTTTCTAGGTTCAATTTATCCATAACTGAAAACATGCTTTTCTCTGCCCTAGAATAATCGCCGGTTTGAAATAACATTTGGACTTTGGCAAAATATAAAGTAGACGACAATTTCCTTTTATTATGCCACTGGATGTAAACTGTTTAGACAAAAATTTATTCATTGATGATTAATTTTCCCCTTAATTCACATCTAGAAAAAGAGTGTAATGGTATGGCGCTGAATTATTCCACAGGCAAACGTACTTTTGGCAATAGTGACGGTAATGGAAAGCGGAACTGAGATAGGCCAGAATTTTACATAGGTTAAATTGTTCGGAGGCTTTCAGTTATATAGTTCTTCTTCTGTTATAATTTGTTTCTTTATCAGTGTAAAATTTGCAACAGCCAGTAAGAAATAATTGCCATGGGATGTCGAGGTTCTTCCCTAAAATTGTCGTGAGGAAGATTCGAGGTCGCGCCTAGCTGGCGCGCAAACAATGCATATCCTGTATCCCATAGGGTGTACGCGTATGATAGAGTACAAAGCGATCCAGGGAGGTAATCTGTGTTTTGTGTTTTGTTATTCTCTATTAGTTCACATTACATTTGTACACAAGTGATCGAATAATTTCCTTTTCACTCGTCAGGATTGTATAATTATTATGATAGTGAAAGTTAAAAATTTTGTTCGGCGGAACAACGGAAGGAAGCAAGGCTGATTTTACAGTTGGGAATATAATTATTGCTGTTATTTCGAAAGGCACGATATTTCACTTGTAAACGATTGATATTAGCCCTGCTTCTTTCCGTTGTTCATACATTTATAGCTGATTAGATCCCCTATAAGGATCCGGTTCGTCTATTTTGAAATGCTGGTCCTTATTTCCAAGTAGGAAGGATGTTATCGTCTACACTGAATGATTTACAGACGCAAAAATCTTCTAAGGAGAAGAATGTCATAGTGTTTTTTTTATAGAAAAGGGATTTTTAAAAAGAATCAATTCTGAAACACTTTTTAGAAGCATTGTTATGGTGCCCCTCTAGATATCGTCATGTTCTTACGCGCATCTCTCGAGATATCTAGGCCCGCGCGAGTGTCCCGCGTGAGTGTAGCGTTCTTTAAACCTTGCGTAAAACCTCGACCTAAATCCAAGCAAGATTAGTAAAATGACCATGGCATCACAATAGTAAATCGAGGACATTTTTAGATTCATGCAAATTAAATTATTAAAGAAACTTCATATCTTTAATTTATCTCAGACATGGTCTATTTATGTAAATTTTAAATTATGTTGGATTTAGGAATGTAAAGTTTTCAGGAAAAAAAAATGTATTTATTTCTGGATACGAATTTCTCCGTGGCGGTTGTAATGTATAAGGATAACATCTCAACGTCATTTTCAATAAATTCTTTCCCATTAAAAATTTGCTTCTTATGCCTCATTCACTAAAGCCTGCGTGGCAGGCGATTTGGGAAAAAGGAAAGCTTCCCGCGCGTCCACTGCCCTCCCCACCGCCCCTCGCAACCCATCTCTCGCAAACAAGCGGGACGTCTCTTAAACAGAGTGTAGAAATTCCCGTACTTATTGGAGCAGTGACGGATCCAGGGGAGGGGCCCGGGGCCCCTCTTATTTTTAGACCAAACTGTGGCCCAAGGGCCGAAAAAATTTTTTTGAGACTGCCCCCCTTTATCTCAGCGTCTGGATGACTGTCCCCCCATCCCTTATTTGGCCAGGGTCTATTTCTCCCCGCAATCCTTCTTAAGTAATTATTCATTTAGGTCAGGTGATTACGTCGCTGTTATTACTGGAACACGTCACAGACCAAGGCGGTGTAGAAACTCTCTATATGTACTCTGCTACATTAGAGGCATGGGCAAACTTTGTATCACGTGATGAAATTTCCCTTAACTTGTTGTTTAATGGCCATTTTAACTACAGTTTTTACCCCAGTTTTTATTCGTTAGAATTGTTTTGAGCCATTTTTATCTGCTCATTTTCTATTATGAGACTTTCTCACAGCAGGGTAGACGCGGTTTATTTCGTCCTAAATATTTTGAGGACAGATCTGTATAGCCGAGATTGAACGCGTCGAAAAATTTTCTTTGTTTGGTCAAAAGCAGGTCAAGAGTCTCAATTCTAGAGACACACCCTCGAAGTTCACTGCTGTCAAGCAGGCTGTACTTACATAGATCAATCAGTAATGCTCTTTAATTTTTAGTTGGTGCTACAATATAAGTATCTAAAAAGACAGGATTAAGGTCAAGAGAGCTTATTCCCATCCATTAAGATCCCTCGAGTTGCTGGTAACAAAACGGTGAGAATTCAAATCAAGAGTTAATTCCCTGACTTTTCTAATGGATAGGTGGTATTTGCCAAAGCTGAAATACAATTGATCTCGATTTTTTCAAATTTCAGATCAGTCATCTCATGCTCACTTCCATAAACAGTACCCAGAATAGTATCTGAATAGTACCTTTACCAAAAGTGTCACGTGTTCTGCGTTCAATTCCTCTTTCACTGTGATCATGCCCTCCCTATATCTCTTTTTAACGTTAAAAAGGATGGTCGCAGATAACCTTAAAAAAGATTTTTCATACCACTAACAAGCTTCGTAGTCAGTCAAAAGAGGCTTCTATGTTCTCCTTAGTCAGTACTTCCCCTTCTAGAACAAAACTGAACTGAGAGGAGTGAAGGGGTACCAAGTATCATTTTCCCAAACACCATTCACCTCCTGGCTCTCACTGACGACCCACACGACGAGTGTGCGCGTTATCGAATTAAAATTGTTCCAAGTATCGATAGTCTCCCTAGCAGCCGTTTTTAGTATCGTCACGCAACGCTCCTCCCTCCTTTTGCACTTGTGGGGAAAAACGACACTAAAACGGCTGCGAAGGAGCCTGTGTGACAAGCGACGAGCGTGACAGAACATACGTGACCCATAATCCTTTTCGGAAGTACCCGACTTCGCTACAAAGTGCCAGAAATATGGCATGGCTGCATTAAAAAGTTGACCGTATGGTGCTCGTTATTACATCATGTAAGTCGCCCACGGCTGCATATCTATGCCCATTATGAGTGTGCCCTTCACGGAAGAGGAAAGGCAAGAGGCGTTAGATTTCTTCAGGCGATTTGTCGCTGATCAAACTGACGCGTTCGGTGAATGTGAGAACCTACCCATCCGACTAAGTTCACTCTCTATCACTGTGAACGAGTTAGAAGGAGAATGCATCGACTGGTGCTTGCAGTACCTCAGGAAAAGGTGAGCATCCGTTGAAAACTCTTGCAAATGCAAAATGTAGCTGTTTTAGCGTGCGAAAGCATTGTTGTACCTATTTGCGTATTCGGGTGTATTGCACAGTTCGTGTTTACACAGCTTACAGAATCAAAGCGAATAGAATCAATGTTGTTTTGTAAAGAAATTGTAGCGATCTCGGTGCTGATCAGAAACATTGTTTCAGTAGTATACCTATCTAGACTATCACAGGGGCTACTTGCTTTCTATTAAGTTATTTACAAATGAGTTAATTTTAAAACTAAAGGTGTACGGTGTGAAGAACGTGTATGTAGATCATACCCCCCCCTCTTTTGTAAGCGTATGTAATAAATTTACTTATATGATACATTCAAGATGGCAGTTAAGTCAACCCTTTACTGTTTTAAATGTATTAAAGTACCTCAGAAATGTTTTAATGGGTCAGTCAAGGGATTTGATTTAGTGCACGTACCGTGTGTCTGGAGTAACACTATTATTTTGGTCTTCGAAAAAAGTTCTTAAAATCATCAATATTGGCTTCTTAATTAATTCACTCCTTTGAGTAACAGAAAGGTATATGATATTTTTCAGTGCGATAGTTTGGCAGATTATATTTTATCCCTTTACAAAACTTTTGTATCACTCCACGATTGAGCACTTGACAAAGAAATTATTGTAGTGTTCGGGTGACAGACTTAAATTAATAAAGATAATAAAAAGTTGACAAAGATAACAAATTTAAAAATACGTATAATCGTGAATAGGGAATGTCTGAGTGGCATGTTAGGCCACACATTCGTGTAATTTTGCAAATACCTGAGCTGATTAGAGTATTGCCATGTTGCTGTCACACAAACAATATGGCCTCTGAGTATCTGATATTAAGCCTTAGAAGACTTGATATGCAAGGAATCTTCCAGCATTGCGCCTAGTTTCTCACTAGATTTCTTATTTTGAAATTGACTACTTTCATTCAAGGGCATCCATAATTCTAAGAGATTGCAATGGAAAATTCAAGATTGACAATCAAAAATAGAAATTTTTTATAAGGGTCAAAATTTTGTATTATGTCGGATCATTTGTAATGCATCCATCTCATTAATGTTCCATGTGTACAAATATAATACAAAAAAGGAAGAATCGACATAACTATTATAGGCGGCTCACAAAATAGGATAATTTTAAAAAAATAATTCTTTTTTAAAAACTTAAAAGTTCTGCAAACTTAATGTATCCTAGTGGCCTGGAACTGAAACTCAACAGGTCCTGTTGGGGAGGGAAGTCTCTCCAACAAGAGAAACGTGGTCTCAAGTGTTAGTGGTAGTTCAATACAGAGATTAAGAGTCATGTTTACACCAATTGGCAAAATGTGAATCTGACTGCGTGACCAAGTTTCCTCTTACATAATTGTCATTTACTGTTTTATTATTACCTCTACTAAAAAGTAAGTTGTTGCATGCGAGTTTTAGTCATAATTATTGTTCTGGACAGTTTTTATCTGCTTATTTTCTATTCTGAGAAATACTCAACTTGAATCTGTGGTTTGTCGTTTGTTGTATACGTGACTCTTAGAGAGATTTTTGTATGACCTTGAAAAATAGTTTCTGTAAGTGTTCGTCATTTGTTTTATCAACCAATGGATGAAAAGATCAAAACGTGGACTCTTCATTTTCCTGCAAAAGAAAACCCTATTAAATATGAGGAAGGCATTGTTTGATTGGTCAATCGTGTTGCAACATGACGTCAATGCAAAGTATGGATTGATTTCTAGAACGTTCCTGGGCTTGAAGGTTTTTTCACCTGAGTGTTCGTCTAACCAACCAAAAGCCACGCGTGTTTGTGTCCATTTGATAAACCAATCAAATCGCTCTATTTCCATTTATTTGTTTCTGTTTTGTTTGAGTTTTTTCATTTCAAGGTCATCCCAAAATTGCTCTAAATCAATCTCTTCTTATTGCTTTACTTTATACATAGCCAAGCTCCAGAAGCCATAACAGCACTTATCACTCATGCTGCTGTAAGACAAATCATTGAAGGCGACCTGTCAGGTTACAGACAAGATGAATCTGAGGATGCCTGTGAGTAGACCAATACCAAGAGATGATAATGGGACGTCAGGGAAGGAAATGCCCAGTCCAGCCATTGGGATATGTGAATTTCACCAAAGTATAATTTTTTTTGACCAGTAATATTAAACATTTGAGATTAACAGTGGAAGTTGGTTTCTGGAGAGGTCTGCAAATGTTTATTCAGTGTTGTCGAGAGAGTATAATTGGACACTATGCTCTTTTGGTGTGTCGTCTCACTTTATATTCTGATCTGCATTGTTTGTTTTGAGGCACTCGAGGTGGACTTAGTGACGTTTCAAACAATCGATTAATTGATTAGCCCAGGAATTAGACTTCTTTTAATTACAGCCTCTACAACTATTTTTTGTGAAATTCACATTTCCCAGCCATTGCCCTAAGATTCCCTCTCTGAGCCATCATTCTCTCTTGCCAATACTTGATCTGGGATGACTGCATTTAAATCAAATAGCACTGTTAGGGCTCTGTTGTAGCAGAGTGGCTAAATCAAATGAAGGCTAACTTGAGACAATACTGGCTAGTAATCTCTTGTGTGTGATTTTTGGATACATGAGATGGCTTCTCATGGGCCTTTAGGTTTTTTCTAGCTTTCAGGCTGAAGCCAGGCCACTACATCACTTTGCCTTTAGTTACTGTGACTCATTAGTGTGTTTTTACTCTCTACCCTTCCCCCTCTTTATAAGTACATACTTAATATGCTAGGTTCCGCTGGTAAGGAGTGAAGATAGCCTGGAAGGATGCCATATAAAATTCACAGGGTTGTTATCGTTATACATTGCACTCAGCTACAGTTCTCGTGCAGCTCCACTAGCCTTTCTTGGCTCCTCCCCTCACACTTATCTTTAATTATGAGCTTAATAAAAGTTTTACAGTGGGTTTACTTTTATGCTTTTTTTTAACTTTGCTATCGACTTCCTGTTTAAATATGTACTTAAAAATTGTTTGCGCTTTTCTAGATATTTTTATGTTTGTCATCAATCATTAGAACTTTTTTATTCTCTGGAAATTGAAGTTTCAATAAGACCCTTTGTATTATCATGTTTTTGTGATTCACATAGAGAGATGTATTTTTAGATTGGCAAAGTGGTAGTCTCTTGGACCTCTACAAGTTTTGATACCTGAGGATTTTTATATGTACATCACATCCTTGTCTCTTGTTACTGATCAAGCAAGCAATATTTTTTGTGAGGGATGGGTGAATGAACATGAAAAAATAGATAACATTCCTGTAGCAAATCCTAAAAAGCACAAAAAAGAAAGCTGGTTGAGATAAATTAAGTTCCCAACTTTGAATTCCTCAAAGAAAAGAAGTACAGTATGAACATCTTAGTTAGCATGCAATCATGTGGTTAATTTTTGGTTTGTCAAACTACATTAAGTCTGTGCTAATAAGGTCACCAATCATGAAAAACAAAATAAACACCAGGGCCAGGTTGTTCAAAGGAGGATTAGTGAAAATCCAGGGTTAGTTATCTTGACACTACTCATACGTTCTATATAGTTTACAGTTACTGCAGTATTAACAGGGCTGTCATTAAGTTTTGAAGCAGCTGTAGCAAATGAAGATTCACTCGTAACATCTCACAAAAATTTATAGTGTTACCTTTAGTTTCCACTTTGATCACCTGTAACATCAAGTGAGCTCAGCCTTAACAGGTGATACAGGTTACAGCCCTTATGGCAGCTCTGATTACCACTGACAGGAAATTTTCTTATAATAATATTAATGATACAGCAATTAACTTTTCGTCTTTCCTTCTGTGACAGTACTAAGCACTTCCAAAATTGCCAAAGATGTCATGAACAAGGTCCTTGAAGTTTGCAAGCAGTGGAATGAAGGAACTCCATCCTTTTGCAAGTCAAAGATGAAATATGAATCCTGTGTTCATGCCATCAAAAACACAAGGAGAAAAATGGAAGATAAACATGTCATTCTCCCCCAGTTTAATAATCTTTTTGGTTTTCAAGAGGTACTTCTACCTTTCATAAATTAATGTTCTTTCAATACTATACAGTACTATCGTATTTTTTTTCTTATTTATCTTTCCACAACTTCATGAAAAACCCACTCTACCTAATTAAGTCATTAGCCTTTTAAAAACTGTCAGGGTAAAGGAGATTGAAACGTTTGTCTCTGTGTATAGCCAGTCAGAACAGTAAACTCAGCAAGCTTACCCTTGGAATCACCCACCTTGTCACTGTATAAAAGCAATGATTAATTTCTATAAGTAGCCAGCTATCCAAGGCATAATTTGTGATTTGAATGTCACTGAAATCTAAAAGGTTTCTGGCAAATTCCTTTAGTGTTTGGGGTTAAAGGAAAGACCAATGATAACCTTTACGACATGAAAAAAGTAGTGAAGAAATTTAGATGGACATCTATTGCTGATCCTGACAGTGTCCAACGTCAACAAATTTATTTGACTATGCTAGCCACACACAACAAAAGCTGATTTCCAGGTGGGGCGTGGGCATACACACATTGCAAAAGATAGAGGCAATATGGTGTTCACTATTGGAATGAATCCATCTTAGAGTGAGTTGACTGAGTGTATGAAATGCATATTAAGTTCTGCCAAGATGACTATGTCAACATAATAGCTGGTTACCCTCATACTAGTGCAAGGTTTTAGCCAGAAGGGTGTCCAGCCGTCCTATGGACGCCCATTTTTGGAAGAAACACAAGGAAAATTCACCTGATCTCTCATACGTTTAGGGGAAAACGTGAATTCTGGACGGCCAGTTTTCAATGTCTGGCTAAAAGCCTGTACTAGTGGGACAATCAATGTTTCCGTGTGTTAATTTTTGGTTTTATTAGCCTTACTTTGGTCCCCATCTTAGCTTTGCCTGTGGTTCATTTATCCCATCTTTTGTCAGGGTTGCTCATGATTTTAACAGAAACCTGACCTGTCATTATATAATAGCAAAGACTTGAAATGTGTTCTTTTTTCTAAAGGATCACTCAAATCAGGCTTTCTTTGCTGTTTATGATGGTCACAGTGGTGTTGATGCTTCAAACTACGCTGCAACTCACCTTCACTGTCACCTTGCAAGAAACAAATGCCTTGAAAAGGATCCATTATTGGCTTTAAAAGAGGCTTTTGAAAAGACGGACAAGTGCTTTGTAGCAAAAGCCAAAAGAGAGGCAAGGAGTAATATTATTTATTTTATCTGAACAGTGTACAAAAAAAAAAATAGCCCGTAAAGCTGTATTATAGAGATGCTGCATAGTTTCTTGCAAAAGCGAGGTTAATAAATCTGTCCGATTGGCATCGTATGTTGCTCTTACGAGGATCACTGGCAGAGTGCAATCTTACTTTGGTAATATTTTTATTGGTTTGGTATCCGGAGTTGCCTAGCAACAATGTTACGACTAAGCTCCAATTGACCTCATTCAGTCTGATGTCTCGTCTACTTCCATTGAACTGGTTGATGTCAAGGAGCATTTTGACGGTGTTGTTTTGACTGTTTTTGTGCCGTTTTGGCGATTGTGAAATGCTTTTGTTGATTAATTTGTATAGGTAATAGCATGATTTGTAGTGATATTTCAAAATTGTTATACGTAATTTCACGAGACGTTAGGCGAGTGAAATTTGAGACAATTTGGAAATATCACGAGTGGTGTTTATGCCAAATATCACATACAAATCATGCCATTATTTGTTTATACTACTACCCGCAAAAGGTTTGTAATTTTCACATGTAGTTATATCAAATTAAGCTGAAATACCACTGTTCTAAGCCAATCAAATTGCAGAAATTTCTCATGTAGTATACCTGCCAACTCTCATGCCTTAGGCGTGAGTCTCACGCCTGTGGGTTGAAAACTTCAATCTCATGCCGGCTCACGCCTGCGGGCCAATTTCTCACGCTTGATTGAAAAATGTGAGTTGTTGCCGTCCTGCTTGACACAATTTCCAAAAATATGTTAACTCAGACCCATGTAAGGAAGGAAAACCATGTGTAAAATGAATAAATGGCAATACCTTCCTCGCTATCTCTGATTTTTGAAGTGAAAAGCACTGGGAGCGAGCTCGCCTTTGGCAGACTTCGGACGTCTTCGGAAGACTTCGGACTTCTTCGGGAATCTTCGGAAATGATCGTGTCGTCTTCAAAAATCCCAGCACTCCCAGGATAAAAATCTCACGCTTATTTCTCAGAAAAAGTTGGCAGGTATAATGTAGTAGTATAATGACAGCAATTAAGTATTTTATAGAGAACATTGAAGCAATTTGGACTATTACAGCTTGATAGGTGATGGGATGTGTTTGTTTTTCGCAAGAGTGTTTTAGTTCAGCTTTTTACCATCAAAACCTTGCTTAACCTATACCACTGATATTAGGATTTATAAAACCATGCTTTTCCCTGAAATCTGTGCCTTTGAATTTATGTTACACCTAGGCAAACCCACAATGAATTGGTTCATTCCCGGCCTATCAATGTGACCGATGTTTCACCTCAGCTCCATACATCGATCGGCCATTAAGCCTGAGAGTGAATTAACACGGAAATATTGCAAAATGGCTTTGAAATACTCATTTAAGCTAGTTTTCCTCAAATGTATCTTTGAATTCATGTTAATAGAGCTCCACAAGTGTCAAACAGCATGTATGGCAGAGAAAAGTGCTTTAAGTGTAATAATTTTACCGATTTATCAATATTCAGTGGCATCTTGGCCCAGTTGTGTCGGAACTGTCTTCTCGTGCAGGAGGTAGTCATGTTGTACTGGTTCCAATCTCTGCATACATATTTTAGTTTTCTTTGTACATTTTTTTGTCCGTTTAGATTTAGATTTCTTTATCACATTTTTCCCTTTTGCTTGTTTCCCTTTATTCGCGAGGTTTTTGTGACAATGTATTTCTAGTATGAACTACTTGAACTTCACATACGAAGATCAGGGTTCACATGCAGTGAAGCTACACTGATAGTATGGCTTGCTATCCCCAGATACTTTGGTTCATGCTATTTCTCCCCGACCAGCTGTATAACTGATCACCGGCAGCATCTCTTGCAAAAATCTTTACATGATTTCTTCACAGCCCAATACATGTAATTACAAGATTTGATGCCACCTTTGAGACTGGTCTTCTAAGCCTCTATTTTGGTAGTCCATTAATGTTCCCATTACTGATCTTTTCAGGGTCTTCGTAGTGGCTCTACCGGTGTTGCCGTCCTGATTAAGGGTGAAACACTTTATGTTGCTTGGTTGGGAGACTCACAGGTTGTGCTCAGCAAAGCAGGGCAGCCCACTCTGCTGATGAGCCCTCACAAACCAAACAGAGAGGTAAGGTTTAAGAAACCCTAATAGTGAACCATACATTATTATTTTGCTCCAGATTATATTGATCACTGCTCAGTCATTTATGGCATAAATTAAGGTTGGAGGAAATGAAAACCGAATGAAAAAAGGGTCTGTAGATATCATTTTGCCATGTGGGACAAGAAACGTACCATTGCATTTGGGAGGAAAGCAGGAGGCAAAATGAGAAAAGACAGTACTGTAGGAGAGTGTTGTGATGGATCATTATCACACCCATTAACAACACCTATAGTCAGTTGTAATGGTTAAAAGCAAACCAGCCATGACATGACTGGGCAAAATCAGCTGCAAGAACTGCAATTTTGTGTCATGCTATCATTTCTCCCCAACCAGCTGCATAACTGATCACCAGCAGCATCCCTCCAAAAATCTCTACATGATGTCTTCACAGCCCCTCCGGCCTACCAAGGCTTGTAAGAAGAAGAGACACTTTCTACTAGCTTTTGTTTTCAATTGATTTCTGGTAAACTATTATCATTTTTTTAACACCAGGATGAAAGACAGAGAATTGAGGCCCTTGGAGGATGTGTTGTGTATTTTGGTGCATGGAGGGTGAATGGAAGTCTCTCAGTATCACGTGCAATTGGTGATGCTGAACACAAGCCTTACATCAGTGGAGAGCCTGATGTGGAGGAGTTCAATATGGAAGGTAATGGTTATTTTACGAATCAATCATGTTTTCAGACTATGTTTTGAAATGTCTAATACATGAATTTCATCATAACTGGAAAGTAAAAGGAAGACAAGATATTTGCCCCTGTTTATATTGCCATCCAAAGGAAGATTATGCAGTCTTCCCATGATTCCCTGCGCAATTTGTCGAAATTTTTGCTGGTAATGTGGCCATTTTGGATGCATCATGAGCTTCGGAGATGAACTTTTGACCTTTGAGAAGAGCCTGTTTCTTTTGTTTCATACCTTTTTTTATTGGTTCAGAATTGATTTCCTGTACAGATTTTCAAAGCTGTTAAAGTAAATTTGTACGCCTTATGTACATGATAAAGAGACCTGGATTTTTAATGATGACGGTATTGTCTTAGTTTGCCGTCACAGTCAGGCAGGTTCAAGAAACAGTGTTACTTTGTTACTTACAATAGAGGTTCTGTTAAACTATGATTATTTTTGAGGAGGGTAAGGGATATAATGGTTTCATCCCTGTCTGGGGAGTTGTAGAACTTTGCATCAAAAAAGTGTTATTAATACTTGGCCTTTAAGATTTTGACTTAGGTTTTCCTCCCATTAGAACATGATGGAACCTGTGAACAGATGTTGTAATAATACAATATAAACTTGTTGTTTTTGACAACTAAGAACAATATCTAAGAAGCTTAGAGAGCTTTCTGAGAAGTATATTGGCACCGTTGTCTTTCACAAGCCAGTGCAAGTTATTAGCCAGAGAAGCAGGTCTGACAGGGGAAAGATAGGGAGAGACAAAGGCCCTTTGTGGGGCACTAGTTAAAATAATGAGGAAAAAAACAGGCTGGAAAGAATCAAAATGCAGTGTTTATAATGTTGGTTAATTTTCTCTTGGATAGGTGATGAAGACTTTCTCATATTAGCTTGTGACGGTTTATGGGATGTTGTCAAGCCTGATGAAGCTGTTGAATTAGTAGTTCAGTACCTTGCAGATGGAGGTGATAGATCAACTGTTGCTAAACTGCTTGTGGATAGTGCTAAAAGTGGTGGCTCTAATGACAACATCTCAGTTGTTGTTGTCTTCTTGGATGTCCATAAGAGAGGTGTGGAATCTGTTACAGACACTGTGTCTAGCATAGCACTGACTGAAGTGGACCAAGATCTTTCATCTGATGACAGAGCTGTGAACACATCAGAAAATGGTACCAAGGAGAACAGTATCTTTGAAAATAAAGGGAACATTTCACCAGTACCATCTCCCAAACGTTCACCAAAGTTATCCAAAAAGACAGAGGATGAAAATACACCTGTAGTACACACTTCACCACAAACAGCAACATAGCAAGGCAGTTTCTCATCACCATGGTAACTAAGTATATGAATGATTTTACGCAAAACTTTATACTGAGGAGTGATAATTTCAAATTGAAATAAGCTCTATTTTTGTGCAGAGGCTATTAATCATGAATGTAAGAAACTTAGTTCATGTTATTTATTTGTTAAAAAATACCTGAAAATACGGAAAATGACAGAAATTGCTATCCTTTAGTCAACCGCTATGTGAAGCTATCTTTTGTTCTTTCTTTATAGTGACATATTGAAAGGTATATTTGTCATGTACAGCTGTTTGGTTGGGTCCACACGAGAAACTTAAAAGTTTATGAAAAGGAAACTGGCTACAGGTCCCACAACATATCAGTAAATTTTTCTGTCATTTTTGTTCCAGTCATTTGAAGTAGGAATAGTAATCACATAAGCCTTGGTACAGTTTATGTAAACCTTTTGTTAAAAAAGTGCATTCAAAGCTAAGTTTTGTACATGATACATGCAACATGTGGACTGTGCTGACGTAGTGCTTATTTCCAGTTCACTTTGTATTTCAATCCTCCAAAGCTTTACGCTCTTCATTACTTTTAACCGTAAATCTCTCCAGATCTTACTGGTTGAGTAAGATTTTAAGTGATAAATAACATTAGTGGTACTGGTGTTTCAGAGTTTTTACAAATGTATTTACTGACAAATCAAAATATTTACTCAATGGAATACTTATTTCAAGATTCAGATTTTTGTAAAAAATACCATAGCACATCTTATACACAGTACATCCAAAAATGTAACTGAATCCCATTAATTAGTTTCTAGTGCAGCTTTTGCTTCTCCTCGAGAAGGATTGCGTGATGACCTAAATAATGGCTACATAGAAGCCATTCATTTGAATTCATACATGTCCGCGATTCTTGTTATTTTCCATTGTGCTTACTGTACAGATGCTTGCGTAGCTAACTTATTTTTTTATGATAGTCACTACTCACCACACACGCGCACACAAACACCTTCCAGATATCCAAAACGTCCTTGTGCTCTATGAGCCTTGATATCATCAAGCGTTAATAGAGCACAACAGTTTATCTTTATTGATCATGTGGTTTATTCTCATGACCATAAATTTTGATCAAGTGTTGAAGTTATAAGGAGAAATAAGTTGCTTGTAACCTGTTGGTTTAAAGGGTTAAAAACTGTTTTAAATTTAGTGATGGAATTTAGGAATTTAGAAAGTAGTTGGTATTGTTGGTAATGCGGTTTAATCAACCAAAAAGAAAAGTAAGAATAAGGACCATTCATATCTTGTAATATGCTTAGGTTATACAGTCTTTATATCATCAAATCATTTACACCAAAAAGGCTGATTTGGCCGAACCAAGACACAATTTACATTCATTAGAAACCCAACTACAAAGACACAGCATTGTTTTAAGTAATCTTGTTATAACTGAAAAGCTGTACTATTTTTACATTTGTGATTGTAAACATAAAAGTTATTCAGCCGCTGTAATGGTTGGTCAGTATTCACTGGAGAAATAGGTTGCTTTGTCCTCTCATGTGGGTGGACTGGAGTACACTGTGCCCTCTTAATGGGGCAGGGCGGGGGGGCAAAAGGTTTTTTTTGAACCCTGATTTTCTGTCTGGAGGATCTTTTTTGTCTTCAAAGAACAGATCAAATTCTTCAATGTGCACGGCGAACGTTTATCGAATTCTTTTTATATTAGTGTGTCATCAAGGAATTTCTAGTTACCGTGGAACTCCGTTAATACGGTCACCAATAGGGCAAAAAACGTTGGCCTTATTAACGGGTGCCCGAATTAAAAAGGATTTTTTTACAACAAAATGTACGGCCGTTTTGCCAGGCGGCCAATAAAAAGTGGCCGTAATAAGGAGGTGACCGTATTACCGTGGTGGCGGTAAGGCGGTGTTTCACTGTATAATTATTAGACTTTATCAGAGACCTGCCCAAGCAGCCGGAAAACACTTAATAGCTCCTGTCATTCTAAGTTGCCCCAGGCCTCTCTATCAAAGCTTAGTTTCGTGTGAAAGGATGGATATGATCCAGGTGTAGCTTTAAAAAAGGGGGTAAAGGCTATTCAGAAATAGCCTATTGTACCCCTGGCTGAATTGCTTAAAAATTGGCAAAACATAATGATTAGAATTTATCAAAATAGGATAATCGTTATCATTTGGCTATAGATGATCAAGTTTGTTCTTGATGGAAAAATGGACTGTTCAATATTAGCCTACAAGGCAGACGTTCCTCTCCCTCGCGTGCCTTTCCCGCTTCTTGTGCGCCAGGAATCCCCTACTTCCTCTTTCCGTTCAAGCGCAGGCTAGATGTATAAAAGTTCGTCCTTCTCGCGTTTTGATACACGGAAATAGTACCTTAAATGGGCTGTTCTGATTATATTAATTACTTTTTTAAAAATCATACTTCTATCAGTTCCCGTCAAAACTACTTCATGTATTTATCCTTTAATTATCGTTCATCCTGTTTGACATTTCAGAGTTTTCGTATATTTTATGACATAGTATTAAATATTTTGAATATGTAAATTGTATCTATTATACAACCTAAGCTCACAGAAAAAAGAAAAGAACAACTTAGAAATCTTACCATAATTAACTTTGCTTGTATTCTTCAAAGTTAGCAAAGATTATATAATAAAAACGATATTTAACTCCAACGTGTGATATACAACAGAGAATCGTTATTGCATACTGTAGGGGTAATTCCTCGCCAAGCGAGGCTCGAAGGGTCTGGCGGAGTGAGGTTTACTTAGAATGTAGAAATTTGCGTGGGGCGTCGATCGCTTGTTGAGTTGTGATCTCAGTATGCCATATGAAAGCAATTAACTTCAAAATAAGAGCAAAAGTCGAAGTAAAAGGACATTTGGATTACGGCTCACTTCGTAAAGGAGATTACCTTGTATTGGCTATGTGTGTCGGAAATGCAATTCAGTTCGGCTTTTTACCGTTAAGGGTATTGAGTACCTGACGTATTTCTTTGAATTCATGTTACACCGAGGCAAACCTATCAAGAGCTTTGCCCCTTCCCCCGCCGACGGATTGAAAACTGGTTTTAGTTCCCTACTCGGTCTTTGTACTTTTTGAAAAAGTGGAAAGGAAATGGAAAGATGTCGCAGCCGCAGGTCTCTCCGTTAAACGATACCCTTTTGGATATTTATGGCAGATTTTAGCGAGGCATGGCTCTAAAACCTGTCTGGAAATTCCTAGGTTTATTTAGATGTCAAGTACGTATTACTTTACAGACAGTACCTGAACACTGGGCCCAAAATGTAGCCCTGCTGTACACCGCATGTAACTTAGAGAGGAAACCCAATGATCACTCAATGTGTGTAATTTCCTGTGTTTCAGAAAGACAACTTTTGAAACAGACAAAACTATCATGCTAAAATGTATGAGCCCTCTAACTGATCTCACTCTCGCAAACTAGCGGTATAAGTGGACACCTCTGTTTGTATTGCTGCGGACAGAGTTCAATATCATGGGATCCCTTTTGATTGTTCACCACTTGTAAGGGAGTTTGCCTATCTTTTTTCTTTTTATAGGGCCAAGTGATGAATTCCAATTTGAAGTTGTTTAAAGGCGTTGAAAGCTCAACCAAATTTTGGCTAGCTATACTCGCTATCTGTCTGCAACTAGAGAAACCACTAAGCTTGCAGGGAGTTGTTCTACAGCACACGAGTGGAATAGTCCCCACTTTCTTGTTTTCTAAGTTATGTTCCAACAAAAAGTTAGTTGCACCTTATGAATAATAGCTTCACTTGCTCAGAGTCTAGTCTGTCAGGTTAAATGTGGTATATAAAATTATACATTCAATTTGGAGTAACTACGCTGCGCAGTCTACTATGAAGAGGGCGATGACAACGACGGCGGGAAAGATTATCCAAACCGAAGATGGAAAGAAAGTCGCGGTAAAGCCGGATATTCGAAAAAAAGGTGGCAATCAAGTCGGTGAACGAATGACCTGCAAAAACTCAAAGTAAAAGAAAAAACGGAGCTTTACCAGACCTTGGATCAGTTAAATGAGGACCTGTGTTGAGATTACGATTTGTTAGGTTCAGCCAGGGGTATAAATAGTTCCATGATTACCCCTTCACGAATATACTCTGTACAAGCACAGGCTCTAAGTGATAACACTGCAATTCATATGTAGCTCGACTCTTTGTCGTTAGTTTGTTCAAAATATCATACCCAACCAGCGCTTACACTCCTACTACCCTTCGTATGTGACTGACCAGTGTAATCGACGCGTCAGTTTTAGAGAGCTGTCTGGGTTCGGCTGTTTTAAGGAATGTGGATGCGTGGATAGGTTGTCTGTACTGGCCTTTGGGCCCCGTGTGGTTCGGTCGGTTTTCATGGAGAGCTGAAATTTGGAATGGCTGAATTGTAATTCTTCTGTGCAGCAAACATTTGAAAGCTGAAAAGAAACGAAAAGGTATTAGAGATTTAAAAAGACATGTACCCAGTCATAAAACGGTAAGAACATTTTTTGTTAATCCTCTTGGTGCCAAAACTGCTAGCCTCAGAGTCACCCCTTGCAGCTGTTTCGGTATAAATAACTTTAAAAAAAAAAACAACACACGGCCTCTTCTTGCATTGCCCGGGAAAATGATTTTTGAGAAAATTTTTTGTGATAAAAATTCGCGTTCAGTTTGCGTCGTTATGATTTTTATTATGGATGGTCTTACCGAACTTTCAGTTACCGGAAAATTTTAGAATGATTTTTTTCTTTCAATGATGTTGCTGCAAGCCTGCGTAGCAAGCGTTTCCGTTTGGTTTCGGATCAAAGAAATACTGAGGAAGGGGACTTTCTGTTTTGACCGCTCGAGAAATGAAACGAGAGCCAAAAAGTGACCCCGTTTGCGCCACTTTTCTCGCGGTCTTTGACTCTCGTTCCTCGTTCTTTTCTCCTAAACCGCACAGAAACGCTTGCTACGCAGGCTATGTTGCTGCATAAATAATGTCTCTCTTTTACTTTGAAACTGTATAAAATTCAAGTAAAATGAAATTGTTTTCAGTCCTCTTCAGTTTGCCCTTTCATCTTCGCAACTGAAACTATTTTATATCATATTTTGCGTGGGTGTTAAATAACTTGGAACACATAAGACTTACTTTTTCACAGACTGAAAGCCCAGTGTTGCTCAAAACCGTAAACTGCTCGAACGTTCTTCATTCGTCTTTTAAGTCGTTGTTTTAAAAATATTGCAAAAGAACGATATTAAACAGACTTCTTCAATTATTTTTTTAAAGCGAAAACTGAAAAGAATGGCTTAAGTCAGGAGCCCATCAAATTTGATGAAACGAGAGCCAAAAAGTGACCCCGCTCTTTTACTTGCGCCACTTTTCTCGCGGTCTTTGACTCTCGTTCCTCAAATTCTCTCGTTCCATCAAATTTGATGGGCTCCTGCTTAAGTTCGAAATAAAAAGAAGACAAACAAGTCTTTATACCTCTGTTACTTTCCCGCCACAAGCACGCGCGAAAGTCGTGTCAAATGCAACTAAGTCGTCTTCAGTTTTGAAATTTTTCGTTTCCACTGATGATTTCTGAAAAAACTAAACAAGTGGGCTTCAGTTAACAACTGTTGTCTTCTGTTAATGAATATAATGATTAGAAACAGCTGCAGTGTGGTACGAAAAAATGGTTTTTTGGTCATACACTGCTCTTTACATTGCAACTTGACAACAACTTTACGAAGTGAGTAAATGCACAAACCTTTTTTCACTATTTTTTCTGTTGGAATATTGCTTTGAGCGCTCTTGAGGCCCTTTCCATGACGTTTTCTTTCATTCTGCCGATACGCTAGGGAATCAAACATGTTAAAACGCCTGTTTTCGTGTCTTTTTTGCTCTAAACGTTTGGTAACTTGTCGCTCCTTCACTCTCCTTTGCCTGTCTGCTGACAACTGGGCGGAAAGCAAAATTTAAATAAGGCGGGAGAACACCACGTGATTAAATTTCTAATAACTGATTGGTTGTTTTTGTTTTCTCTTGACAGTTGTGAATCAGTGAAAAGGGACGAAATCTTTCTTCTGTATGTATATGTTTTGAAACTGTGCTAGAAGTTGCAAGGCTAATCAAAATTAATTGGTGGACCATTCATTTTTCCATATTAGCAAAGGAATTTTTTGTAGGAGACTACTGACGAAAAAAAATTAACAACAACAAAAACAATGGAGGTTTAATAAGGAGCTGCACTAGAAGTGCTCGTTTGGCACATTTCATTCACGTTTTCTGCAGATCAACACAGAGCCAAATAAACAAACATTGCAAGAAAATGTTAAGTCAATTAGCTGAACTTTTAACTGGTCAATTACAACTAGTTTTCACAACGAAAAACGTGACTATCGTTACCTTCTGGGACCTAATTCCAGTTCAGATCAGGGACGGAAGACAAGTTTGACAAACATGGCTCTCTCCTCACCCCTATCAGGTATTGGTTTTACAGTGAGGAAGGGTAGTAGGTGGGGCAAACCATTTGCCTTCCCTGGGTACCAAAGTTTTTTCTTGCGGCAGAATGACCGGAACCGGAAACGCGCGTGAAAGTCTTTGGCACCCAGGGTATCATTTGTCAAATTATCGATGAGAATAAGAATCTTCATCATTTAAATTGAATTTCAGTATAATAAAAGTAGTATATCTTTACAATAAATTATAGTTTCCTCATTCGAGCGTCGAGCATCGAGAGAAATTAAAAAGCGAGTGTCACGCGCGTGGGCCTCTCGCGATATCCCACAGATAGAGAGCTTATTTGTGGGGTTCAACCATCGCAATAAGTTTGAAAATATTCACCAAAATTTTTTTCAGAGGAGCTAAAATACCATTTCGTTTGATTTTTTGCCCGAAAGCGGCGTTATCAGCAGAAAGTTCAAAACTGGCGTCGTTTCCCTCTGTTTTTCAGGCAGCCAATGACATTGCGACATATGATCACGTGTTATGTAAGCCAAACAAGAGGAGCGTTGTTGGAGCGTTGGGAACAAGCTATAAATTTGTAATGATTTTTTTGCGCTAAACAGCTTGATCTTAGGTTAGAGTATGTACTTGTTTTCGTCTTCTTTTTGACAGAAGAAATCTCAGTGGAAGGCGAAAAAGATACCTCATAGGAAAGCTGTCAAAATGGACGAGGGATCAGTAGAGGTAATTTGTGTTTTACGTCTTCACTCATATAAAATCAAATACAAATTGCCACTTACAAATCTCTAGCTACATACCGATCTGTAGATCGAACCATAGACTTAAACTTAACTTATGTTGTTTTGAGCGGAGGTTTCGAACCTAGAGACGCGTGTTTAATTTATTTAACCTCAACGAAATACGTAATAAACTATTGCTCTTGATTGCTTGAGTAGAAAACGATAGGTTTATCGAATTCTTTGACAAAACAACCACTTATAGTAGACGGCCTCGCCGGTGATACGTACTGGTTTGATTTTCTTGTCAGGGTAATCGAAAATTAAACTTGAGTTGGCTTTACATGGTAGGTCTTCGTAAACTGTGATCTCGAGACACGATCGTCCTAAAATGGTTTAAAAAGTGTTTCAGTCATTGCTGAAGTTGCTTTTTTGATGTCACTATAAACGTATTTGTAAGAGTGTAGAAGGTTGACCTATACCCTTCATATATAGGTTTAAGATATTTTATAGTAATCATATTTCATTATGCTTTACTTTGCGAAGTAAATTTAAAGCTGTCAAGATGTTACTAAAAGAACATTTATACTTTTACAGTATGTAATATTTTTAACATCCCATGATCTGTAGAGGTTTAGGGTTCCCTTGGGTTAGTGTCATGTATTAAATTAATTTTATTCGAATAAGTCGAATTAGTGGACAAATAAGCGCCCATCCTAAAGGCAGTCGAATATGAAGAATTCCTGCAGATCAAACTCAAATAAGCGCTCACCCCCACTCCACCCACTTGAGTGAATAAATTCCAATAAGAGACTTCCCGAGGCGGAGTTTTCTTCAGAGTAAAACCTTGCTTTGTTACTTCTTCGCATTTTGTTATTAGCATTGATTGTTTTGTTGCAAAATAAACATACTTCACTTGCTGATAATGGTGAAAATTTAATAAGCGCCCAGCCTCGAATAAGCGCCCACCTCGAATAAGCGCCCACTCTCAAGGTCCAAAAATTTAATAAGCGCCCAGGGCGGTTAATCGAATAAATACGGTAATTAGCTAGTAATTAGTGGACAAGGCTGAGTCGAATATGAAGAATTATACAGATCGAAGAGGGTGTTATCCGTCGAGGCTGAAGGCCTACTCAGATCACATGCTTCATGTTATATTTTGGCTTTCGTTACTTTTAGAGCAATGGTTACCCTGTGAGCAGAGGTTCCTCTCTTGCATGCCTTTTAGCGTTTACAAAGTCGTTCCCCTGGCTGGTCTGTCGTGTAAACCAGCCATGTTGCTGTTGATTCAAGCCTAATAATATTCCAGGGGTTTCAATAAGTTTTTGCATAAGTGGGTACTTAAGAGTAACAATCCTTGTTCTGGACTTCCAGCTGTGTACCCAGATTTGAGTACGGTCCATGGGCATGGCCAGTTAAAAAGTTCTAGACTTTACGCAGTGTGCATTTTCAAGTTTTTTTTGTTGCTTTGTTTTTACATTTTTTGCTCCTAAGTCAACTTTTAAACAAATTTGAAGAGAATTATGTTACAATGAAGTAGTCATAGTCAAAACCTATTTTGCCAAATTTTTTACAAGAATCTCTGCTGAGATGAAATTATCTGGTCTTAGTTGACGTTCATGTTTAGGCTATCGCAGCCCGTTGCAGGCTATGTTGATTCCCGCACCCGCTACTAATAAAACCCTATATTCTAAATAACTGTTAATGACAAATGTTGTGGTATGCCAACAAAGAAATAAAACAACACACAAGGTTTTGGTGGGTGAAGGACCGGATAATCCAATGTTTAAGAGGTGTCGACACATGGCACCATACCGAGGGGTGCCTCATACCTGTACTGCAAGGCAAGCATGGTTCATACATTGCTGCTTAAACCTGTAGTGACTGAAGAAAGTGCAGACTGAGAGGGGATATAGTATATTAAAAATATAAAGGCACAGTGCCAAATAAGGAGATACCACGTGAGGTAAAACCACAGTGATCTGCAGGCAAACAGATTATTTCTTGCCAACACTAGCTTCTGTTTTAGGCTAAAATGTCATATAAAGACCCAAGACTGTACATTTGGCGTTTATATTCGTCATGTTATTGTGTAAACTTGTCAGTTTGGCTTGTGCATTCAGTTAATGATGGCGTCCTTAAACTAATGAAAGCCAATATTTCCAACATAAAAGTTACATGCTTCTCTTGACCAATGTAAAGTTCTCAACTTCACAACATTTGCCTGTGTCCTTACAGTTTCAGAGCGGTTTTGTAGATATTCTGCAAATAGCAGTTGTCGACTGTGGAGCTATGTTTTTTAAGCAGTATTTTGGCCATTTCTTCTTTGAAAAGTGTGCAAAATCTTTAGCCTTCTTCTGCAACTCTACCAAACAGCTCCCTCTGCTATTGCTTCTTCTGCTGTTCCTGTTTCTCTTGATTTTCAGTACAAACATCAAGTCCAAATTTGGTCGACATTTACTAGTTTTGAAGAATTAGGTTGGGGTTAACCCATTCTTCCCTGGGAATTCTTGCCGAAAAACACATTTTGAAGCCAATCAATCCATTTTCTTGTCACTGTCTGGCTATAAAGAGCCAAACTTATCAAAGATCCATTTACAGGTTGTGCGTGTTGCCACCTTCTGTTCCAGATGCAATTTAATGTGAGCTTCTGTAGGTTGGGCATGTGCAGAAACCAAAATTTTGAGATTAACTTCAGTTTTGAAAGTGACACAGCAGTCTTGACTTCTTCCTTTTGCTTTTCTGTCCTCATTTTTTTCTTTTGCTGGGAATTACTAGGGTTTTGGAAATGTAGGATTTGATTATAGATGGAAGGAAGTGAAGGCATACCAGTGTAGTGGAACAAAAGTTTCTTTGGAATTTTTCGGGTCAACTTTTCATTGGTTTTTGCCTTTTTCTCATGTCTCCTTGACTTTTTAATGCTCATTCTGGTATGGTGTGAAAGATCATTCCCCCCCGTAGCAGTTAGATGATTAAGTTACCCTTGACCTCAAACCTCACCTGTCTTTTTTTTCAGAGCTTAGCGGAGGTCTTCAGATGTTTCATCTGTATGGAGAAGCTGCGAGATGCAAGGCTATGCCCTCATTGTTCCAAAATGTGTTGTTTTCTATGCATAAGGGTAAGTACATGTGAGTTGTCAATTCAACAGTTCTGCCACGATATTTGCTTTTTCTACACTGACTGGTTATACATGGTGGATCATCTTAGTCATTATTATTGGTCATGTTAGGCTTTTAGTTTTTGGGCTCCTTACAATATTTTCCTTAGAACAAACTGGAAGCCTCGATAGTTATGTTTGTACAATAATACCATAAAATTCCGAAAATAAGCCCCGAGGCTTATATTTTTCAAAGGCCCTTTTTGAAGGGCTTATTTTTGGAGGGGCTTATATTCAGAGGGGCTTATCTACGGAGGGAAATTTGCTTTTCAAAATCAATTGAGCTAGCTTTATAGTTGGAAGTAAATTGACTGTTTTTGCTTTATTTTGCTTTGTATTTGAGGGAAATTTTTTAAGTACAAGACCCTGGGGGGCTTATATTATTTGGAGGGGCGATTTAACGGAGGGTTTTTTGGAGTATGCTAACAGTACATTGCAGAGCTCTCAAGCTAGGCTTCTACACAGCCGTGTTTAGTGTCACCATGCAACACTCTTCCCCACAAATGGCTTCTGAGAATTGAACCACATTCCTTCTCTTTGTGTTTATGGTCTAGCTAACAAATCAATCATGTATGTGAAACTTGACAAGAAGTGAGCTGGGTGCATGCGGTGAAATGATCGTGAACGTTCTTCTCAATTTTCAAGAAATCAATCAATCCTAATAAGTAAAGGTTTTGTGATGTAAACACAAGTAAAAAAATAATGCAGATAAAATCCAACAATGTTTCCGTGTCATCATGACGCCATTTTAAAGATTGAAGTTGAAAAATTCGGACCGAGAGTAGTGCTAAATGTACAATTTTGTGAAGAGAAATGCAAATTAAGTCCGACATGTAATAATGTGCATGCCCCTAGATACTATTAATACAAGTTTAGTGCTGAAAGTCAAGATTCCCTTGTTGCCAAACAATCTATTAGGGGCCATTGGCAAAATATTTTTTAAATTTTTTATCACAATTTTTTTGTCTTTGCAATGTGCTTTTGCATTTACAGTAAATCTTGGGAAAGAACTAGTTGCAATGTACATTCTACAAAGTGGCTTCTATGGTGTAATTAAATAAGTTTTCCAAATGTTTCAAATGCTTTGATTTGATAATCAATAACATGATCTAACTTAAGTAATGCAAATTTTTGAAAGATGTTTTAGACAGAATTTTTATTAATAAATACAAATTGTATATTCTTTAGAGCCAGGGTTTTTGCCCATTTGCACTAAATTCTGGTATTGAAATGCATAAAGTAACTCAGATTCACCTTTAGAGAACCACCTATAATATAGGAGTCAAAACTTGCTGAAAAGTTATTACCAAAAAAGTGCAGTTCACAGCAATGATTTCTGATTGTTTGGACTGATAAGCTTGCAGGTGTCTCTTGTCAGAATTGTGTGTAATTATATTGAAAATGCAGCCTCTACAGTACACACAGCTTATAAAAGCAGAGACTGCTACATAAGTGAGGACTGAAACTAACATAGAAAACTGAAGTATTCTGTGAAGCTATCAATTTAAATGACTGTGTGCAATGAAATTCAAAGTTGTGATAATGAAACATATCACTGTAAGTTGCCAATAATTTTGGATAGGTATTGTACAGGGTATGTGTAATGTACGGGCTTAAATGTTTTCAACAGTAAGTGTGCACATATATATTGTTCTGCTTGAGGCCATGGGAATTGTTGCATTACATGCGTGTAAACCTGCCATACTGTGTGCTATTTACATGAGAAAAACATGCATGTAAGCAAAGTCTACACAAAAGTACAAGGTAAAATTTATACATAATAGGAAAAAATTTTTTTCTCAGGCTATTGTATAAGATGTAATCATGATTTATGTTTTGTGTGTTTTGTCTCCAGCGATGGCTTACAGAACAAAGACCCCAGTGTCCACATTGCAGGTACTCTTGGTACAAAATAGCATTTTTTATTGCTTTTTAAACATTGTAAAATTATATTTTGCACATGCAGTTCACTGAAATTACGGGATCTCTACTTTAAGGTATAATAAAGCAAGAAATCTCAGGATTTCATTTGTTAGAAACCACATATGTTCATGAACATGACTGATTTCATGTGTACAGCTCATGTTTTATAAACACAACAATTCTTGGCAGAAACTTGACAAGTATCGTGTTAAAGCCAGCAACCAGGCTGACTTTTGTTAGATCTTTGCATCAAATTCCTATGAATTGTCCAATTCTGTCAGATAATCATCATTTTCTTTTCTTCTGCAAAGAGCTTCTTTACATCTTCATGAGCTTGTTCATTGTCGATGGGTTGAAGAAGTTACACAGGTGAGGTGTTGTACTGTTCATTGATGCTTGGCGTGTAGCAGGTTAAAGCTGTGAAACAAGTTCACAGTAGCTATTAAATAATTATTATAATAAGAATAGTAATAAAAAGAATCAGGGTGCAATGATATTCCGTTTTACAGCTTGTCATTCCAGCAAGCTGTAACGAGAATGTACTAGCCCAAGAGTCATTCTAATTAGCCCGAAAAAATTTGTTTTGAGCAGGATGATGAGCCGGATTGATTACAGTTCTTCTGTAATTTGAATGCCCCAAAACACTCAACTTGCCCAACAGAATTCACCAGCCAAGTAGCAAAATCCACTAGTCCTGGGCTATCAGGCACCACATTCTTTGTACGCTGAGAATGATATACAATAATATAGAAGTAATAATAATAATAATAAACATCTGATTATAAACTTTGCTGGATATAAGCCCTTCTCTAGATTGTATTGAAATGAGTTTTATTTATTATGATGTTTTGAAGCCTAATGAAAAACCAGTAAACCCAAAACATATTTGAATTCAAACTTTTAACCATCACCAAATATCCAAAAGTAAATGCCAGTTCTCAATTTGTCAGAGATGTTTGATGGTGAGTACGGTCATTTACAGCTGCTGGTAGAGACTTCCCGTTACATTTAACCTGAGGCCATTTTATCACTGCTAGAAATACCATTTTTAAGAAAATGACAGACAGATCACACAAGTTTAAATTTATCCACAAAATTCACAGTTCCTGTTTTCATTTCTAACAGTGCATGCACCATATTAAACCCTCCAAAAAGTCAACACATGCATTTACTTTGTTCTAGTTTAGAGCCTTTTTGTTGAAATCAAGTTAGCAGTGCATGAAAGAAGCGCTGTTTCTCACAACATCATATGGACTAATATTAGTTAGATATTTAGGGCCTAAGCTTGAGCAGTTCATGGGGGCGTTAATATTCTTGTGCCTCCATGAAACAACCTCTTTAATATCCTTATTTAATCCATAATGCCTCCTAGCTAGATTAGCTTTTTAGCTATTTTCGGATCATTTTTACTGCCCACCTACCCCTCCCCTAAGCCAACATTTTGATCTAAGTAAGAACTAAGTGTTAATGTTGGTTTAGGGGAGGGGTAGGTGGGCAGTTTCCCAGAAACGTAAAATGATCCCTATTTTCTAGGTGCCTTGTACCTTACATAAGTAGTATTGTCTTTTTTTTAATGTCGTTTTTTTCTGTGTTTTGTCTAATTATTCATATCCCTTATGCTGCTTAATTTTGTTTCATTTTAGTGTAAAGTATTTTAGACATTTTGTATTTAGCATTTAACTTTAATAGATTTAGCTTGCTCAAACTACATGTAGCACCATGTTGCTGTATATTGTAAGTGAGTTTAAATGAAGATTCTAACTGATTGTTAAGTGACAATATAATATATGTATGTCTTGTGTGGGAAAATAGTATTGTTGTCATTTCCTAACTGCGTATAAATTGTGTAGTTTTCATTATTGTTAAATGTCATTTTAGTGGATATAAAAAGCATAAGACTCATTAGGAAGTGTGTGGGACTTGAAAGATTCTATCAATAGATTGGCTGTCTGGTGGCCCACCTTAAATTCCTAAATGGACTTTCTATTAAAGCAGTCTGATCTATGTTAATTCAGATTTTTTCATGACATGTGCCATGTTTTAGGGACATGGTTAATTCATACAACTTAGCTTTTAGTATTCTTGCCCTTTACTTTTAGCTTTTTTTCCTGTTATAAATTTCAGCAACTGGATTCTCTTCAGTTAACTGGGCCTCCAAAAACCAAGGATGAAGCAGATAAAGATAGGTGGGTGCTGAATTAAATGCCAGTTCAGGAAAGAATGTTATTGCAAAGTTATTAGAGCACATACAAGTTAAAATTTGCATAGGTTTAATTTATTAGAAGAAACGTTTCTTGACAAAGCAGGTGTTGCCTAAAGCTACATGTACTTTGCTAGATTCTGAATTTGAATCTGCACTCATTTTCAAGGCCACAAAGCTATTGTATAAATGAAGTGATTCTGTATACACCATCATTCAGATCAGACATTGATAATACACGGAACAGTTACATTTTTTCTCCAAATGTAAAGTCAGCACCTGTATATATAGTCGTGGCAGACAATTTTCATAATCAAACCATGGAAAACTATACGTAGTATGTGCAAGCTTTGGCTCAAAATTAAAAATTCAAGTAAGTATTAATCAACCATTTACAGTCCACTGAAAACATTTCTCAGTTTGGTGATTTTTGATGATTGAATTGAAAGAATAATCATGTTTTTCTGCCGTGAACTAGTGGGCTTAGTAAATCGGTCAGTGCATATATATGTCTGGTCATGGCCATTTCAGCTAAAGAGGACTTCTTTTGTAGATAAGTATGGTAGTTCATTGTATTATTCAATATCTATTTTGTATAAATAATAGTACATTTTCAAAAGTTATGGTTCTCAAGGTGTTATTAGTCGAAAGTAATACGTACCCATAAGTTCTTTTTGTTTTCTAACAATTATTCTTTATGTAATGTCAGTTAAATTTATTTTTTGTTTTGCAGTAAGTGTAATAAACTTGATTGTATATCTATGTCAGAAAACAGGAATTTGGTCAATCCTTTGAACATATGCTGTAGTTTAAAATATGTTTTATAAAAAAACATAATCCTCATGAAACAACTAGTTTGAAGTTTTTTCAACCTGAAATTTTTATAAAACTAAAACGTACACTGTACATGCTATATCATTTAGTACTGTTCACAATATAATTTTCCCATTGTTAAGTACCCCCTACTATTTTAGTTTTGGTTATTGTATCATTTGAGTAGTTTTTGTGATGAGTGTGCATAATTGTTGCATAAATTATGCAATAATGATGCACACTTACCACCATGGGATAGTGGGGCAAGGTGTTATAAGTACTTCATATAGTATGATTTATGATCTAATGGGTATAACTCTTGCTTCAGTTTGGGTGTGATGACATTACATGAAGTAATTTTTTATTATGTTGCAGATGTGATATTCACCATGAGAAACTTAGTGTTTTCTGCAGCACCTGCAAACAGTGTATCTGTCACCAGTGTGCCTTGTGGGGTGGAATGGTATGTAGTAAATGTATACATTGTATAAATGAGGTTAAATATACTTATTTAACTTAGTTAACGATGAGAAGCTAGCAGCTCAGTAGTTGGCTTGGCGTTAGCATGGCGTTTTGGTTTGTTAGTATTTTATTGGTGTACTTTGGCGATCTTACAGTTATCCTACGCTCTGGTGTTTTTGCCAAGGTTTGCGTTACTGTACTAGGCCTGTTGCGGGGCAATTTCCAGCGCCCCTGGGTCAGCAGTTTACTGTTGCAATTAATTTTTACGCGTGCGTATTTGCCTGTGCTTGTAGTTTTACAGTTATAGTGCTTTTACCTCCCCTCCTCACCCCTTATTGTTATTATTAGTACATATTATTATTGTCCTTATTTCTCCACTGAACTCTTGGTTCAGTGTGACAGGTGCTTGGGCCAGGGCTGAGTGTGGCGGGTGGGGCTCGTGGTTGGGTGTGTGGGTAGGGCAGGCTTTTGGGGTGCTCTTTCTACCTGGGTTAGGGGTCAGCGGCTCAAGTCCCCAGGTTCCTAGGCACCCAACCTCCATGTGCGATTCAGGCATTAATGTTATAACTAAGCAATAGTTAGTTTTACCTCACCTAATGTTTTGTTTGATTTTGAACAGCACTCTGGTCACACATTCAAGCCTTTGGATGAAGTGTATGACCAACATGTGTCCTCTATTACTGATGAGGTGGGTTTCTGAATAAGTCATCTTTTTTAAGGTGGACACTGTCAGGTCCAGCTGCAACGCTTGTCTAGAATTTATTACTGGCAATAAAATGCTTGAACAAACAAAATTCCTAGTGGAGCTCTTGCGCTTGCGAAGTGCACACAGCAGAGCACCATGGGTAAGAAATTTGGTTGTCTGTGCATCCAAGAAATTTTAGTTTGACAATTGTCCGTACGTACGTCCGAACATTTCTGTTAGCGGATGTGAAACATCTTACTCACCAGCTTAAAAGTGCTAGGCATATACAAAAAAGAAAAATTGTGTTTAACTTGATATTGGACATCTGTGTTATGATCAATTGACAGGACTTGGTCAAAATAGGGTTTCCGCTAAACAGAGTCACATGGCTGTATTGCAGGTTTCAGTTGTCACAGTTGACCAGTTATAGTATTGAACTGATTGCAGGCACAGAAAACTTCAGAAAAAAGTTCTCAAAAGTTCCCACAAGAGCTTTGCTTTTGAATTGGCTAAATCTATATATTAATCTACATATTAATAATTGAACGTAGCCCTGAAAGAAAAGATCCATGACTTATAGGGAGGTCCAATGAAGTTAGTCTATGTTGACTGTAAATACATGTAGAACCGTGATTCTTCTTTTCCATTCCTTGAGGGATTTTGATCTAGACAGAATCTGAAGATGAGCTGCTGTGACGTCTTTATGTTTCAGGTTGCTGCATTAAGGAGAAGACTTATGGAACTTATTAGCCTAGTGCAAGAAGTGGTATGTTGATTTGTTTGCAAAATCAGTCAAGTTCTATAGCGAATACCTTTACCTTTATTACTTTTGTTATTGCAACTTTGATGCATTTCCTGTAGCTCCATAAATTCTCCATAATCCCTCTATGGAAGGAACCAGAAATTCCTGCAGAAGGATGGGGTATCAAAGACCAAAAAATTAAAAGAAATGTAGAAAGCTGTATGGGAATTTCCAGACACTCTTAGGAAAAATCTTTCCTGTTCCATGGAGGAGGAAAGGATTCTCTTGGGAACTACAGTATGACTGTGTTGCAGATATTATAATAATTCAATATTATTTATGTCTGTACTGCTCTTTAGGTCCTATTTAACTAGTTATAATTATTATGAATTTCCTTCTAGGAACGCAATGTTGAAAGTTTACGAGAAGCTAAAGAAGAGGTATATTAATTTGTCAAGTAATATTACATAGCTGTGGTCTAGCATAGCCCGGTGGCCCCTAGCGCCTAACTTTTGCTCTCAGGGCAATTAAAAAATCTTTCTTTTTCATGCAAATCTTATACTGGACACCCTAGATTTTACACCAACAGAGAGCAGTGGGCTTCTTTCAATTTTCCTTAGAGCACAACCTTTTTTCTAGTTACCTGATATAACTATTAATGGTCAGTGATACACGTTGCATTTGTAGAATGTAAAGGATGATCAAGAGGTTAATATCAGTTTATAGTAAATGAATGTTTCTATTATTTTGTTACTCATTTGTGCAGCGTGTCCGTGAGATCCGTAATGCAGTGGAATTGATGATAGCAAGGCTAGATACTCAACTGAAGAGTAAACTACTGACTCTTATGGGTAAGTCATGAATCAGTCATCAAGAGCAGGGACACAGTCATAATTTCTTGACAGTTTGATTTTTTTCTGTTTACTTATACCAATCATGATAATAATATTATTGCTTTATAACACGTGAGTACCCTTTTGCTAATTAAGGTGGTGTTGTACCTGTTAATGAATACTCTGTACCATCTACACCTACATATGCAGGGCTTGAAAAAAGTCATGTCTCCTCATTTCGAACAAAATTTTTTTTTCTGGATAAGTAACTCTTTAAGCTTATTTTCCAAATGGTTTATGGACCAAGCAAGTCATCTGGTGATTAAAACTGAGGCAACCAAGCAATGGCCCCTTTTCTTCCGGTTTCAAGCCTCAACCCTGTTACATTTAACAGAAGCTCTGTCACCATTGCATTGGTTTGGACTCCAATGTTTTTGTTAGTAATAATGAGTTGGTGCTTCTTTTGTACAAACAGGACAAAAGAACTCACTAACTCAGGAGACAGAATTATTGGAATCATTGTTACAGGAAGTTGAGCATCAGGTTTGTGTCTCCTAACTTACAGTTACCATAATTGTGGCTTTAGAAGTTGGAAAAAAAAATTATTACTTGGGCAGTCATTTCTTTTAGGGGACATTTATTAGCATAAGTGTTCAAGACCACTTAATCCAGCTTCTTCAGTCTTCTTGTATTATGCTCTAGTTTAACTATTGAGCACTCATATAGTTGATGAGGATGTCACTCTGGTACTGTGGACATTAAATATTAATTCATGTACATTGATATGTGATTTTTCTCTTCTCATAGCTTCACTCATGTTCCAGAAGTGAGCTGATTGCAAAAAGTGGGGAACTTCTGCAAATGTTTAATCAGGTATTTAAATGATTTTCAGTGGTGCTTTCATTGGCATTGTTCCTCTCTTCATATGCTGGATTGGACCTGTATCATTTAAACAAAGTGTATAAATTTACAGTGGTTTTCATTGAAAAGTCTGTCGAAAAAAATTAATACAACGTATATTTAATGCAAGACTAAACCTTAACTTCAGTTATGATTGACAGGATTGTCATTAAGCAATGTTCGTTTTCTTAGGTTCATCGAAAGCCAATGGCATCTTTTGTGAGCCCTCCAATACCAGCTGACTTTTCAAGGTAAGTTTTCAAAAATTCTGAAACTTGTGGATTAAACTGGTTTGTTTCTTTAATAATATTGCTACATGCGCCCTGTTTAATTTATTTACTGCCTTGGCAACCTTCTTGTTATAAATTGCTAAATGTTGTTTGAAACGTATTTCCATTATTTTTTGTCTACAAGCAAATGCCTTGTACCTGAATTTTCTCCTCCTAAGCTTTCACTTCCCCCTCCTTCTCTGCTCCCTTCCTTTTCCTCTCTTCATCCTAGTTTTCTTCCTTCCTCTTTTCTTCTTCCTTCTCATCCCCTTCTCCTCCTCCCCTGCCACCCCCTCCTTTTCATCCCCTTTCCCCTCTTGCCTGCCCCTCTACATCCTCCACATCTTTTTCTTCCTTCTGCATTTTCCTCTCCTTTTTTCTTTACCTCTTACCCTTTTCCCTTCCTTTACTCTGCCTCCTCCTCCCTCTCCTCCTTTGCCTTCCCTTCCTTTACATCTTCCTTCTCTCCGGCTTCCCATCCTTCTCCTTTTCCTCTCCCTCCTTCTTTCCCCTTCTCCTATCCTGCTTCCCCCCATTCTCCTTTTCCCCGATCCTGCTTCCCCCCAAAAGAAATCCCCATTTGATTCCCCCGACTTGTTGTATTTACCTCCTCTTAGTGACCCCTCTCCCTCCTCTCCTCCTCTCTCCTCCTCTTCCTCCTCCCCCACCTCCACAACCTCCCCCTGGCTTCTCACCCCTTTCCTTTTCCTTTTCCTTTTCCTCTCCCTCCTTCCTCTTTTCCTCAAGAGTAAAATATTTTTATCTTGATGTTTAGTGAAATTGTGCCGGGATATGACACTAGCACATTCTGCATCACAAATTTCAGGTATGTTTTTCTCTCTATGCTGTATTATAAGGCCATCAATGATGACTTGCTGTATATATAAACTCTTGTGACTCAAGTAATTTGAATTACTCAAGTGGAATTTGAATTATACCTTGGTTTATAAATGCAGGGCTGTCAGTGGAACTTCCCATACTAACGAACCTCTATTTTATTGGAAAATAGAAGAAAAAATCCTTGGTGTTTGATTCAAATTATTTTGGCAACTTGAAATTTTAGTGACAACCCTGAAATGATTTTCTTTACCTCAGTAAGAGTAAAAATAATATATGAAAAAGAACCTTGATATAACGAAAGCTTGGTATACAGCAAGCAAATTTTGCCAGTCCCTTGGCCCTTTCATTATATCGAGGTCCCACTGTAGGAGGTTGTAAGGGTGTGAAAACATAGAGATCAAGGAATGACTGTTTCAAGGGGTTGGCAGCAGTTCAGTGACTCAAAGAGGCATCAGAGCAATCTGCATGGAGCTGTTAAAATTTAAAAATAAATGACAAGCATTGGAGGGAAGTCAGGAAAATGAAGATGTTGGTTTGAGAACAAATAAATTGCCTTCTTAAGAAACCACTGGTAAAAGGAAGGGCTTGAAATCCTTCTCAGTGCAGAAGGTATGGGTTTCTTCTAAAATAATAATATTTTCAGTGATGTACATCTCTGCAGCAAAGTCTTAGCTGTATTTTGTTTGCTGCATCAAGTTATATCATATTCCAACAATATTATGGATAATTGTATGGTAGACGGATTCATAGCATTAAGAATAAGAAAATTCTAATAATTGTTTAATATTTAATATGTTTACAATTTTATTGTAATTATGTAAGATACATTAACATGTTCAATTGTATTTTGTTATTTGTAAACATGTTTAGTTTACTGCGGCGAAAGGCAGATCCTGTTTATAGCGAGCCTCTAAATGTCAGTGGTCTAAGCTGGAGACTCAAAGTTTATCCGGTAAGTTTGTGATTTCTGTTAGCAGGAGAGCATACATGTTAACTTACTTGTGACCTCTCTTGCCTGTGAAATCTTTTAAGTCCATTCTGCAAGAAATTTCAGGTGTTCACTTTTATTGTTTTTTTTTTCATTCTTTTTAAGGATGGTAATGGTGTGGTCAGAGGTAACTACCTGTCAGTGTTTTTGGAACTTTCAGCTGGATTGCCGGAGACATCCAAGTAATTATTCCATCGTCTTGTTTGTCACTGATCTTTGTTTTAGACTGACAGCAGTCCTAAGTCAGGGTTTTCATTAAGTGCTGGCAACTGGCTTAAAAAACCAGCTACTTCGAATTTTGAGCTGCCTACTTTTGGAGGAAAAGGTGAAGTGAGGAAGTGAAAGCCTGAAATTGCTTTCAGCACTAGATTGCAAGCCTCCTCCTTTTCCACTCTAATTGTCTACTTTAAAACTAAATGAGAACCTTGTGAGTACATTGTACATAATGTCATGTAATCAGTAAAGTGGAAAGCCCACCATGTGAAGTGTCTTAAAACCACATTTGTCGTCTATCCTTTATAGTATGATAATTTTTGTCATTATTTGTTGATCATTTAGATATGAGTACCGTGTTGAAATGATACACCATGCTTCTCCAGACTCCAGCAAGAATATTGTTAGGGAATTTGGTGAGTTTCAAGGGATCTAATAAGAAATTGTTAATTTGCGTGGAGAGAAATGTTAAGCCTTTGTTTTAAAACTACTGTCACACTCAGCTGGTGGTCTATATTTGTAACTGTTTTAGACTCTTCACCATGAAGTGAGGCAGATTTTCTTCTTATTATATTGTACCAATTCACGAGATAACCAAAACACTAAGGAAGAAAGTATTATGCCATAAATCTCTTTTTTTTCTCTCTCTCTTCATCGTAGCATCTGACTTTGAAGTTGGTGAATGCTGGGGTTATAACAGGTTTTTCCGGCTGGATCTCTTGGTAGGTTTGACGCATCTATAGTAAATCTGTACTAGTGTACAAACTGTATACTATCGTTCTGTAGCATGCCCAAGGCAGGGCAGTAGGTTAATCATATTTAAGTACATTGTTTATTCTTTGAGCATAAAGTGACTCTGCTAATGATTAAAATTTTCTCTAGGGAAGTGAAGGCTACCTAAACATAGCTAATGATACATTGATTTTGAGATTTCAAGTGAGACCCCCAACATTCTACCAGAAGTGTAGAGATCAGCAGTGGTATGTTTATTTTCTTGTCTATTATGCTTGCTTGTGCAGACCTCTTCAAGTTTGAGGGTGCTCTAACGTTACTATGTAAGGCACTGTGGGTGATGGTAGTTTGTACATAAAATGAAGTAATCAAATTTTTTTGTTGGGATCATTTTCTGATCCAATTCTACTTCAATTCTACTTCTTGTAATATTTTATTGTTCTTTTCTATATGTTTAGTAAGTATATTGATTATGAATTGATTTGTGCAATAGGTATATCAACCAACTGGAGACTGGCCAAACTCAGTACATCCAACAGATTAATGATTTAAAGGAGGTAAGAGCCAATTTACATTTTGACACATTCATCAATTTTTAACATGTTGTGGCATACAGTACACAGGAATTTTTGGAAAACCGAGCGTAGGATAATATAATGGAACCCTGTGTGAGCAGTGTGGTTTCTTGAATCAACTCGAATCAGCCAGATTGTTTTGGTGAAATACCCATCTACTAAAGCATCGAGTCACTGTCTTGCTTCTCTCGATTGCAGCGGCTTGCTATTGAGCTGTCCAGGAATCACCCATCCACAGCAGCATCAGCAGCGGCAGCAGCTGCAGCTGCTGGCAGCATCTCGGACACTAGTTATGTGTCACTGCTAGAACAATCGCTTGACAATATTGAGGATGACAATGACCTTGTGGTTACTAGGCAACAAGGTGACTCACAGGTAGTAGTGAGGCAAGGACAGTCTGCAAGGCCACGTGTTACAGTACACACTGCTGTGGATGTAGAAACTGCCTCAGGTATTATGACCTTCTCTCTTGAGTGCAACTTCCAATAGCAGACACAACTTTTAATAACATTCTTTTCCTACTGGCCTCAGCAGGCTTGTGAATAACATAATAGCTCAAACGTTTCTCGATCCCTTGTTCTATCTTTAATATAAGACTCTGTCTATCAATACAATTTTACATTAGGTCCGAGTCTGCCTGCATCTGAGGAAGGTGAAGAAGTAGTTGATGGAGACACTAATGAAGATGAAGAAGATGGTGATGAGGAAGAGGAGGAGGAAGAAGAGAATGAGGAGGAGATTTGTGCAGACAGTGGTGAAGAGGAACAGGAAGTGCAGGGGAGGGGTGAGGCTGAAGAGGACACTTCTGAACCAGAAGCCAGTGAGGAGGATTCATCTTTGAGAGGTATTGAACCCACTATACCTATGACTTTGGATTCTAATTTAACTTACGATGAACATATAATTAAAACCGCTTCCTCGCTTGAAGATAAACCGGACAGCAGGTTATTTTATTGCTCCAATGTTTGGTCAAATACCAAATGAATAATGTCCAACAAGTTACAGTGAGGAGGATTCATCTTTGAGAAATTGGTTTCATTCCCAGAACCCACAATGGCTTTTAAATACCCACCCCCTGAATACCCATCAAAATTCCCAGAGGTTTGAGAAAAAATTCACAGCTTTTACAAATTCCCTTTTTTAGAACAGCTTCAGAGAACATTTTTCTATAGAACTGTGAACTTATGGAACTCCTTAGACAATTCCTTTAAACTGAACTCGATTGATGTTTTTAAAACTCGTTTACGTACTAAATTACTTAAAGAATTGTAATTTTATATATATTTTAAAACATTTTTAATTGTAAATAGGATCATGTATTGTCTTTGAAAAGCCCCTTGGGAAAGTCAATAAAGTATGTATGTATGTATGTATGTATACCCACCCACCCCTCCCTTTTGAGAAAAAAAGTTATTTAATTGAAGAGTTTCCTGAGAAAAGGGTGTAATTTGCTTATTATTGATAAGCAAATTACACCCTCTTTCCAGGAAACCCTTCAATTATCATGGTTTTTCCTGGCAGAGACATTACAAATTCATGAATTGAAAGTGAACACGATCTTCTCAGTAGAATGAACGACCTGAATGATTGAAAAAGAACCTAAAAAAATTCTGGATCAAACCCTGACTTTGAGTTAAACAGATGCAATACTCTATCCAGTGAGCTAATACAGCTAATTAGAGAGCAAGTCATTGTGAGTCGCAATGGTGGAAATAAAATGAATTGAAATATGAAATGAATCATGTATTGAACTGGGGATAAAGATATGAAAGTGAACATAATCTTTGCAGTAGAATGAACAACCTAAGCGGTTTAAATTGTCACACCATACCGTTACAAGTTTATCTTTCACATCTCAGGCAGACCATCCAAGCAGCTGTTAGGAAAATTTACAGTAAATGTGTGACATAAAATAGCATACTTGATATCATGCTCTCTTTTGCCTAAACTCAGTTCAGGTGGTCTGCTTGAGAAATCTCCCTCATTAACTTGTTTTTGAGGGTCTTGAATTTTTTCCCTTAAAACAGAGTATTTATACCAAATTATAGCAGACTAAAATTTTTAAGGCAATTTGAATTCAAATTGTTTCAAGGGTAGGAATAGGCCTTTTTCAAAAATACCATGATGATATTTTTTGTTATCCCTCCAATAGTTTTCATAAGCATTGTTTTCAAATTTGTCTTGGGCATTTTCAATTTCTTCTTGCCTGCTTGGAACCAGCAAAACAGGCTAAATGGTTTTTAAAATTTTAATTGTCCTGTTGCAATGTTAAAATTTTTGTGATTGGCAATGTAGTGACAGTAGATAATATAATTAAAGTTACACGGTGAAAGGTCCTCTATCAGACATTTGCCTGCTTGTTGGTTTTAGTTGAGGCTTTAGAGGAGGAAGCTGTCACACCTGAATGTTTACCCAGCTCTGAGAGTCCCCGAGAAGAACAGCCAGCTCCGCCGCATAAAGATCAGAATGAAGCGTGGAGCGTCGAGGACATTCACCTAGAATTCTTTGACATCAACTGCATGCCTGAGCAACGTGAAGAAGTGCAAGCAAAGCCAGATGGATCGTCTTCTCAGGCAAGCTGTGCTACCTGTCATTCCTCTAACCAGGGTCCTGTTATTGATGCAGAGGAAAGAGCGCTGCTAAATTTGCTCAGGTTTGACAACAGGGGACCAAGAGGTTCACGATGGAATGCTTCTGCAGTGTCTAGGAGATATGTGACTCTTGTTGGATGGCCCAAACGAGGGGATGAAGAGAGGATGAAACACAGAGACAGGGTGAAAAAGAGGGCACGCTTAGAGAAGACCAACAGCATGTTGGAGAGGTTGCAGAGCTGTTTAAACCGGGCTGAGGCTCATAAAGCAGCCGCGGCTTCTCTTGACAGTGCTAAAGCCTTGGAAGGTAGAGTGCTAGATGGTGATTAATGATAACTCACTGCCAAACTTTTACAACACTCTGTTTGCATTGTGGGTAAATACAGTTAATTCTCTTTTAGTGGACACCTCTGTAAAGTGGACATCTTGAGATGGTCCCTGTGTTTCTTTACTTCCTTTATTTGACTCTCTACAAGAGGGACGTCTCTTAGTGCTGGTCCCAATGGTGTTTGTCTTGGGGAGAGTTAACTGTATTGTGTATCAACAACAACACAGAAAAGTATTAGCAACAACCACATTGACATGAGAACGAATAGCTGAGGAGAGATCAAGGTTTAAATGTGTACCACTTTTAGGTTTATTAAAAAGCACTAATCTTATTGAACCTTTTTTTTTGTTGGGGGCGTGGGGTTAAGGTAGAGAGAGGGGGTTAGAAAATCATCTTTTGTTAAAATAATGACTATATATATCAGGGGAGCACGAAGTTTGTGCCTGTCTCTATGTGACAGTTAGCGTGGAAGCAAGCTCTCTGGTGGCTCTCGGGCGGGGCAGGAAAAGGAAGGAGAGCTTGCAACTATGTCTCTCGAATTTGAAAATCTGCATCAAAAAGGTCGATGCGAAATGCTGATTGGCAGAGGTGACATAATTAAAGATGTCATTACCCTTGGTACATGTTTTTCAATGTTTGTTTACATTCGTGTTTGTTTCTACTTTGCGCTAATAAGTGGGAATCTGACAGCTCAGTCTAGCCACAGGGGAATTGGAGGTAGAATTCAAATTCCAGAGACGTAGTTGCAAGCTCTCCTTCCTCTTCCTGCCCCACTGCCAGAGTGCCCTGGAGAGCTTGCTCACAGGCTATATGACAGTTGCTTTATGTACTAAGACGTTTATTTGCACATGTGTTGCTTTCTTTTTTAGAATCACTGTTGAATGGCAGCCAAAACAAGTTGTCAAAATCTGGTAATGTCAGACCTCATCGCAGAGGTGCCTCACTTCCAAGCTTGGATACTGGCAATGCTTCGTCTAAAAAAGCAGGTGTGAATAGTTAGCTTGCGTTTGTTTGTTTCTGTATAGCTTTCATTTCGCCTCAAGTGGATAAGTCTTGTATGATGTAGTGACCTATTACCTAGTGTTGTGCTAAGTCTGTAAGCCAGCAGAAACTGCTGAAGCGATATTCCAACTTATTACCTAGAGTTGTGTGAAGTCTGTGTCCCTCAAAACAAATCAATAATTTTGTCTTTGAGCTTAAAAAAAGAACAGTTAAATCGTGTCATTGTGATGCCATTTTCAAGTTCAACACGTTGAACTTGAAAACAGTATCACCTTTTACTGGTTTTTGTATTACAAAGCCTTTGCTTATTGGAATGTAACAAATGCAAATGTTCATTATGATGATTATTGCAGCCGTCCTTTGTTACACCGCATAATGCCCTACCCAACAAAGAAACTTACTAGTTAGTTGTTTGGGGAGACTAGTCTTTGTACTGATGCATGTGTTGTTTGATCAATGTTGGCAGGTGGAGTCACAGCTTGTATTATGGCTCCCGATCATGACGTAGGATGTGTTAGTCCCGAACCTGACATTTCAGTACCTCATCACTTACCAGAAATGGACACAGACACTCCACGGTATAGTAAAGTTGTTGTTTGCTTGTCTTGTCTCCCAAGAACTCCTTATACAAATCAGGCATTTTTGCATGGCTTTTGATTGTGGGAAAAGTGGTTTTGAAGGTTGCCCCCTCTCCCCACCTGATCCAGAAATATGTGAGGTCCTTTCAGGGTAAAATTCCAACAAGCGACGTTGTTTTGAAACAGCTAAATAAGACAGCTGAAATTTTGACAACCAACACAAAGATGGGTTTGAAAATGCAACAGGGACAAAGAAAAGATACAGTGGTGAAATACTGACAGGAACATGTCTTAATTTAACCTCAATATGCAATGTGATGGGCTTTGAAATTCAGACTAGGGACATACGCACTCTCTGCTTCCCCTAAGAGGGCCTTGTTAGTGGTGTTTTTTAGAGGTAACAAAAAGAAGTCCTGTTAAAAAATATATTTACAACCACAAATGAGGAACTCAACTTGGAATTGCCAAGAAACAAATTCAACTAGTGGTCCGGACGTAAGTTTAATTCAGAGCCTCGAGATTGTAAAAAAAGTCAAGTGTGCTGACTTCTCGGTCACACTGCCTCTATCTCTGGAGCTGCGTGATTGCCCCAATGTTTCCTTTTGGGTACCATTTGCAATTGCTAGGATCTAATGTTTCTAAACACAGTCATTTTCTGTGCAAAATAACTTTGTTTGAGAGGGACCAGACAGCATCCTTGATAACTAACACTGTGTGACTTTTTTGTGAAGTGTGCGTAAAATGAGGTACCATTTTTACTGTAGCACCATCAAGTCAGTCTGTTCAATGAACCAAACGCTGATACCGCGTTAACACTCTGTCTTCTGGGTAAACCTTGGTTGTATTAGATTGTATGCTTTTGTGTGTGCTGGGTAAAACTCGGGGAGGCTGGGGTGAAGGGAAATAATGCATGTTGCACAGCCTGGCTGAATAGTCATCATAAAACTTTTCAAGTGAATAAAAGTTCACAGAACACACATGGCTTTTCATTAGAAGTAATATGGAAATGACAAATGTCATATTCAATTGCAAAGTACTTCGACTATATTTGCCTGCCGTTCTGAACATGAGTTGGTGGTCTTTGCTCGAAGTAGGTTATAGTAAGTCACCAATCCTGTTGTACCAATCACTTATTGTGGATTTGTTTTCAGCTCTCGAAATAAGGATACTAAACGGAAGGTACATAGAACCAGCACTAGCCCCTCTTTGGTTGGAAGCGAAGGTAATACCTCACAACTGAAATGTTGGGCAGAATATGTTAATATTATCTGTAATCAAAAATTTTAGATTTCTTAAATTATTAGTAGGTAGCCAGTTATTTTAAACAGAACTCAGTGGACTAGTTTGCAGTATAGTAAGTGCATGGCTTTCACTTATTATAAATTTTTATGACTTGCGGATTTGTGAGGTAACTGGTGACGTTTTCTTCTTCCCGCCTTCCTTTGCACGCAAATTTTCAATGAGAGAGAGACGTCTAGGTATGAGGCATTATCAAAAAGACTGTATTCTGCTCCTGAACATAATTCTGATATCATCATTTTCATCTGTTTTGTAGGTCTTCAGTTGAGTTCTCAGTTGTTTTCAGATCTAAAACGTGCTTCAACTATCAATAAAACCCACAGAATGAGATACTCTGCAACTGAGGAAGAACTTCTGCAGTCGCTTAGCAATGCAACTCAGTCTGTTCCTGCACAAGGTATCTTCACATGAAAAGAAAAAGTCTTATATAGGATTCTTTTTGTAATGAAGCTTCTTGTATGATACAAACATTTTGATCATTAATTTTTTGGAATTTTCCAAATATTTTAGAGAAGTTGAGGCAGATAATCTTGTTTGTAAACAGGCTTTCTAGTGAGAGATAAGTGCAGGAGGAGACCATAGGAAGGTTCACTCTCCCTCCCCCTACCCCCACAGTTATCTTTTGGTTTGCATTGCTCTGTCTCAGTTTTCTTTAAACCTTATTGCCAACTGGAAGTCGATCCTTTTCACTCTGGGATCAATTTAATAAAACATTACAAGTGTAATCATTCATTCATTCTTTTCATTCATTCATTCTTTATTTGCCATATATACAAAATTTTACAATTTAAGGTTGGAATAATGAGATTAAAGAAAAAGTAAATGGCGAGGAGACCTGAAAGAAACCATGAGGCTTATAATGAGTCAGCTCTCTTCAACTTAGGATAAACTAGTGTTGATAATATAATTACAATATGGGCTTATGATGGCTAACTTTGACCGCGAACTCACACACACACATACAAACACACACACACAGTCATGTTAAATTAATTCATCTAATAATCTACTTAGTGCCATACTGAAGCTAATACATACTGAGAAGGAATTCTTTAAGCTTTCTTTTAAAAGAAGCAGAGGAGGACAAACCAGTTATAGTAGAATTTAGCGAATTATAAAACTTTGGACCTTGGAAGTAAATTGAGAACTGTCTGGTGTTCCTTCTGCATAGTGGCAAGCGAAAAGAGTGGGCATTCCTAGTATTATAATTATGGATTTGACTGTTTATTAGAAAGACCCTCCAAGTTGTGCCCATTTTGGTTGCCGTGGCGCCTAATATTCTGGAGCTGGCGACTTGATTTGTAAAAAAGTCTCCCTAAACCAAAAGAGTTGGTTGCCAAGTGGCGACCTAGCAAAAACTTTAACTTGGAGGGTTGGTAATTTACTCAGACTCTAAAACAATGGTTGCTCTTGTATCAATACATATTATTACACCCATAAAGGTTTTATTAAATTGAGCCCTGGTTAGCAAAACCTTAAAGTTTATATAATAAACAAATAATTATTATTTGTTTTCTTCAAAGTGTTGAATGAGTATGCATGTTGTTTTTCGCAGAATGTAAGGTAGACTCAACATTGCCATTACCAGATGACTATCTTCCTTCCTTCAGTTCACTGCCTGGTTCCTCCCCTGGGGGAGGGGGAGAGTATCACTTGGTACACATCAGTCCTGATGAGCTGGGTGATAACTCACCCCCCACCTCTCCCCCCACAGTAATGACCAGAAAGAGAAGCTCGCCTACAGCTAGCAACAGCAGCAGAGAATCTGAAAATAGCTCCACAGGTGCCTCCGGTATGTTTATTTCAAAATTCCCAAATTTATCATACAAGGTCTAATGCTTTTCAAATTTAAGCGGGGAGGGGCTACATATGGAATGGTATTTTTTCTTTTTGAAAGTGTTATGGTAAATGGTAAGCTGTAAATTGCTGATTTGCAAAAAAAAAGGCTTTCAGGAAATGGGATCAATATTTTAGCTTTGCTCTTTTACACAGTCATAAATTTGCTAAGGGCACTCTCCAAAAGTTGTAACTGGCAAGAGTTTTTGCCGACAAACCATCTCCTTTGTGCGTATTGATTTGATTAGTCTGGATAGTTTTCATTAAAAACCGTCTCCAATCTGTTGTGCATATAGCCTGAATTTCATCTGATTACTTTGAGTCATTATTGCTCCCTCAGTAACATGTTACTGAGGGAGTAATAACGACTCGAAGTAATCGGATGAAATTCAGGCTATTGTGCATAGGGAATGGTCTGGCTCGTCAGTTCTGACAAATGGATGTCGTAAGATTATAAATGTTTTCTCTCAATGTCCTTTTATAGGAAGCTCAAGTCCTCTGCTAAATGACAGTGGTACACAAGAAGAGAGAGGTTGAGTTGATGCTAACTAAGTAAAGGCCATGTGGACCCCAGTAGCTGGATAATTTATGAAGATAATTATTGCAATAATGTAAATCAACATGATTTCAGAAAAAGAGATATATTATTTATTTATTATTGGTGTATAAAAAATAGTTTCTTGTTACAGCACATAAGTTATTGATAATTATAATATTGGTATTCATTAGTGACTGTTAACACAGTTGCTCTGAGGTGATGTGAGCTCTCAGCCATTCTCCTTACATGTAAGTCCCGGCTCTATCCCTCAGTTTTGGATCAAGGATAACTTTTTCCCAAAATTTCTTCCAATCTGATGTTTCTTTGTGATACTAACAGAGTGACATAGCCCAGCCCTATAACATGCTGTCCTTTACTCCTAACACAGGTTTATTGACACTGAAAGATAAGTAGTTCAAATTCAAATTTGATGATTATTTTGCCAAGCAAGTTTGGTTATAAGACAGTTCAACTGTTCACCACATTTCCAAAGATAATTCGGTTGCAAATGTTGCTCTGAACAAGTTATCAAATTATGGGATTTTCAAGAAAACAGGCTATCTAGCTTCTGAGGAACAGGGGCGGTTCAAGGGGGAGGGTGCAGGGGTGTGTACCCCCTCCCCCCTGACATGACCTGCAGCTTTCTGATACAACCGGTATTCTGTATTAAAATTTGTTTACGTCTCCATTCAGTTACGCTATTTCTTAGTGATGCACTCCCTCCTAAGAAAAATCCTGGATCAGCCCCTAAGGAAGATGAATAAATTTTAAATGCAGTGAACTTCTGTTGCTTGGCTGTACATGTCTGTTATAGAGCCCTTCAACATGTAAAGCATTTTTTGTTTAGCCTGCCAGCAAGCTCTTTTTGCTTTGCCTTACCCCCAATTTGAGCCCGGGGAGATCACTAAGAGAGTCTGGAGGTCGGTTTTTGTTTAACAACACGTACGCATGTCCATGTGTTTTGGCCTTGGTTCAATGAAAGCTACCGTTTTGGGCAGAAACCCTAAAACACCTTGTGAAACTTAGCTCCTTTGCTTGTGCCGCCCCTTTACAATGTTGTTTTAGATGTAAAACTGTTATGAAAGAGACTTATTGTGCCCCTACCCCCAACTGAAGGGAAGTAATTGTGACCAATGCTCTTGAAAGCCTGCTTCATAGGTACTGATCTGATTTTTATTTCGTTGAACCAGGTTTTAAAAAAAATAAACACGGTTTGTTGGTGTGAATAGGACATAAGATAACCAAGGAAGGATACAATGTATCCTTTCTAGCCTTGTTACATGATATTAGGAGTTGGACATATATGCATATTTGCATACATGAACTGTGGGACACTGCAAAATATGCAATTATTATAGCTTTCCAGACCTCAGGTTAGCGGTATCCATATAGCACAGGATAAAAAATAATTTGTTGTCTGTATAAGGAAGCAGCTTCGCTGATGTCCACAATTAATCCTCCATTACAGCAAGTTGTTTTCATCCACTGAGGTCACAATACAATATTTTCTGGTCGCTTGCTCTGGGAATCATGACCTGTTTCCTTTTAGGTAATAGTTATTCTGTTTCACACCTCTTTTTACTTTGTTCAGTGCGTCAAGCGTTCTAGAACTCACTTGCGTTAAGGTGCATTTCCACTGTACGCATTAACATAAAAGTTGAACCTTAATCAACTTTTTTGTTTATGCATGACACTTTATACATCACCTCTATTTTATTTATACCATAAAATTAACGTGCGTGCACACATAAAAATTACGCGACAGTGGAAATCCACCTCAAGTTTGGACAGCTTACAGTCTAACTACATTTCAACTGGTTTGTGTTCATGATAGCGTGCGCAGGGGTTAATTGTTTTCCTTCCTAATTTAAGGTACCATTTACTTCATTCCTGTTAATCATTTTCCTCTAGAGAGTGCTTTCCACACAAAAAAACAAACAAACAAGCAAGGAAATAAGCAAAAACTACATCAAAGAAAAATTCAAGTTTTATTTTTTTTTTGTCAATATTGAAGAAGAAATGGCACCATGCAAAAGCACTGCCCAAGAGCTTTCATTGAAAGGTCATAATAAATTATTATCATGAATTTCTCAACATACTAGATCTAATTCTTAAAATGTCTTTAAAATGTGGAAGTGGTATGTTGTATGTACAGTTCAATATTTCTATAGACAGAGTTTCAAAGTTAGAAACGTGCCCATTTTAAAGAGAGGTCAGCAACATGATGTCATTTGACCATGATGATGACACTGCTTACAATTATTTGAAGTGTACAGTAACTAATATTCTAAAAAGATTCTGGCCTTCATCTTTTAACTGCATCTAAATTGCTTAACAGTACTGAGAGACTATCAGTGAGAATATAATTCTTAGGTGAGAATTTTTTTGGGACATTAGAAAGTTGTTCATAGTAGACAGCAGGTGTCCATATGTCCACATGGAGATTGAAGGTCAACTGTACATGTAATATCTGGCCAGGATATGTGTACGTACTTGCCATTCACCTGGCTACAAGCGATCTGTATGTCGCAAAAACATTTTATGTTAGGGACCTTTTTCATAATCTCACACTAATGGCCCAGTGTCAAGATATCTGTCGTTTCATAGAAATACCCCATGCACTGGAGAGGAGAGAGCATTAATCAGTTTGAGTGCCTCCAGAGCTTTTGCATACATGTATGTATCTAGCGTAGCTGGTGTAAAAAAGGGCAGGGGTGGGGGAGAAAAGTGAACTGTTCTGACAATGAACACTGATGAGTAGCACCTATAAATTTCGCTTATTTTCAAAGTAGGAAGAAAGCGGTCTATAAAGTGGCAGTCTGAACTGCACACACTGGTCCATATCCACCACTCTCCATGATAGTGGGTATTCATTTCTGAGAAGTCTCTCTTTGCAAAATAGAGACTCAAAAAGCCACATGTGATGTGAAATGGCTGAGTTTTCTGAGCCTTGCACTATTTGGCCATCACTTGTTCTGATATAAAACCTGTGCGAATAAAAAGGAACTCATTACCATTCAACACAAAAGTGCTATAGTATAAATTATTGACATAGTGTTGCAAAAGGTAACCCTTTAAGCCCCGATACCCACATGCAAATTCGAATCTCCATTCATTTTCGTAAAAAATAAGTTGGGAGAATTTCTTAAAAGATCAAAGCATTCTCCTGTAGGGCTGGAGACCATTTTATTAATTCTCATTACCTTTTCTCTCGCTACTGTATTGATATTCTCAAGGGAAAACTCCAAAGTGATGTTGATGACTCTTGGGACTTAAAGGGGTAATGTTTGGTTGTCTAAGGGTTGTTACCAAAGGTCAGAACGAGCTAGCCTCACACACAGATGTCCTGAGGGGTTTGTTTGCCTGACGAGCCTAAAGCCACACTAGCCTGATTCTCAGATGTCCCAGGTTGTTTGCGGCCCCTTGGAGAAGGACAGAAGTGAAGGGGCCACGAATGACCTCGGACATCTGAGTGTCAGGCTACAGCTACACCTATCACTTAAAAAATGAAATGGCTTTTTTCAAAAGTTTTTGCTCAATTACTGCCATGCATACTATTTAGGTATAGACTGATCTGGTTCATAATCTACATAAATGAGAATCAACACTCACTTTTCCTCTGTCACAAACTTTACGCCAATTTGAAATTTATGAACAAATTTTCCAAGTATCTCTGGTGGTAGAAGAATGCCTTGAAAAAGGAAAGAAACAAAAAAGGTTATTAATCACCTGATGTTCCACCCCATCTACAACTTTCAGGCATTCAAGGTTATTTCTTAGACTGGGACAGCTCAGAAGCTACAAAAATACAAGACATAGGACAGAGGCTCCCCTTGAGATTGGAGACCAGGTGTAACATCTGGCTGTTTGATGTAAAAGGTCTGGCACTTTCACACGTAACAGAAGTCTGAAATAGGTCTAAATAACAGGGATTATTTTGTATGTTTAGCAAAAACAGAGTTGAGCCTTTGTAAACTTGCCCACTTATTTATTCGCTCAGAAGACTACTAAGGAAATGGCATTTCACAGAATCCACTGTCAAAAATGGTGCTGGTTCCCCTAGGTTAGAAGTTCTACCTTTGGCACTCATGTTGCATTGGTCCCTAACCCCTACATAGGAACCAGATAAAATAGGGGGTAAGAAATGAAATCAATGGAGCAAAATTTACAAGGGTGGGAAAGAGGGATTACTGGGGGGCAACACGAGAAAAATCTTTGAAATGTTATTGTGTTGCAAGGAAAAAGCCAATCAGGCTTGGGAAAACTTAACCAAAAGTAACAATGTGCCAGCTTGCATGTCCTGATTTTTGCAGTGATTGGTCATAACTCAATTAACATTTCTGAAATATTTCAGATGTTCATGGTTTTATTTAGTTCAACGGTGATACAGACAGTGTCAAAGCCGGTTTCTGGTCTCTGCTGGGTAGGTCCCTCCCACCTTCAGCACTCGTGCAGTTGACTTGTGGCAAGTCTAACAGTAATAGTGTAGCATGCCAAAAGAAATTTATTATCAGTCCACGATGATGCATGTCACTCCTAATATTTAGCCTTACACATCTCGATTAATGGTAGAACATTTTTTCCCTTTCACATTCCTGAATCAGTGCAGATGTCATGGGAAGGGTGGAGTGGGTGGGGGGACTTACTTCCTTTTAGCTCTTCTATATGATCTGGCTCAAGAAATAACCTCTGCCCAAGGCCATCCTTGACATAACAGTCTCTGCTGGGCTCTGATGGCCCTAGAGTATTGCGAACAGCTGTGATAGAGAAAATGTAATGGTACGTGATACCATCAAAGATAAATGCATCAAATGAAACATGGTAAATAGTCCAACGTGACTTTCAGTGAATGTAATCACAAAATCCAAATTGTGAAAAGATAACACACGAACTAATGGAGGTCTGAGAGATCTCAATAAAACATTTAAGAAAGGAAGCACAAACTTATTCCAACACTAATATATGAAGTTTTAAAAGATGGATATGGGATGAAGATAATTGAAACACAAAATTTTTAAGCTGGCAGAGAGGGATATATGGGGGCAGGAGGCAGTTCTTGTAACAGTATAAGCCATTTTGATTTCCTGAGGTTAAGAGGACGTCTCCAAAGAGATTAACTCCCCCCCAGCCACTATATTCTATTAGTGTTATACACCTGCTTGGTATGCTGTGTTTTAAAGGATACAACATGGTGCTCGTTTAATACTTATTAAGCTATGGGATATCTACTGTTGATGGTATTGTCAGTTTTTTTAGAGGGTTTCATCATTTAGTTTTAAGTACAATTATTCAGTTATCAATGTACAATTTACAGTAAAAGCACAATTTACCGGCGATGTGAAGATTTGAGACACTTGACACCTCCTAAAATTAAATTAAATAATAAAATAAAAATTAACATGATAATATTATTTGTACATTTTTATAGAACCAAAAGGGTTCTGTAAGTCCTGCTAGTCCATGACCATGGGTGCCCTGTGCACATATACAGTTGCCTTTTATATACTTATTTTTTTTACCACCCTCTCATGAACTTAGCTAAATTGAAAACTTACAGTGTACGCGACAGTAGAGGCAAGCTGCTTGACTCTTATTTTAAAGATTGTTTTCATAGAATCAAACTGGGGCCAGCAGTAAGTGAATGGGAGATGGTGTCCAGGGGATGCTCTCAGGGGTCAACATTTGGGCCACTCTTGAGGAACATTTATCAGAAATCTTACATATGTATGATATTGATGTTAACCTCAACATGTACTGTGTATGCAGATGACCATCTGTTTTATGCTATTAGCAGTGACATGGAGATTGTTAAAAAAATTAATGTTCCCTGTTTCTCTAATGTATGGTGCTCAACTTTGCTTTGCACTAAAGAAATTCAAGTGGGAAAACTGCCTTAAATTTTTAAGCAAACAAAACTGATCACTAAAAGCACTTATCTTAACCACTTGTCACCACCCATAAAAACCAGGAAAATTAATCTTTTCCTGTAGTGAAAGCATTTATAATATTCTGAGTTGATCATAACACTAGTAGATGATGACTACCTGGCTTAATATGGAAGTTGAACACATTTTCGCTTACCAGACGTAAGATTAAGTTGTTGTCTAATATTGTTGCAAATGCATCTTTGAAAATCTTATCTAGTCTTGGACCTAAAAAAAATCATCAGAAAAAAATACCAACAGTCAACTAAAGTTATGGGACATTTAATTAACAATGTCAGCCCCCCCCCCAAAAGGCCGAATTTTACAGTCATCCTTTGTTAATAGCAGGCCTAATAATTGTCAGCCATTTGAAGGGGTCCAGTTTGCATCCTGCTCCCAGCGAGTGAATACAAAGAGTGGAGAAAGACAATCTATAGAAAGATGTCCAGTGTTTAAGCAAACAAATCAGAAAAGGCCAATGTAGCTCAAATCATAGCCAGTCTAACAAATTACATCAGTGATAACTGCTGAAATTATGAGTAGTGCTGCAAGGAGCTACAACTAACTTTATCACCTAACAGATCACTCATCATCCCATCAGGATCCATCTGAGAAACTAAACCACTCACAATCATGACACAGTCCTAAAAAACAAAAGAAAATACATTTAAATTGAAACAAATTAAGTAAGTCTACAAAACAAACACCTTGCCCTGCTTGTTTAAAAAGTTGGATAGCGCTATCTGAAGGATAATTAGATCACTATCAAGCGGATCAGTAATAGGGAAACCAGTTGTGTTATGCACTGGATAGAGATTCATCTGGCCCCAGTTGTTCAAAAGATGGATAACGCTATCCACCGGATCACTATCCACTAGATAGCGCAGTTGGTTTCCCTAACACATATCCATTGGATGGTGATTTATCTGATGGATAGCACTATCCAACTTTTGAACAACTGGGGCCTGTGGCTGTTGGATAACCCTATCCACTTTTCAAACAACATACTGGGCCCTGATTGGCATTTGGTGTGTGACAATTGTAACAAATTGCACATAAAAACTGCAACCCTTCACCTTACACAGAAATAAAGCAATGATGGGTTCAGCAGCATGGTAGCCATCAATAATTTTTGCACACTCACACAGCACTGGTCTTTCTGATAACATGAGCATGTGCTTGGCAAATAATTGATGATGAAGATTGAATCATGTTTGCCTTGTCCATAGGTTAATTAATTAGGCATACCTTTGCAGTTTTAAGAAATTCCTTTGGATTTAGTTGGCCACTTAAAGGGAAAAAATAAATAAACAGACGATTTAAGTAATTAAGTTACTGAACGTGACATAAACAAAGAAGTTAGCTCTCTTAACAGAAAAATGAAAGGAAATTAAAAATTGTATCATTGACATCTCGAAATTAACAAAATTACTGAAAATTTGGAAAAAACGCCAAGGTAGGTATTTCCCAGGAGATTTGGTGCTCTAACCGGGAGACTGGGCAGTGGCAGATCCAGACCTTCAGATAAGGGAGGGGCCTGGTCTAACAATTTGGTCTAACAATAAGGCAACCTCGTTCCCAGGGTTCTCTCCTACGTGCCCTACGGAGCAAGAGAGAGAGAGTAGGGCCCCATAGGGCGGATAAGAGAGAACCCTGGGAACGAGGTTAACAATAAGGGGGGGCCGGGCCCCTGGGGGCCCCTCCCTTGAATCTGCCACTGCTGGGAGATTTGATGAAAAACTGCCGTGAAAACCGGGAGAGTTGGCTGGTAAAATTATAGTTTACATGGAGCTAAGTAGAAGAAAGCCTGAATTTTAGACATCCCCTGAAGTTGCATAATCCTGGAAGCATGCAACTCAAGGGGATGCCTAAAATTCAGGCTAAGTGCAAGTAACCTTTCTATCACTTACTCAGGTACCAACTTCATTTTGCGGTACAGAAGCACTGAGCCACACAGCCGGTGAATAAATGGATCTTTGGGATAAAAATCTGATGAAAGTGAACAGAACATGAAATGACAAGATGGTCCCCGAAAACTCATCCATAGCCATTTAGTCATTTTCTGAGGGGTTCCCTAAATATGAACTCATCCATAGCAATTTTCTGAAGGGTTTCAGAAGAAATCATTAACTCATCCATAGGTAGGGGAAGGGTATGACATTATTTCTGAAGGACTACAGAAAAAGGAACATCATCCATAGAGAGGAGGGGGCGGATATTAAATGGAATGGCCCGGTGCTGTACCGTTTTTTAAGGCAAAATCTGTTCTCAGTATAAACCAGAATTTCCTTTATTTCCTATACACAATTAATGGTTGTAAACAAAGGTAGTTCTCAAACAAATAAGTTTGAATCCTGGTTTAACTTGGGAATGGATTTTATCTACAACGTAACAACGGGACAAAAACAGTGCCATTCAGTTAACACTAACCTGTGCTATTTTGAGTCCAAGGAAACGTCACTTTGATTGCAAAATTCCGGCTGAAACACACCACAGGCCTCAACAAATTGTTCAGCATGCTACTGATATTATAACCACTCGCAAAACTTCCTAAAACTCTCGCTTCAAATAAACATTTACGCTTCCAATTAGAAAGGACAGTGGAGGTCGCCATGTTTGTTTTCATTAAGTTCCCGCAATAGACTGGACTCTAATGACGTAAATGACAAACTTTCTATCGGGGGTGGGGTTGAATTCATTCTTTCGCAAAACATGGCTTCGTGGAAGTGTGCTGTGTATGGCGTTGTGGCAACTCTAATCATAGCTTTAATAATTTTACTGAATTTTGATTTTCTACCGAAAAGAAAATTATCTGAAGAACTAGAGCTAGCGAAAAAAAGTCGTCACAAAGGGCCCGTTACTCCCACTGGCATTACAACGTTAAGAACAAGCACTTCGACAGTGGAGAAGGTGAGGCGATTAAGATTAATATTTTATGTTTGTTGCGGGTTTTTATATAGAACAATTTACCGAGCGTTTTCTTGTTAAGATAGAAAATATGTTTCCAGTGCTTATCATTGCTAATCTGCGGAACAAATTCTGAAGGTTCTAAGCAGTCATTTTGCTAAAACAAATCCTTGATCTGAGTATAGCCAACGAAATCCCGGGGTTTTGCAGTCTCTATGAAATTCGTCGAATGTTTCCCTCGTTATGATAACGGTGTGTATTAAAGTGGGTAGTTATTACAAATAGCTAGTCTATTTCTTCTTCATGCTGTATTCATGTTGTTGTTGTTGCTTCTTATTATTATCTGTGCTCTTTGGTTTCATACACAACACAACATTTTTCAGCACAATTGCTGCATGTTCCCCACCCCCTCAGTCCATGGCAAATTTAGAATAGATACCGGTAATTATTTCATTACCCTATTTTATCGCAGTGATTTGTGAAGCTAAATGAAAGGGATATTTTCTGGAACAGACTATTTTTTTTGTACGTTAATGTTTATTTGAGAGAAAATAAGCAGTGGCTTACATTACATGCATGTGATCACCCCATACAAATAGTGCAAAATCTAAGTTCACGGCTTATTCAACCCACGGCCAGCTCAAGCTATGGCTTATCTTGGCCTAGGAGTTTCGGGCTGTGCTTATCCAAGCGTTGGCTCACCTTGGACGTGAAAGTGTTTGTTTAAGTGGACTTAAACATTGCATGCAGCTTGCTAGAGCTGTGAATGACTGCTGCACTTGCACTGTTTTGTTACTGTAGCCCACAAACTTCCATTTGGATTTGTTCCTGCTCATTCACTGAAAGTGAAAAACGGCAAGCACATGGAAAAAGTTCAAACTTTTCAAAAAGAAAGAGTCACCAAAAAGAAGAAGAAGAGTTGTTAGAGTGCTACAGAAGAGAGGCAAATTTTTGTTGTAGCTAATTTTTTATCTCAGGTAATTTTTATTTTTCTTTTGTTTTAACTTCATTAGCATACATTACCGTACCCCAAAACAAAAGAAAAACAAAAATTACCTGAGATTAAAAAGTAACTACAACATTTTCCCGTTGGAAATGTGAGAACTCGAAAATGAGGTGCCAAAACAGATTGCATCGTCATTTCAAAGGACTGGTTGGCCTCTAAGTTGTGAAGCATTAATACAAGCAGTTTTCTTCTTAATAAAGCCATTTTCCTTGACTGCCTTATGCAAGCCATGGCCATAGTAAGCTGCTGCTTGTTTTGCTCTTGAAAAACCATGTGTCCATAATTTGATACAGAAGACTAAACTTTGCTTTTCAGGATGAAAATGTAAAGGTGTCAGTTACTCAATATTTAAAAGACATAATGAACTGGAGTTGTACTGAGGACTATTCACATATGGTAATAATTATTTATAATGTATTTAATTAATGTTCAGAAAATCATTGCAGTTATAGATGCAAAAAGAAGGCAGGAAAAATGTTAAGTTCACATCTTTTTTAGGGATTGTGCAACAATGCTGTGTTTATAACTTTAATGATCTCCGTCACATTAATTTTAGTTCATCGTCTTGCAATTGGTACTGTATGATTTGCATATACAGTAAAAACCCGCAACTAAGGACCTGGTTTTTAAGACCCTTTCAGGCTAAAATTTAGCCTAGAATTTGAAACAGTTTCTTATTTCGTAAAATCTCTTTAAAAATTCTGTACACTTGCACAAGTAAGATAAGTCAACATTCAGGGTGATTCCTCTTTGGAGACATACTGTAGGTGCACTCTCCTCCGTAGTGGCTCCCACTGTGTATCACAATAAAAATAGCAACAATTGAAAAATAGAAAGCGCACAGGGGACGATGGGAAGAGGTAAAAGGCGGGAGCCTCTGCCATATTAATAATGCATTCAAGATGGCGCCGGATCCTCTCTTGTCTCTTCCCCCACGCACTTCCTTCCGTTTCTTTCTCCCCAGCCTCCCTACAACACAAAGAGGCCTCTACGGAGGAGAGAGCAGTAGGTACCTTATCACTCCAACTGCAATGTAATGGTATGCAGGGTTACATAAGCAATGAGCTGAATACCATTAAATACTTTTAGCTACAAGGTTTTTTTTTTCAGAAAATAAGAACCTAATAAGAACCTGTTTTGGCGAACTTGGGGAAAATGCAGGTTCCTAGTCTTGAAAGGGTTTTTGCTGTATTTTTGTTTCATGTTTATTTTTCATGTTTCTCTAGCTCTGTCCACAACATTCCTGTAGCTTCAATACCCTTCTTGTTTACCTAAAAGTGATGGTTGCCTACTTTCTCATTTTCCTATTTCTATAGCCAAAGTTTCTGCAAATTATTCATGTGTCAGTGTGCTATAGCAGATGTCTCAAGTGTAAATCATTTTAATAATTTTGGAAATATTCACAATTATTGTGTTTAGGACCATCTTCCTGAGCTGACGTTTGAGGATGTTAAAAATGTTACATGGAACTGCAATAATTATCCCCAGACGCCACAGGTATGTTTCTCATACTTAATACCTTATGGGATCCCTGGATTGTTTTTTGCAAAATATACTCATAATGTAAACATACCAGTACTTTTACCCATTCTAAAAGCTTTAGAAACTTGGCAAATACATGCAAATTTTCCGATTCATACATGTATAAAATTAATACTAAATGGCTTCTGTTCATTACTATGAATTCTTGTTACTCTATTTGTAGTCATGATACTGCTGTTTTAAGAAAACAAACTGCTCTGCTTATTAGGACTGCTTGAGACTGTGTAGTGTTGTTTCTGGCATAGTTTCAATTTGCAAATCTGTAAATGATAATTTTTCCTGAAGTATCTAATACTCCTAACAAAAAGCCTGTGAAAAAGACCTCTTAAAATGCAGATTTAAGACTGCATGAGAGAGCTATTTTTTTCAAAATGGCAAGTTGACTGCCCTTGGTAAAAAAAATGGTCGAAGCATGTATAGTACTTCCAGTTAACCCTGGGGCACAGTTGTTTCCTTTCCTTTATTCAGTTTGGTTTAACTGTGGTGGTGGGGGGGGGGAGGAGGTATTTGGCATGTGAAAACATATCTGGGGGAGTACAGTCTGATTGTCGAGTGTTCAAAAAAAATAACTTTCCAACCCTACTCCAAGGGCTAAGCCTTTCTGTAGTTCACATGGCCCTAGATGCATAATGAACTTAAGTTAAACTGTGTCAAGCTGCAGCTAACAATGGTGTGATCTAAACGATTTTGCTTTGTATGTTGTGGTATAGGCCATAGAAGAAAATGCGACAAAATCCATGTGTTATAACTATGATGATGTAAGTATTTCAAACTACATTTGCCCTCTACTGTACACCTTATTCCAAAATGGTAGCAATACTACTTTCATTTCCGTTTACGTTATCTTTGTATCATGCAGTCATAACAAAGTTTAAAATAACATTGTAATAATTTTGAAAGTGTTTTCTTCTCTGCACACCTACATCCGTAATTTATGACTGTAATATATCAAGCATGAGATCCAGTGTTTCATCACCAGATGAAATACAGAGAAGAGAGTTGAAAATACGACACACAGTGGAGTATTTTTCATGAACTTTGAGGTGCTTCATATGTTGATGAAACACTGTGTCAAATAGCCTGTGAACAGGCTCTCTGTCTGGGGAAAAAAATAGCAAGGAAAGGGAAGGGAAGGGGGGAGAGAGCCTGTAGACACACGTTTGAGGCCGCTATTCCGCCCTCTTGTAATTATCTTGCCGAACATCTGTCAGCAAGATCGTTATCTGTCAATCAATTTCGCGCGTGAGTAACTCCTAGGAAAATTATTATTAAAAGGGAAAACATCCGTGTTTTGCTTCGTCTCAAAACAAAGTGAAATGGACCGCGAGCCTAATTGTCGATTTTGAAAAAAAAATCGTTGATCTCCGTAAGAGAATTAATGCGGTGCCGGTCGTTGGCGTTTCAAGAAAATAAGACCTTGCTGGTTGACAGTGGCCAAGACAGCGTTGTACTAAGCGCAAGCATTTGATTGCTCAAGATTTCCTCTTGTGCAAGGAGAAAGCTTTTCGATTTAAAGCTGCTTAACTTGTGCTCATCGCGCCGTTCGTCTTGCTAGTTCAGTTTCTAATTCAACAAGCCCCTGCAATGAGCGAACTTGGAATGCGAAAGGTACAGATACTATCATGACTTCTCCAGAACGTGAACCTCCAAAGACAATTACAAAAAGAAATCAACAGCGCTTGATCGCCGACAGAAATTACACCTTAGGGTATTTATCCGCATTTATAGCAATAAAAGAGGGCGGTAGGCCTACACGGCGTTTACCTCACGCCAAAATGCTGCCTGTTCCCATAAGTTTTTCCTCTGCTCGGTAGATTATGCTCTGGAAGGTTCTACATTTTCACTAAGCAAATATGGTTTTAGCCGCTGGTTTCACACTGAGAGGTCATGGCATACATATCGATTTACTGTGGTTTTTGTCTCTGGTCGGCAGGATTTGCCCTCTCTGATGCAAGAGCATTTTCTTTGACCTCTTTTGAAGCGCAAAGCTTTTCATTGCGGCTGAATAAGGGTCGTGCCCACTCTCCAAAGTGCCCTCTGGATCTGAATAACTAAGCGATTTTCTTTAGTCCGTAAATGTAATGTTTTTTCTGAAATGTTGTATCACGCTGGGCCCAGGTCGTTAGTTTTCTTTGCAGAATGTTTAAAATGATCACGGATAGTAATTTACAGATCCAAAGTTATAAGATTCAAGTGCAGCTTAAACCCAAGCTACATCAACTATGGAGAATTGCATTTTGACTCGGTAAACTCCAGCCTAGTGTTTTTCTATCCATTAGATAGTGTGAGTCTTTTGACTGGAGCGCGCGTAGTTCCTCCCTTGGTAATAGCTTTTGAACAAGCTTAACAGTCTTTGGAGTGTTTTGTTATTTCCAAACGCGTGTTACGTGCCGACCGAAAAGCCGATGTCAATCAGACCTTTCAACAGTCAGTGTTCTCGCCAATAGGAACTTGCATCAGGATCTGATGCACAGCGGGTGCCGTGGAACGGCGGTCCCAAAGGCTTGTCCACAGGCCTTTTCGCTTTTCCCTCTCCCTAATTCCCCGCTCGACCAAAGGCCTGTTCACAGGCTATGTGTCAAATGCTTGATATTACTCCTCAAACAAAATGATTTTACAAGGAGAAATTAAGGATCCAAAAATGAGCATTTTTTCATCTGATTTCCAAACAATCATTAAACATTTTTTTCCTTTGTATTTTTTTTCAATTATTAATGAGTTTGAGGAGGAGTTTTCAAACACTGTTTTTTTTTAATGGAAAAGAAACAAGAGACATTATTACACTTTAACTCATGCAAGCCTTTGACGACCTGAAACCACCACAGAATAACGGAATTGTGATTCATGTTCCATTGAGTGTTTGTGCCTGAACCTGGAAAACGTTTCCTACTAGGAATACATGTATGAAAAAAAAAAAAACATACTTAATGAATTTTTTGGTTAGAGTTGGCTTTTTTTGTAAAAAGTCAAGAGAGAAAGGGTTTTTATTACAAAAATTGCGGACATGTACGTCACTATGTACATAATTATATTTGTGTTATTTTTTCTTTTTAGCCATTTGTTTGTGTACGAGACCCATTGCACTGTCATCACAGAGAAAAGAGGTGAGTTATTTAAACATAAAATAGTATTACTGCCATCGCACAGAGTGAAGCAGTCCTTCTTCTAATGTAAGAAGACACCGAAAACTTCGTAAGGGATTAATAACAATAATTATTATTATCATTATCATTATTATTATAATTATACTTATAATTTATATTTATTATACTCCTAAATAGTATTAATTATTAGTGAGGAAGGGTTTAATTTTCAGTCCCTCCATGACGATTAATCAATTAATATTATGAGTATACCACTTGTTGAGAATAAAACATGTTGTCCTAGCTAGCTGACATATCTTGCCAATCTTAATCTTACATTTTGTTTCCATGCAAAAAAATAATTACAGGTTTCAGAGACTGTATTGTAAAAGAGGAGTGAAAGTGATAATAAATAAAGTTGCAACCGTCTAATAAATTATTTTCTCGTATTTTAAGTGACATGAGATTTGTTACAAGGCCCCAGTATGGAGATTATAAATACCTTCCAAAGTCATTGTGGCTTAGTGTTGTTTTGGTGAGTACATACTTTTCTGTACTTGTGACACTAAGGGCCTGTTTACATGGAGATGAGAGTCCCCAGGTAGGTGAGGTAACCCATGGCAGGTCACCCCACCTATCATGTAAACGTGATCAAATTAAAATGAGAGATGATATGGACAGGCGGGTTACCTCACCTACCTGGGGTCCCCCTCCTCCATGTAAACAGACCCTAATTTTGCATTCAGACATAGAATGTTCTTCTTGAAAAGGAAAATTTTTTACCAGCAGTTTACTCTCAAACTCAAAATGTTAGCTTCTGAATTGTTTTGTTGTGGACAATCTAGTCTGTGATACTCAGTTTTTTTAGTAATTTCCTCACACAAAAATACAGGGACAAAGCAAAAAGAAATAATCATGATAATAATAATAGTAATTAAGAAAGAAAGAAAGAAAGAGGGAAAAAGGTGCTAAAACCTGAACAGTGCCAAATAGTTACAGATCCACTTAATTTTTACAGTGCTACTTAATTACAAATAGATGCTATTTATGTTTCCTTAAAGAATTGGTTAAGAGAATTTGTTTGTATATCAAAGCTTTTCCCATCAGGTGATTATTTTATTAATTCTCGCAACTTTTTCCCTTGATTATGTATTGGTTTTGTTGGAAGAAAATTGACTTAAACTGAACTTGGCCACTATGTGGAGGTGTTCTTTGCCACTGTTAGTTCAACTCCACTACCATACTTGAAAATAGCCTATTGGTTTGATTCTTGGCGAGTGATTTTTTTGCAGTTTTGTCCATTTTGACATTTCTTTGATTATCCTAGAAAGGTTGATTTTAACTGTATGCATTTAAGTGATTTACAGTTTAAGCTTCACTAACCAATTGCCACCTCTCTTTCATGACCACATTTTTCTCTCACGATGGACAGTCCATATATTGACTCTTGCTTAAAAACTCTCTACAACTGCCAGCTCTCCGCAATGACCACTTTTTTCTGCCCCCAAGGTGACTGTGTGTTGAGAAGAGGTTCAACAGTATTTCATTTCCCTCATCGGTGATATTATTTCACTCATTTTTTCCCCACTTCATAGCATGGTGGAGTAGCATTCTTGTACCATCCATGTGCAAGACAAGATCTGATAGATCAGTTAAAAAGAATGGCTGTCAGCTGTCTTCAGAGGCATGTCATTACACCCTATGAACGACTAAGCCCCTGCAAGGTAAACATAACTATTTTAATTCATAGCAAGCCACCAAACTGTCTTTGGATGTTCTGTTGGAAACTGGGAGACTATTTTTGTACATGGAAGACCATGAAGTATTAGCCATGATATATATTTGGCCCATTATCATGTAGACATTTTGTTTTGGATCCTAAAGTTATTCTGTTTCCTGAGACTGAAAGGCTAATTAAACAAATTAATAATGTTAAATATTGTTAATTGTATTATTGCAATTTTTGCTGGCCAAAGGGTGCTCTGCTTACTTAAACTTCAGTACCAAATCTCATGTTTCTTATTGAGCAGAGTAATAGAGCGTATTCACTCACATGGCCAGCGTCTATGCAGATTTATAGGAACAAAAGAAATTTTTTTACTTAAGAAGAGTCCAACTCCCACAGGATTTGTTTGGAGCACCAGTATGGCTGCCATGTCATTGTTTTGGAACACCAATATGGCTGCTGTGACGTCATGTGAATACGCTCTACAGGGTTTGAGCCAGGCCGCGCCATTGCGCCAATGCCGCACTGCAATTGAAATTGTCCCTTAAAAAAACGGCCAAGGGGACAATTTGTCCCCTTCAAAATTTAGGGAAAAAACTCGAAAGGAAGCACAAACGATCGAAGAGATTTAGTTCAGTACAGAAATTGCAAGCTAAAACAGAACGTGGAAAGTATATTTTATCGCATGTTTAAAGTTCATTCTAAAGTCACGTTTCAGTCACGCTCTACTGAACATGTACAGCCCATGCTCAACCAAGCATGGTGAACACACCTGGCAATCTTTAACACGTCACATCGGAAACGTGTTCGAACATTAGAAAGCTTTTTCGCTCCAAATCGAAGCCAGAGTGAATCAGAGAAAAATGATACAGAACAAGAACAGTGTATTAATCAGGAAGAAACAAATGAGGATCGAAGGAAAGCGAAAAAATCACGAACTCTCCAGAAAACTTGGTTGGGAGATCATACATAGTTGCCATATGAAAAGGTGGTGTACGTCTACCAGTAATTAATAAAGGAATTGAAGTTTACAAGGGGATGCCGGGACGAGATTCTGCGGTGAAATGTTTTGAAGTATAAAGCATAGTCATTGATCCTCTGTTTAAATAAATTTATTATGATGAGAAAAAAAAAGTCTCGACACCTATAACTTAACTTTTCTTGTTTGTATCACTTTTCTTGTATTACAAGGATCAGGTAAATATAAATGTTCTTGTCGGCTTGCCTGTATGAATGTCAAAAAAATGTTGAATAAAAATTAATTTGTCTGTCCCCCTTAAAATAAAAATGTCCCCCAAAATTTTAGCCAAGAGGACAAATTGTCCCCCAGTGATCAAATCCTAGTTCAAACCCTGGCTCTATTGCCTCTTATTCAGCCAGAATCTTCAAAGGGTTGGTTCATGTCTTTTCAACATACATTTTTTTACTAGTAACACTATAATTAAAATGATTCACATACATTCATTTGATCCTGAAGGTGCCAAAATTTACCAATCCCTATATCTGTTATACTTCCATCTCTTAAATTCCCACTGGCCTCTTGCGTTTGCTTCTTTAATGTTCATTCTAACTTCCTTGCTGACCATTTAGTCTTGTTTTTTTTTTTAACTGTTTAGCCTATTGCCATGGTTGCCTGGAGCTGCTTTTACTCATCGTCGGAGGTGAACATTTCAGAAGGAAAACTTTGGATCAGGGAGAAGGCCATGAGAGGTCCAGCAAGCCATGTGTCTGAAAATGGCCAGTATACTGATGGACTCATAAAGCCAGCAGCCACAGTTTCAGATAAGCTTGACACTAATCTTTGTCCAGCCAACATAAAGGTCTGTATTTATGGTCTATTTTGATTATCTTGTATATTTTTATGTATAGTAGTGTATGATATTGGGTTTGGAACAAAGAGAAATTAGAAAACAAAACAAAAATAAGATCGAATCACAGAATTTGCTTTTGAAGTGTACAGTAAGTACTGTTTATAAAAACGAGCAGGAGTGTATTATCAGGTTTAAAAACTCGAGACGAAGCAGAGATTGTTTACACCTGATAATGTGCAACTGTTAGTTTTTTTTAATAGCTTCAAAATCTCTGATATAGATCAGCTCATCCTTACACTGATATTTAAATTTGGGGTCATTTTGGTCTAAAAAATTATGAGGTAAAGTTAAGCCGTGTCTTTATCAGATATAAAGACACTCATTAAACATAAAAAATGTCTTTTGTTTTTTCTTTATGAATTATCAATGCATTTTTAAACAATGTTTGCATGATTGCTTTTATTCTTTATTACAATGAAATATGTTGTATTTATTGTAATGTTTGTTTGGATTGTAGGATGGTACTTTTCTCTACCATAGGCAGAAACCAAACATCGACAGGCAAACTTAAATGTCCTCTGTCACACAATTGATATGGTTTGCCTGAACCTGGCTGCGACAGCCCCTCCCCCTTTCTGTGCTCCTCATAAAAAAATGACCTACTATAACACAAGTGACCACATTACAGTTGGCAGGAGATACTTCACTTGTGTCTTCCATAAACTGTAGAAAAAGAAGTAAGAGGGATCTGGACGATGGGTTTGAAAGAGTGCTAATTAAACAGAATTTTTATGGGAAGGAAAGACACAGAGAATTAGGTGACAGTTTTCAGTTACTCACGGTTTAAATTTCACCTTCAACAGGGCCAAACTTGACAATTTTCTGACCTCAGTCTATTCTCTCATGCACTCATGACCACAGAATTTTGGTCCTAGGAAATTTTCATACATACCTGGGTTTCTTTGGTTTGCCAACACGACAGTGTGTATCTTAGTGAATTTTCTTATACCATAGGCTTTGAGGCCTTCTAACAAGGTAGGGAATTAAAGGGAAGGCTGAACAAATAAGCAAGAAAAAGGATACCAGGAGGAACATGATAACAGAGTGTGGTTTTAGGGAGCTCTGTTTACATCGTGCCCTCCACGCTTTAGACTATGATTAATCTGATTGTCATCAATCATAAGATAAGTGAGTAATGTTGATATTGATTTCTTTTCAGTCTATGCTTCCTTTGTCACAAGACCCTGAAAACAGTCATTCCCATGAAACACAACATGATCCATCTCAAAATGACTGGCCAAAAGACAGTGGGAAGTCCATCTCGATACAAAATTCACGACTTGAAGAAGTAGTTATTGTGAATGAACAAATTTCGAACAATCGTAAAGTCGATACTTCTAATGCCGCTTGGGCCTTGGGGAGTTTGATTTTTCTCTGTGCAATTCTTGGTGGCATGTTGATCTACACACGGCCATGGAAAAACAGAGACCATTGGTGGAGAATGGACGATTATAATAGCAACACTAAATTCAGTTTCATGAAAACAAGAGGGCTTCGGTGGAAAAATAGAATGTCTCCAGGCAAAAGGACAGCAGGGTATTCCCGATTACTAACTGCTATTCCAGAGGAATTAGAAGATGATATCTAGCAACAAGATTATTTTATATTTATATTTAATAATACTTGGGCCCAGTTGTTGGGAGAAATTTGCAGATTTATCAACTCAAAATAACATAAGCCTGCACTGAAGCCGGCTCATGCATCATCAGCTAAACCATTGGATAGTATGATGGTGTAGAGTGTCTTCGATGTAGGCTAAAATATGGGCAAAGCAGATTAATTTATGACACATATCCTTTGGTGATGAATTTAGATTTAAGTTGGTCTAAATTTCAGCCTTGTCTGCATCAGACAGCCTTGTCTGCATCAATCCTTGATTTTAAGTGGGTTTATGAAATGTTGCAAGACACTATTCCACAGTCAACTCCTGCTCTCTTTAAAGATTATGCCACTTAAATCCCCCCTAAAAACTGAAATTCAAAATGGGTGCAAAATTCTCTTTGTCAAGTTCCAACAGAGTATGACAAACAAACCACCCTGATTGCAGAAAGGGTGTATCAGGGAAATAATCATTGACAAGTGCACTCAGCAAGGACCTACAAGATACGAGCCATCTGACAAACGTTTGAGTAAGATTAAATATTGTGTAAGTGAAGCTTCTAATGTCAGACAAACAGCACATGGGTTTTATACTTATTTAGTAGTCTCAACAGGTGATAGAGGGGGCTATGTAGATGAGAAACATTTTTTTAAGGTTGAGATGGGAAGGGGATACATGAACACTTCACCAGTCTTTATTTTTTCATGGAGCATTGGGTCATGTGTTAAAGTGTACAATAGTTTTGACCACCTCCCCGATAGATGTCGCATTTTGGTGGTTATTTACCTATAATTTTAACAAACTCAAACCAAACATTCCCAATGGCAGTTCTCCTTAAAGTTGACTATTTGTGCACTTCAAATGTCAACTTGTCCACGAGAATATACTGCTTATCTAAGGCTCATTTACAAAAAAAATAAATAATGTAAACATTATAATCACTAAACTGAAAGATTGCCTTGTTCGTGGAAATGTATTGCCTCTTGACTCCATGCAAGAATTTCTTTCAATCTCTTTTCTGTTGAAGGTAACAAATCCTTGTTTAAAATAAATCACCTTCCAAACAACATGATGTTATTGAGAACAAAACGAAAATGTCTCAGCTGGTACTGGGTAAAAAAAGATGTGAAATCAAATAATTTACTACTCAAGTATTATTATAATGGATTTATAGTTATTATTAAAATGTAAGCATGTAATATTTATACCAGAACACCCATGTCATAGCTATTGATGACTGTCCTTCTCCGAAGAGGGAATAACTCTAAACCACACCTTTGCAAGTAGGAATGGTCACAGAGAAAATATTTAACTTCCCAATTTTCATGTTCATTCTAGTAACTTTAACAATACCTGCACCTGCCACTGTTTAACAGGAGTGCGTCTGTGTTGCCCAGTCATATTTTTCGATAAAACAGTGTCAAAATGTAAAAAAATATTTGTAACTTTAATTGTAAATACTAAGTAACCTTTACTGTATTAGAATCGTTCAACATATAATCTTTTGGGTGAAAATTATTTTTATGAGTGAAAAAAAAAACTCAAATAATTAATGGTGTCTGTATATATTTTCTCTCCGGGGAATATTCAGGGGCAAACCAAAATTATATTATTCTCGTCTCGACATCTGAAAATCACACTTATTTTGATTAGCGGGAAAATACTGATAGATACATAAGGCATCTTAAAATCGACAACAACGGAAACAATGTATTTTTAAGACAGCGGAACGCATGCTATAGGTGTAGTATGCTGTTTTTTTGAAACAGTTATAATTTATTCCTATGCCTACCCATAGTTAGTAAAAAAGGCAGGTCATGAAAGGGGGGCAAACGTCCGGTGGGTTACTTAAATAACTGGGTGTGTGCTGCTGGCCTCTCAGAACCCCTGCCCCATTATAGTCTATTCTGTGGTCAAATATAGACTCCATCTCAGTCATCTTTGGGAAAACGTAATTTTCGCGATCCCAACTTGGTAACTTTCTGTTTATGCATCTACCTTAAAAGGCCTTTTAACTAAGTCGTCCTGAAATGAATTGACACCGTGGTTAAACTTAATGAACTAAAAATCTTCCTATTTCTAAATCCGTACCCAGCTGAATTTTATGATCCCCCAAATCCCGAAAACGTGCGATCGCATTCTAGTAATTCTAATGAATATTTAACCCTATTATAGTCAATGCTACCCCATCCGTTTGCCTATTACTAGGGCGTACCCCCCCGGGGGGGGGGAAGGGGCAAAAAACAACGCTGCTGCAGGTTATGTTGGGGGCTGCCTGACAGTGCACAACCCTTTGTTTTCTGTTTACAAATTGTGAAGAATAAATCAATACGACGTTTTTATCTGTCAAGATCAAAGTAATAGCAATGCTGTTGAACGTAATGCACCTTTAAGTCTACAAAAATATTTAGCAAAGGAGCTGGTCTAACGGGCTTCATAACAATTTCCACTTTAATTTTGCTTTGACCTACCACTTCCTCGGGGTGGGGGATGGTACTTCTGGGAATTCTTAGTAGGGGTTTGCCGCCTGATTCTCCAAATCCTTACCACATTTCAGACCAAAAAAATGTCATTTTCCACACCCGTTTTCAGACCAGACCTCTAAAATCCATACCCATTTCCAGACCTGGCCTTTAAGCAGAAATTATGTAATCATTTCTTTGACAAGAGCGCAAACAAAAAAAGACATTTCTACAAATGCATTTTGAATTCGCATATTTCTACTTCTTTCTTATTCATTTGGAATTGAAACGATAAATACGTTCACACAGTCAAATTCCCTCAAAAACCATACCCGATTCTAGACCAAAATGGGTAAAGTGTATACAGCTGTGTATATACCCGTTTCAGACCAAAACGGCGCAAAAACCATACCCTTTGCCTTATGGCTTATATAAGAGAGTAACTCCCCCCCCCCCCCCCCCCCCCCCCTCCCCGGGCACTGCCTATTCTTTAAAAGTACATTTTTGCGCCTCTCAATTGCGAAAGCGACTGTACAGCAGAGAGGGAGAGTCACTGCTAATGCCCCGGGGGGCTTTCGGCTAAAAATGACGGGATACTCGTCAGAAAATTAGAATTAAACCCCAATAGGAGATCAGACCAATCTGGGCGTGGCTCAGGGCTTTAATTTACCCCTAAAGAGGGAATCTGAATGTAAACCCCAACAAAGTATGAGGGCATTTATATGAACACCTTATTTTTCTGTCAATTTCTACCCGTAAGCGAGACGACGAGCATCCCCGTCGCTTCCATAAAGGAATACCTCTTAGGTTAGTTAAAATAATACCAGAAGTTTACCGGGATCATGAAGGCTCCCTTCAATTCAGGATGTGTCTATGTGGTGTTTAGAATCGGCTATTTTACAAAGGTAGTATTTCCGATTCCGATTACCCTGTTAATACTCGCAAATTTAGCCCCACGAAGGGCATTGAACAGGTTAAGCGTGCGTAAACATATCTGCTTTTCTTTATATTTGAAAGGGGTGACTGGGTTGTGTCCAAGGTCTATTTTTTTTTTTTTTTCGTTTGCCAAATTTCGGGATCCCTGAAAGCTTCAAGTCAAACTTTCGTAAATGCACGTCATTTTTCCGAACAAAGCTGGATTGTATTATATAATTGGGACAATCAACCCAACATCCAAACTGCGATCAAGCGTTCTCGCAGGCCACCCAACCACCAGCCCTCACCCTCAGGGAAAAGCGCCCTGGGAACGAGGTTGGCTCTCTACCCGTCGGGTGTCGCCTTTTCTCGATCTCTCTCGCGTTGGGAGTGATTTTCACGACCGCTCGCGTTTCGCTCGCTCTACTATCCCTGAGGAAAAATGAGGGACTACTCGTAGTCTAATTTGCGAAAGATGGCTGTTGTGCAAATAGCCTCTACGGGGAAGTATTAAATGTAATTCTACCATCGCTCAAGCAAAAACTTTAGTAAATGGACATCAAACACCTTTTATTCTTCAGTCATTAGTCCTGTCAGGAGTATCTCTACACATTTCAGCTTAAAATTAAAAGTAAAAACGTCACAAGGGTAGCCCCGCAAGGGTGGTGTAAGGGCAGTATTATTGCAGAGAAAATTTGATAATAATGGGGCAAAATATTCCTGTGCCTCTAATGGAAAGTCCTAAATATGTGAGATAAGCATAACCTTTTCCTCTTATGCAAGGAATTACATCCAGTGATATCACAAAGGGCTCAGGTTTTCCCGAAAAGTATGTATGATTTATAACCTATCCCCTCCCCAACAGATGCGAAACTGGGCCTGATTAAGTATACGCGTTGAGACCTGGCTAGAGTTCATTTAAAGGCGGAAGTGCTGTGCTGTTCATACGTGACTGATCCTTATTATAAGAGTTGCAGCAATTATATTCTATTGACTTACTTGCTTCAGTGAAGGTATGTTACAATTTACTTATGAATATATGCTAAGATCAGGCTATTGTATTAAGACAAAACAGAAGCCATGATGTTTAGATTCGCTCAAGTTTTAGTTCTCTGAGTGAATTTAATATGGAGGCATGAAACCATTAGGAAAGTCGGGAGTCTGCGGATGGAATCTATGATTTGACCATCCCAAAACAATCTCTTTCGCAGTATTTCGTTCTCTTATTACAGCATCATTTTAAAGAGGTTGAATTTTTCTGGGATTGATTTTCGTAGACGGTTGTTAAAGAATTATCATTCTTTGAACAAATACCGGAAAATTAAAAAAATTATGATAATGAATACCAAGTCAGCATCTCGACATCGTCCGGCATTTGGATCGTTTTATAATGGCTGTCAACTTCTGGTGAGGTTTCTGTGGACACTCAGGTGTATAGATATCTTAGTCCAACCGGATAGTTAACATATATATGACACAGACTGAATCTAAAGTTTTAAACTTGGATTTACTTTAAAGTACCCTGACGTTATTTGTTCTCAGGACGTCTTATAACCCTGTTTGCCCGGCAGGAAATATTTTCATGATCATGATTTGATGATAGAAAGTCTAGCTTCAAGTATTTAATAAATTCGTAGGTAATTTTGGCAACAGTAGAACATCTGAAACACAAACATGTCTTTTGCAGTAGTAATTTTGGAATGAAATTCGCTCAAATTTCCGCAAGCTTCAGCTATTTGCGGTCAAAATGGTTGCCCATAATAAGACCTCAAAAACACTCCAAGAATCGTATCGTGTATTATGTGTCATGTGAAGCTTGGATTGATGATTCATTGATAACGTCATTCCGTTGGGTCACAGGTTTATGACCGATGATCACTAAATATAATCTGTTGCTGAGACTCAGGTGGCTCCCCATTAAACCAAAATGAAAAAGCCCGCTCGATGCAAAATCTTCCGCACAGTTGAAATTTATTCTGTGGGATAGAGTGGCTATCCTCTTGAGTTGGTCCTGTTTGACTGGTCTATCCGGTTTAACCGGAACTTAGCCTTTCACTTTCACAATTGGGGTAATCTCTGACGTATAAATCTGTGATCTCTTTTTTTTTTTCTCAACAAAACTGTGTACTCCCTGTGTCAGTCGAATCACGTTTTTTTTGTATCTCGTTTCATTCTAGATGTATTGTTTCCGTCTGGGCTACGACCAATACCAATGATGAGTCTACTTGTAAAAAGAAAACGAATGCACTTGTCAAAAAAAATCTGAATCCCTTTCAAACTGGCGTGTCAGAATTTTAATGTGACTATAATAGCTTTCCTCTAAGACTCTTGCTGCGTGCGTTGCTTTCGCGGTTCACTTTGCTCAACTCTCGAAAAAGAGAGGTTGCTCGCAGGCTAGGTTTAAAGCTACCGGAAGCGGAGTCACATTTATTGTAGTTGTTGTTGTTGTTGTTGTTTTCTTTGCCCCCTAACATGGTTACCGTGACGTCACACGAAAATCCTTTTTTATGAAATCATTAGTGAAGTCTTGTGTGGTTAGCCTCCTTTACCTAGACCTCGTTCCCAGAATTCTCTCTCTCTGTGAGCTAGAGAACCCTGGGAACGAGTTTACTTTTACCTTCATGACAGTACCTTTTTAACAGGGTGTCGGCCAATGATCTTGACCTCGTTCCAAAGAAAACAGGGCACAGTAACTTGTTAAGCTCTGAGTGCATGAACGCCGTATGTACCATTAATCAGTGGGTCGAAATGGGGGATGGGACGGTAAAATGAATGTTGTTTGTACTATACCTGTAAAAAAAAATAAATAAATAAAATACAAAAAAAAAAAAAAAAAAAAAAGGAATGCCCAAAAATGTTAAATTGGGGTACAAAAAATCTCTGCCCTCCCTAGAACATAAAAAATCAAAACAATATGATACCCCATTCCCACTGAGATAGCATCCTTTCAATCAGTCAATTAATCTGGCCCGTAAAAGGAATCACTGATTTGCAGTGTTCTGGACGCAGGTCATGTTTCTTAGTCCTTTATGTTAGAATTTTCCTGTTACCCCAATGTACAGTAACATTGCTGCAATTATAAGGCCGGAATCTTATAAACGGCTCTTTGCTATTCATCCAGGCAATGGCGACATCTCAGGGACTCGAGTGTCCAGTCTGTTGCGAAAGTTTTGATGGCCAAGACGTCAGCCCTCGTATGCTGAGTTGTGGTCACAGCTTTTGCACGAGCTGCCTGGAGCGGTTACTCGCTACAGATGACAAAATTACCTGCCCAACCTGCAGAGTTGAAGTTAAAGTACCTCAAGCTGGAGTGGCGGGGCTGCCAAAGAATTGGGCATTGTTAAGCCTCATTGCACCTGATCATGAAGGTGTTGATGGTTTGCCAATTTGCGAATTTTGCGAAAATAAGCATCCTGCGAACTCTTATTGCTTGGACTGTGAAGAGGACATGTGCAAGAATGCTGCTCGATTTCACACTCGTAACAAGACCAGTCGTGACCATCGTATTGTCTCCTTGGAGCCGTCTCCTGTATCTGTAAAGTGTCCGAAACATGACGAGCAATTTCGTTTATTTGATGTCAAGCGTAATTGTATGATCTGTAGGAGCTGTTTTACCAGTTTTCGAGGTCGCCATGTTGAGTCTTTAGCGGAAGCCAGTTCAAAATGTAAAGAGAAATTTGAAGAACTTGCTACTAGAGCCAGATCTAGAGCTGAGGTAATCAAAGCCGCGGAACAAGGTGTAAAAGATGCGAGTCTTGATGTGAAAGCGTCTTGCGACGAACAGCGTGCTCGAATTGAAAGTGTATTCAAAAAGGTAAGTTTTGAACTCAATTTTTTTTTCGCTGAAACGATCTTAACTTCGGTTCATGAGATTTAAAAGAGGTCTTACTCTTGCCCTGGTCTTTAAAGAGGCATTTCCCAAAATCTGTGGTTTCCCCGGCAACGCTATCACGCTACCAGTTAGAATAGGATTTGATCCCCAGTGATTTCTAGAATATTATCATCTGTTTTATACTAATTGCCTTGCAGCTCCGTACTGCCATCACAACAAGAGAAAAACATTTGCTGAATGAGTTAGACCAAGTACACAATAGCAAGGCGCTTATCCTCACAGAGCAGCGGAGCCGTCTACGCGAATATCAAGAAAATATAGAAAGTACCGTCCAAGATGTTTTGTCGACCATCCAAACACTGGACAATGCCAATCTCCTGGACGCCAGCGCCAATTTAGAGTCCACGCTCGTTGCCATGGAAAAGCAATCCTTCATGCTTGAGCCTGAGGCACAATGTGTTCCGGAGTTTAACCTTAATCGTCGTAGATTGCAATACTTGCAAGACAGTGTCAATACTTTGGGCACAGTCAGCGATAAGTCGACCTGTGCCGAAACCACCACTGCTTGTGGCTCAGGACTGGAGCGCGCAAAACGAGGAGAGGAGGAATCTTTCACCATCAATGCTTTTGACGCTCAAGGTGTCCAACGTACCGTGGGTGGAGACGCTTTTGCAGTAGAGCTTAAAAGCGGATCAGGAGAGAAAATTAGAGTGAATGTTAGGGATGAAAGGAATGGTAGTTACGTAGTTACTTACACTATTCCTTCAGGTGCTAAACGAGTTAATTACACATTGAGCGTGCGTTTGCGAGGTGTTCACATTCAAGGTAGCCCTTTTGCTGTACATATAGCATCATCACTACGCGGCAAGACTTGCAAAGCGTTGTCGAATGTAGCTAGTAAACTCACTCAGCGTTGACTGAGCAATTTTTTACTATATTTTAACTACTGATCAATTGGTTTATGAAGTTAAATACCCAAAATATATCCAGATATTTCTTTTTTACTTGTATGCATTCCTCATACCATCAGATTGCCATCCAACTAAATTGCTTACTTAGTAATTAAAAGCTTTTTGATTTTCATATCAACAATTTGTATCTTTATCTCGGTGATGGTCATACCATACAAGCAGATCAGAGGCCCCTCAATCTTTCTACATAAGTCGGGAGGCCTGAAGAAGGTCACAGTTCTTTTTTTGGGCTTATCTAGGAAGATCAGTGATAAACAGTCTAGAAAATAATGTGTGACATGTAGTTTTAAGGTTATGCGAGGTTCTACGATACAGGTATTTCTAGTGATAAGGGATAAGGCAGCTACTGACTCGTTCCCAGGAAGCCGCATACATGAATCAACCTGTGTGAGTAAAGGTGACTGGAAACGAGGCAAATTTAAGACTGGTTAGTTCGCACTTTAAGTTCGCACTGTATTTGCAAGTGTGAGTTCAGTGTTGCTTCCGTTTTTTACTTTAATAGAAGCCTCGGCTCAGCCCTTTGCGTAAAGTTACATTTTAATACCTGCGTAAACAAGCAGTTATTCCCCACCCTTCTCTCCTCTGCAATAGAGAGGAAAAATGTGACGTCATATTACCATAGTAGCAAAATTTCTGGATCACAACAATAGGGAGACGACGCCGACGACGGCAAAGAGAACTGGAAAAAAGCAATAAGTTTATATTGCTTTGCACTCTGCACGTGCATCACGCTTTTTTGTACGTTTCTTAGCCGTCATTGCATGACTGCGACGTGAAACTTTCTCATTTCACGCGCCCGCTTTACTAAGTAGGTGAGCACAACGCAAAAATATTCTTTTTCTTTTTCTTAACTTAGATACGGTTCTTTCGGATTTAACCCCAGAAAATGTCGCCAACATTTGACAAATTAAATGAACTGGAATATTAAAGCTTGAAACAGTGCGAATTCACTTTATAAGTGATGTTTTCGGTTTGTTGTCATTCAGAAATTTTGCCATCATGGCAACGTGACGTAACGGCTTGCCCTCTCTACAGTATATTAAAAATACGGTTCCGCTTTTCCAGAAAACAAGGCGGAAGTACTTTCGCTAGAAAGATCGGAGTCAGAGACTATTATTTGTTTATTGAACCTTTTTACCTGACTTAAGGTACGTATAACTGAATTTATCAAAATTTTTCAAGGCAAACTTATTGTAAGGCAGCAAAATAGAGTAATTCGAGCTTATTCTAAATATTTTGCTGTCGCTCAAGTCAACGTTTAATAACTTCGTTTCGAAATCATTTTGAGTCTGTGCACGAAATCTGATCGTATTGCTTTATCATTTAAACTTACGTTTAAGTTTTTAAAGACGTCAAACGAATTAAGAATGCTTTGCTGTTCAGTTAGAGACATTATTTTACGCAAATAACATTCTTAACCTGGTTGGATCGGCTTGACAAGAGAAATTTCTTTAAGTAGTTATTTTATATTTATTATACCGCTCGACAACTGAATACAATGTTCAAAATACTCTGTGTTGGGTAGTCGAAATTTTCGTGAGTTACGTTTTCGTTGATTACCTCATGTAACCGTCGCTATTCCTTGTCTCCAAGGCCCAATCCCTTATCTTTCTTAGGATAATCTATCAAAAGACAATTTAATTGTCGGACACCAAGTATTTTGGAAATTCTGTCCGGCTGCCTTTTCAGTGCCGGTTAAAATGAAAACAAGAGATTATAAAAAAGTTAAAGTGTTTAAAAGGATTCAGTTTAACCAACACAGACCAAATTAGCTCAAATTGGGTAAGTAAACTGCACTGCGGAACTGCAGTGCAGCAGCGCTGTGTTGGCTTATAAATATTCTTTCATCGCTCAGTGTAAAGCACGTCAAAGCGAAAAGCCAATAAATAATATATGTATTGATGATCAGGTACTCCTTCGCTTCCAAACTAAATTAAAATGATAAAGTTCCGGATTATGAAACTGTTTAACAAATCCAATGGTGCCTAATTAACCAAATCTAACTTGCACTGAAACTGTAAAAACGCGGATTATGTCTAAACAGTTGCAGAATTAATTTCCAGATGAGGTGTATTAATGAATTACTGGTCCAGTCATTTGTGGAGAAAAGTAGGTTAACCCGAACATGCAAGTAATTGCAACAGAAGGTATTCCAATTGTTTTAAACACGGAAAATTAACCTTATCAACACATCAAAAGTCCCAAAACGTCCCAGTAGGGGAAGTTGCTAAGGGATTGATTGAGAGGTTCTGATACCCATTTTTAGTATATACTAAAACAGTGGATAGTGTTTTTCGCCCTTTCTGATTGGCTACTCAAAAGCAGGATATCCAGTGCTATTCAAAGTGCTATTCACTGATTCACCTCCAGTTCCTCCGAGTGAGTGACGCCAAACTGGCTTCCCCGCCGTGAAAGTCTCCTAGGACGACCGAAGAGATACAAATTTTATAGCGCCGCTTAGAATGTATTTCAAGAGATCTAAAAGTACTCTAGATAGCCTAAAAAGCGTTTTCAACGTATTTAGGATGCGAGAGCATCCGGTTTTTAAAAAACCGGGCTAACGTGCCCCTGATTAAATTTAGTTTTAAACTTATTTATGAACATGTCAGCTAAATAAAGTACTAGAAGAGTTAATTTGCACTTTGTAAACAAAAAACCTTTTCACTGGTTTCACAGATGAGTTCAAGTCCAAACAGACAAAGCTTTACCTGCTAAAACTTCCAACTAAATTCGGTCACCTTCTTCGTGTATTTCGGGAAGAGCTTGTTTGATTATTTGTGGAGTTTCTTTGTTTCTCGGCAGCAGACGGGGAAGCCATTTTGCTCGTAACCAACGCGAGTTTGGCGTCACTCGCTCGGAGGAGCTGGAGGTGAATCAGTGAATATTTAACAATTATTCCTTGAGCCCGAATGGGCTCTGAGTCAATAGCCCATGGGGCCGAAGGCAGATGTAGTATGTTCTTTTCTAGTTTTAAAACGGTTATAATTTATTCCTATGCCTACCCATAGTTAGTAAAAAAAAGACTGGTTATGAAAGGGGGCAAACGTCCCGGTGGGTTACTTGAATAACTGGGTTCTCGGAACACCTACCTCATTATAGTCTATTCTGTGGTCAATAGACCCCATCTTAGTCACCTTTAGGAAAACGTAATTTTCGCGATCACAGCTTAGTAGCTTTTTGTGTATGCATCTACCTTATATAGTCATCCTGAAATGAATTGACACAGTGGTTAAACTTAATGAACTGAAAATCTTCCTATTTTTTAAATCCGTACCCACCTAAATTTTATGATCCCCCAAATCCCGAAAATGTGCGATGACATTATAGTAACTCTAATGAATATTCAACCCTATTATAGTCAATGCGACCTCATCCATTTGCCTATTACTAGGGCGTACCTCCGGGGAAGGGGCAAAAAACAACGCTGCTGCAGGTTATGTTGGGGGCTGCCTGACAGTGCACAACCCTTTGTTTTCTGTTAACAAGTTGTGAAGAATAAATCAATACGACGTTTTTATGTGTCAAGATCAAAATAATAGCAATGCTGTTGAACGTAATGCACCTTAAAGTCTACAAGAATATTTAGCAAAGGAGTCTACTAGCAACTCTACTCTAATACTGCTTTGGCCTACCACTTCCTCGGGGTGGGGGGTAGTACTTCTGGGAATTCTTGGTGGGGTTGTGCCGCCCGATTCTCCAAATCCTTACCCCATTTCAGACCAAAAAAATGTTATTTTCCACACCCGTTTTCAGACCAGACCTCTAAAATCCATACCCATTTCCAGACCTGGCCTTTACGCAGAAATTATGTAATCATTTCTTTGATAAAGAGCGCAAACAAAAAAAAACATTTCTACAAATGCATTTTGAATTCGCATATTTCTACTTCTTTCTTATTCATTTGGAATTGAAACGATAAATACGTTCACACACTCCAGTAATTCCCTCAAAAACCATACCCGATTCTAGACCAAAATGGGCAAAGTGTATACCCGTTTCAGACCAAAAATAGAATTAAACTCCTAAAGGAGATCAGACCGATCTGGGCGTGGCTCAGGGCTTTATTTTACCCCTAAGGAGAGAATATGAGAGTATACCCCAGCAAAGTATGGCGGCATTTAGATGAACACCCTATCCTTCTGGCAATTTCTACCCGTAAGCGAGACGACGAGCATCTCCGTCGCTTCCATAAAGGAATACCCTTAGGTTAGTTAAAGTAATACCAGACGTTTACCGGGATCATGAAGCCTCCCTTCAATTCAGGATGTGTCTATGTGGTGTTTAGAATCGGCTATGTTACAAAAGTAGTATTTCTGATTACCCTGTTAATACTCGCAAATTTAGCCCCACGAAGGGCATTGAACAGGTTAAGCGTGGGTAATACATATCTGCTTTTCTTTATATTTGAAAGGGGTGACTGTGTGGTATTGTCCAAAGTCTATTTTTTTTTTCGTTTGCCAATTTGGCGATTCCTGAAAGCTTCAAGTCAAACTTTCGTAAATGCACGTCATTTTTCCGAACAAAGCTGGATTGTATCATCTAATAGGGACAATCGACCCAACATCCAACCTGTTATCAGCGTTCTCGCAAGGTTACCCAACCACCAGCCCTCACCCTCAGGGAAAAGCGTCCTGGGAACGAGGTTGACTCTGTACCCGACGGGTGTCGCCTTTTCTCGATCTCTCTCTCGTTGGGAGTGATTTTCACGCGCGCTCGCGTTTCGCTCGCTCTACTATCCCTGAGGAAAATGAGGGACTACTCGTAGTCTAATTTGCGAAAGATGGCTGTTGTGCAGATAGCCTCCACGCGGAAGTATCAAATGTAATTCTACCATCGCTCAAGCAAAAACTTAAGTAAATGGACATCAAACAACTTTTAGTATTCAGTCATTAGTCCTGTCAGGAGTATCTCTACACATTTCAGCTTAAAATTAAAAGTAAAAACGTCACAAGGGTGGCCCCGCAAGGGTGGTGTAAGGGCAGTATTATTGGAGAGGAAATTTGATAATAATGGGGCAAAATATTCCTGTGCCTCTAATGGAAAGTCCTAAATACGTGAGATGAGCATAACCTTTTCCTCTTATGCAAGGAAATCACATCCAGTGATATCACAATGGGCTCAGGTTTTCCCGAAAAGTATGTATGATCTATACCCCATCCCCTCCCCAACAGATGCGAAACTGGGTCTGATTAAGTATACGCGTTGAGACCTGACTAGAGTTCATTTAAAGGCGGAAGTGCTGTGCTGTTCATACGTAACTGATCCTTATTATAAGAGTTGCAGCAATTATATTCTATTGACTTACTTGCTTCACTGAAGGTATGTTACAGTTTACTTGTGAATATATGCTAAGATCAGGCTTATTGTTTTAAGACAAAACAGAGGCCATGATGTTTACATTCGTTCAAGTTTTAGTTCTCTGAGTGAATTTAATGTGGAGGCATGAAACCATTAGGAAAGTCGGGGGTCTGCGGAGGAAATTCTATGATTTGACCATTCCAAAACAATCTCCTTCACAGTATTTTGTTCTCTTACTAAAGTATCATTTTAAAGAGGTTGAATGTTTCTGGGATTGATTTTCGTAGACGGTTATTAAAGAGTTATCATTCTTTGAACACTGAAATACCGGAAAATTAAAAAAAATTATGACAATGAATACCAAGTCAGCATCTCGATATTTTCCGCGGCATTTAGATCGTTTCATAATGGCCGATAACTTCTGCTGAGGCTTCTGTGGACACGCAGGTGTATAGATATCTTACTCCAACCGGATAGTTAAACATATATTTGACACAGACTGAATCTAAAGTTTTAAACTTGGATTTATTTAAAAGTACCCTGACGTTATTTGTTCTCAGGAGGTCTTATAACCCTGTTTGCCCGGCAGGATATGTTTTCATGATCGTGATTTGATGATAGAGAGTCTAGCTTCAAGTATTTAATAAATTCGTGGGTAATTTTGGCAACAGTACAACATGTGAAACGCAAACATGTCTTTTGCAATAGTAATTTGGAATGAAATTCGCTCAAAATTCCGCAAGCTTGAGCTATTTGCGGTCAAAATGGTTGCCCATAATAAGACCTCAAAAACACTCCAAGAATGGTATCGTGTATTATGTGTCATGTGAAGCTTGGATTGATGACTCCTTGATAACGTCATTCCGTTGGGTCACAGGTTTATGACTCCTGATATAATCTGTTGCTGAGACTCAGCTGGCTCCCCATTAAACCAAAATGAAAAAAGCCCGCTCGATACAAAAGCTTCCGCACAGTTGAAATTTATTCTGTGGGATAGAGTGGCTATCCTCTTGAGTTGATCCTGTTTGACTGGTCTATCCGGTTTAACCGGAACTTAGCCTTTCACTTTCACAACTGCGGTAATCTCTGACGTATAAATCTGTGATCTCTCTCTCTTTTTTCCCCAACAAAACTGTGTACTCCGTGTGTCAGTCGAATCGTATTTTTTTCTCTTTTTTTAAATGTCGTTTCATTTTAGATGTATTGTTTCTCTCTGGGCTACGGCCAATGCCAGTGATGACTCTACTTGTAAAAAGAAAACGAATGCACTTGTCAAAAAAGTTTAAATCACTTTCAAACTGGCGTGTCAGAATTTAAATGTGACTGCAATAACTTTCTTCTAAGAGTCTTGCGGCTCGTTTTGCTTTCGCGGTTCATTTTGCTCATCTCTCGAAAAGGAGAGCTTGCTCGCAGGCTACTTTTAAAGGTACCGGAAGCGGTGTAATATTTATTGTTTTTGTTGTTGTTGTTGTTGTTTTCTTTGCCCCCTAACATGGTTACCATGACGTCACGCGAAAATCCTTTTTTATGAAATCATTAGAGACGTCATATGTGGATAGCCTTTTTTACCCCGACCTCGCTCTCCCTAGAACATAAAAAATCAATACAATATATGATACCCTATCCCCACTGAGATAGCATCCTTTCAATCAGTCAATTAATCTGGCCGGTAAAAGGAATCACTGATTTGCAGTGGTCTACACACAGGTCATGCTCCTTAATCCTTTATGTTAGAATTTTCCTGTTACCCCAATGTACAGTAACATTGCTGCAATTATAAGGCCGGAATCTTATAAATGACTCTTTGCTATTCATCCAGGCAATGGCGACATCTCAGGGACTCGAGTGTCCAGTCTGTTGCGAAAGTTTTGATGGCCAAGACTTCAGCCCTCGTATGCTGAGTTGTGGTCACAGCTTTTGCACGAGCTGCCTGGAGCGGTTACTCGCTACAGATGACAAAATTACCTGCCCAACCTGCAGAGTTGAAGTTAAAGTACCTCAAACTGGAGTGGCGGGGCTGCCAAAGAATTGGGCATTGTTAAGCCTCATTGCACCAGATCATGAAGGTGTTGATGGTTTGCCGATTTGCGAAGTTTGCGAAAATGAGCATCCTGCGAACTCTTATTGCTTGGACTGTGAAGAGGACATGTGCAAGAATGCTGCTCGATTTCACACTCGTAACAAGACCAGTCGTGACCATCGTATTGTCTCCTTAGAGCCGTCCGCTGTATCTGTAAAGTGTCCGAGACATGACGAGCAATTTCGTTTATTTGATGTCAAGCGTAATTGTATGATCTGTAGGAGCTGCTTTACCAGTTTCCGGGGTCGCCATGTTATGTCTCTGGCCGAAGCCGGTTCGAAACGTAAAGAGAAATTTGAAGAACTTGCCACCAAAGCCAGATCTAGGGCTGAGGTAATCAAAGCCGCGGAAGAAGGTGTAAGGGATGTGAGTCTTGATGTGAAAGAGTCTTGCGACGAACAGCGTGCTCGAATTAAAAGTGTATTCAAAGAGGTACGTCTTGAACTCTTTTTTTTTTTTTTTTTTCTGAACTGATCTTAACCTCGGTTCATGAGCTTTAAAAGAGGTCTTACTCTTTCCCCGGTCTCCAAAGAGTCATTCCCCAACATCTATGATTTCCCTGGCAATGTAGACCGTTCACAGTCCCCTATTTTTTCGTGAGATCGTTTAGATATACCGCGTCTTACCGTCACGGGTATCTTGATTTTCAAATGTACCGAGGGGGCGGGCGTCAGGTATTATGGCCGCCCGAAACGCAAAGCTCTCGATCTCGATGATCTTACGGAAAAATAGCGGACTGTGAACGGTCTACCGGCAATGCTATCACACAATCAGTTAGGATTTGTTCCCTAGATAGATTTCTAGAATATTATTATCTGTTTTATACTAATTGTCTTACAGCTTCGTACTGCCATCGAAACAAGAGAGAAAATTTTGCTGAATGAGTTGGAACAAGTACACAATAGCAAGACGCTTATCCTGACAGAGCAGCGGGACCGCCTACGCGAACATCAAGAAAATATAGAGAGTACCGTCCAAGATGTTTTGTCGAACATCCAAAAACTCGACAATGCCAATCTCCTTGACGCCAGCTCCAATTTAGAGTCCAGGCTCGTTGATGTGGAAAAACAATCCTTCATGCTTAAGCCAGAGGCACAATGTGTCCCGGAGTTTGCATTTGATCGCCAGAGATTTCTTTACTTACAGGAATCCGTCAATAAGTTGGGCACAGTCAGTGACAAGTCTACCTGTGCAGAAACCACCACTGCATCGGGCTCAGGACTGGAACGCGCAAAACGAGGAGAGGAGGAGTCTTTCACCATTACTGCTTTTGACGCTCAAAGGCTCCCACGTACCGTGGGTGGAGACGCTTTTGCAGTAGAGCTTAAAAGCGAATCAGGAGAGAAAATTAGAGTGAATGTGAGGGATGAAAGGAATGGTAGTTACGTAGCTACTTACACTATTCCTTCAGGTGCTAAACGAGTTGATTACACATTGAGCGTGCGTTTGCGAGGTGTTCACATTCAAGGCAGCCCTTTTGCTGTACATATAGCATCATCACTACGCGGCAAGACTTGCAAAGCGTTGTCGAACGTAGCTAGTAAACTCTCTCAGCGTTGAGGAATCTTTTAGCATATTTTTACCAGCTATCAATTGGTTTATGAACTTAAACACCCAAAATGTACTCAGATATTTATACAGCACATCAACCAACATCCGAAGTCTGGATGGTAATTCCAGAATAGCATTATATAACCTCAAAAAACTGGAAAATTACGACTCTTGCCGATCCTTTGTCTTTAGTAAAAGACTTCGTCAGGGCAACAGATATTTTTTACATGTATAGTCATATATATATTCATATACCATTGCCGTACAACTAGAGTGCCTCCTCTTTTTATATGTTAATCATAGAAAAGCATTTTGTTTTTCATAGTTAACAATATAAGGATTGTACCTTCATCTCGGTCCTACCCTGTGAGCAGAGGCCATTCGATTCTCCTAGATGGGTCGGGAAGAAGGGAGTCCTATCTTCTTTCCCAATAGAGCATCTAGGAATTAACTAAGGGCCTCGACTCATAGGGTATCTCCATCCATAAAAAAAGCAAAAAAGAGCTTAGCCATTATCCAGCCATCTTGAGTTCAGTCGTGCTTAGTCAATAACGCACTGCCATATATATGATTATACTAACAATGCAATTGGACGATAGTTCCAGGCTTCAGAGGTTATACATCGCTTTATTGCTACGGCTCTGTTTCGTATCATGGCCTAAAGGTGACCACACTCATCAGGCAATTTTAGCGAGTGACCGTTAATTTTACATGCTGACAATTTATACTGCGTTGCCAAATTATTGCTCCTGAAAAGTTGAACACTCTAGAAAAATTATTCTATACGATTATACCATATACATTCATCTAACCTCCTTTTACTTCAAAAGTAAAACAGTTCCAAGTCCCAGGCCGCGATTTATCTTAGCCGAATGAATGTGGAGATAGTGTTGGTAGTAACATTGTGGTTAGTAGGATTTTTTTACCCATCATAGACATTATACAGACTAAATTGTTTCAATTGGAAGGTTGGTATAGCTTGTTTAGCCTATAGTATAATTGCAGTCTAGCAATACTGTTTAAGCAATAGAACAATGAGTTCTGTCATCACTCAGTATAAGGCTAAAAGCCAATAACTAATATATGTATATTGATGATCAGTATTGTTCCACTTCCAAAGTCAATTATAAGAAATGGAATAAGTTCTAGCGGCGACTTAACCAAATCTAACTTGATTGTTCTGAAACTGCAATAACGAGCATAAATCAGTTGCTTTCAAGATAGGATGGCGGATTGGATGCTCTGGGTACACCATCCAACCACCCTTCCTCTCCTCCCTTAGGCTCGATTACCAGCCGCTGTTCGGGAAAATGAGCCCACACTCATCCCCCGATCAAAGACCGGACCCGGGAGACGGTGGAAATCGAGCCTACTCCTCCCTCCCATGTGAGAAATGAATTGGCCAGCCCCAGGCCTATTTGCGAGAGTAGACTTGCACCGGCCAAGGCACCGACTGAAAGGCGGAAGTGGTGTTGACAGTAAAATCGTGCTTGCATAAAGTGTCTTGACTCATCATATTGACTTATTTGTTTCTTTAAAGGTAAGTAAAGGTTTTATAAGATATAAATCTGAGCTATATCGAAAATAGACTTTCCAGAACTGAAGACAGTAGTCAAGCTACGCCATATCTATATATGCTATATTTCCGCCAGAGTGAAATTAGCAATCAGCGATTGATATATTTTAATACACTTTCACTTCCAGAGCTGAATATGGTACATATAATGTAGTTCTAAGTTTCAAATCAGTCCACGAAGACCCATGGTGTGTGCATTCAATTATATTTGAATTTCAGTCAGCATGTAATAAAGTGATATCGAACGGTTATTGCGCCTGCATATAAATAAGACGTAAGAAATTATTATTTTCTTGAATCCACCATGCATCTTGGGTTACTCTCGCGTAGATACGGTTAAAATTTAAACCATTGATTATAAAACGTCACCATTTCCCAGAAGATTTCAGTGGATCGCCTCATCTGTTTCGAGTCTGTTTTTAAATTGTGGATTACGCGTAGCGTAAGGAAGAAGTTATTCTGGGCACTGCGATATATGCAAATGTATCACGCAAGTGTGGACATTTTCGCAATTAGCCGGCTCCGCACGAAAGCGCCCGATATCAAAACGACAACTTTCGTAGATCGACCATTCCCGTTCCGCGGTCAAGAAGTGCTGAGCGTGCATTGTGCCCAAAGCTTTTGATGTTATGATTTTGTACCTTTCACAGGACGATAAGTTGTCAGTTCATGTGGAGTTTGCCTGACTTTGAACGTTTCAAATTAGCACTATGGCCAACTTTGAGACAGAAGTTTATAAACTTTTGAAGCTTTTTGACTCGTCCAGGCAATAAACACGGGGTGAACCTGACGGAAAGATCAGCAATTGCTCTTCGACTCCCAAGCTGGTCCAAGCTCACGATTTTTTATCTTTTCTCACGACAAGACTCCCCTCTCATGGTTTTTAGGGAAATATCATTCTGAAATGAAATGTTTCTTTGTTCAATAAAAATGGAAATGTTTAATGTTGCTGAATCGTAGTCGATTCTATATTAAAACGCCGTCAGCAAGAGACTTCGCGACGGATTTGCGAGACACTTGTCGGCGATATGTTCTTCAAATTTGACTAAATGAGTCAAAGTACGGCTTTGCAAGTTCATTATCAGCTTTCATTTCTAAAATAATTAACCCACAAGTTAGCCATAGGCACCCTTTGATTCTACTTCGTACCGTATCGTATACATCATTATTCTACTCAATTTCAGTAGTAAATTGATGTGTTTACACTTATAGCTCATAACTACACTTAGCACTAATAACACTTTTACACTTAGCAAATAACTATACCCCTTCGAGATACCCTGTTTCGCTTCAATGATAGTATACCGTAGAAATTCCGAAAATAAGCCCACGGGTTTATATTTTTTAAAGGCCCTTTTTAAGGGGCTTTTTTGGAGGGGCTTATATTCGAAGGGGCTTATATGTGCGAAGGGAATTTTGCGTTTCAAAATCGGCTAGGCTTATACGTGGAGGGAAATTTGCGTCTCAAAATCGATTGGCTAGCTTGTAGTTGGAAGGAAATGTATGTCATTAATTAGCACGACGTTTTTACTGAAACTCGCCATGAGGACGTAGATTGTTCTAAAACTAAGTCATGCAAGTACTTTGTCTATAGGGACCGAAAAATTCCAACCAAGAGTGAAGAGTTAACTACGCAAACAGCCGTATAATGTGACACTCAGTCTGACTGCAGTCATTTGGCATGAGTAATAGTTCTTTGGCAAATAAAAACAATTATGTGTTACTGTACCATTCTTGCTTTGTTTCATGTTGTATCTGAGGGCAATTTCCAGGTACAAGTCCCCGGGGGCTTATATCATGGAGGGTTTTTTTGCGTTACGACTTAAGGGGGCGGTGGCATATATTTGGAGGGGCTTATGCATGAATGGGCTTATTTTCGGAATTTTACGGTACTTCAACTGTGTGTAGGTTACAACACTGTCTGTATTTTCTATGCGACATGCTTGCAATCCACCCGTTTTAATAGACTTTAAAAGAAGTTTTCTGCTGGAAATCGCGTGCGTTTAAATCCAAAAATAAAGTGTGGATTAGGTTACCCTGAACCCAGTTTCTGAACCTGTTGAGCCAACCTGTGGATGAATTTGTTTTCTTTAGACTCAGTTATTTTGATTATAGTGACTTGCAATTGTTTGCCATTTTCATGATTTGAGATCGATTCTTCGGAGACATATCTCATGAAAAGGGCTGAAAAAACCGTTTCGGAGCCTCTAAATGTGAACCTTTTTTGAGGTAGGATACCCCCAGACCCCCTCACAAGGCTCTTGCCTTCGGCACTCGCGATAATGCCCCCCACCCCCGGTTACAAAAACCTAGCTACGGCCCTGGAACTTTACCCTTTGTGTATATTATTCAGTTTCTAAGTGATTCCTTTTTTCCTTTCAGACCACAATGGCATCCGCTGAAGTACCCGAATGTCCTATCTGTCGTGAGCTTTATGATCATCAAGATCTTTGTCCTCGGCTTCTCATTTGCGGTCACACCTTCTGTACAAGCTGCCTAGAGAAGTTAGTCAAGAATAATTCCATTTCTTGCCCAGACTGCAGAAAAAAAACGTCTGTTCCCACTGGTGTCGCAGGACTGACAAAAAATTATGCATTATTGAAAATTGGTAACACCACACCTCAAGACGTAGAAGGTTTGCATAACTGCGAAGAGTGTGAAACCAAGCACCCTGCAACCTCTTGGTGCCTGGATTGCGATTACGATATGTGCAAAACTGCAGCTCACTTTCACACTCGTAACAAAGCGAGTCGTGACCACAAAATTGTTTCCTTGGAGCAATTGGCTGTGTCCGTTTTCTGCTCTGAACATAAAGAACAATTCCGCTTGTTCGATGCAGAATGCAATCACATGGTCTGTAAGAACTGTGTTACTCTGACGCATAAGAACCACAGGCTTCTATCTTTAGCTGACGTTGGTTCAAAGTATAAACAGGAGATGGAAACGCTCGCATCCCAAGCAAGTGCTCGAGCAGAGGTGATTAAAGATGCAGAAACTCGGGTGATAAATGCAAGTCTTAACATGAAAAAAGCGTACGATGAACAGCGGGCCAAAATTCAAAGCGTATTTAAAACAGTGAGTTTGTCTTTGTTTCATGTGAATTAAGGTGACTCGACCCAGTTTTTTTGGGGGGGTACCATCCTACTTTGAAGCTCTCTGGTATCCCCACCTTTACTTTTATCGTAAGTCTAACACATAGAATAGATAACATACAGATCAATCTACAATATAACATAAAATTTTTGGCGATCGGAGTAAATGTCACGTGGTTATAATGCCACGCCCCTTTGAGGTCTGAGTCGAAAATCTGCTGTTACCGGCATTTTTTCGTGAAAATCTCTCTGCTACACATAGTGCGCATTAGTGCCTTGCGCTGAACAGAGTTTCACCAAAATCGCAAAGACCCAATTCGAGAAATTCAGCGGTTTCCAAATTTAGATCATAATTAATGCGAAAATGGTAAGCAAACTTTACACGGATTATATCTTATAAACTATGAGACTCATCTCTTTATTTTGGGCATCCTTATAACAGATGGGTCCTTGCAAGTCAGCAAAACGCTTTAGGGCCTTGTAAATGCGCGCGATTTCGAGCAAAGCAAACATATAGAAATTATAGTTTTCGCTATTTGTTGACGTTTGTCAGCGTTTAAGAGTCCTTCTCACGAAAAAAGCATTTTCTTGAAAATTCGTAGTTTTTTTTCCTTCAAAGTTTTTCAGGGCCACAATTGATTAACTAACTACCCGGACTCTGAATTTCATGGTCATTGAAAAACTGTGACATTATCTTCTGTAAGCCCAAACTTGAGTAAACATTGAAGATTTTTAGCGTTTTGGCTGAGTTTGTGCTTTGGGAGTTGTCTATTGTTTCTAGTCTGTCATGATACAGCATTCTTGTTCAGCACGCGTGCAATGACCACGCTTGGCTGACTTCCGAATGCTCACCGAGATACTACCGTCACGAGTTGGTTTAATTATTGGCTTGCATTAAACCTATGAAAAAATGATATTTTTTTAATAGTAAGTAGATTTAGTGTGTAGCACTTCTTGAATTTTTTGCAAAGGCACAAGAAGCACGACAATTGATTAAAAAATGTGAGTTAAACCTCTATGTATCACACGGTGGCCTGTCTCACTGTACCAAAATTATTATATCTCGGTGAGCATTCGGAAGTCAGCCAAGCGTGGTCATTGCACGCGTGCTGAACAAGAATGCTGTATCATGACAGACTAGAAACAATAGACAACTCCCAAAGCACAAACTCAGCCAAAACGCTAAAAATCTTCAATGTTTACTCAAGTTTGGGCTTATAGAAGATAATGTCACAGTTTTTCAATGACCATGAAATTCAGAGTCCGGGTAGTTAGTTAATCAATTGTGGCCCTGAAAAACTTTGAAGGAAAAAAAACTACGAATTTTCAAGAAAATGCTTTTTTCGTGAGAAGGACTCTTAAACGCTGACAAACGTCAACAAATAGCGAAAACTATAATTTCTATATGTTTGCTTTGCTCGAAATCGCGCGCATTTACAAGGCCCTAAAGCGTTTTGCTGACTTGCAAGGACCCATCTGTTATAAGGATGCCCAAAATAAAGAGATGAGTCTCATAGTTTATAAGATATAATCCGTGTAAAGTTTGCTTACCATTTTCGCATAAATTATGACCTAAATTTGGAAACCGCTGAATTTCTCGAATTGGGTCTTTGCGATTTTGGTGAAACTCTGTTCAGCGCAAGGCACTAATGCGCACTATGTGTAGCAGAGAGATTTTCACGAAAAAATGCCGGTAACAGCAGATTTTCGACTCAGACCTCAAAGGGGCGTGGCATTATAACCACGTGACATTTACTCCGATCGCCAAAAATTTTATGTTATATTGTAGATTGATCTATATGTTATCCATTCTATGTGTTAGACTTACGATAAAAGTAAAGGTGGGGATACCAGAGAGCTTCAAAGTAGGATGGTACCCCCCCAAAAAAACTGGGTCGAGTCACCTTAAATTAAACTCATTTGATATGGCGGTAACTAGACCTTGGCTTCAAGAATCTCGGAAAGCAGCACAAAGTCTGGTTACTCCCCAACCTAGCTGTTTATCTGCTCGCCCAGGGTTCTATCTAGGGTATTTGAGGGGTAGAAGCTTCCCCCCCCCCCAAAAAAAAATATTGTTATCATTACAGTATTTTTAAATTACTAAAAGTAACTATATCGGAAAAATCATCCAGATGCGACGAGGTCAGTGCACATGAAACAAGTATTCCCTGTCTAAGGACGTTATATGACAAGGGACATGGATCACGAGTATTACAAGTGTCGTCGTTAAGTTTATTTATTTTATTCACGTACTAACAAGTCAACGAGCATGTATAAATATTTGTGCAATTAGACATGTCGGGTAACTCTTCTGTTCACGTTAGCAAATATCGGAGCTAAATGTGTAGTGTCAGAACGTGATCTCGACCAAAAAGTAGAATAAAATACCACCGTAACATTTCTCAAAATTGTCTCAAATGCACCAGATTGCATCTCAGCGCCTATTCATTTCAAAAAATTATCAAGGGGGAATGTCCCCGGAACCCCCAAGGAAGCTCGTGCCCTTCGGCTACTCGGGAATTCTCCCCCAAACGATAAATCCTAGATAGAACCCTGCCGCCTAAGTACTGATCGTTTCTTAGTAACTCCTGAAATGATCTACTTTTTTGCTGTTGTTTGTTTATTTCTTTGTTTTTATTATGCCATAGCTTCATGACGCAATCACAACCAGAGAGCAAGATTTGATGAATGAGTTGGAGACACTACACAGGGAAAAGGCAGCCATACTCACAAAGCAACGAGCCCGCTTGGCTAATTGTCAAGACTGCATAAAGGCTACCGTCCAAAGCGTTTTATCGACGATCCAATCCTCTGATAACGCTAATATCCTTTACGTCAGATCCGCTGTAGAGTCTACACTCGAAGCCGCCACCGAAAACCAATACCTATTGCTTGAGCCAGAAGCCCAGTTTGTACCAGAGTTTACCCGCTGTGATGAAAGGAAGTTACAGCGAGTGGTAGTTGCACTCAGTAATGTGGGTGTGGTCGTGGACAAGTCCACGTGTGCAGAAACAACTACAGCTGCTGGTTCGGGTCTTGAACACGCAAATCCGGGGGAGGTGGCGTCTTTCACTATCACTGCTCGTGACGCTAAAAATCGCGCGCGCGATCTTGGTGGCGACACTTTTGAAGTTCAGCTCAAAAACGAATTAGAAGATAAAGTTAGCGCGGATGTTCAGGACAAAGGAGATGGAAATTACCTGGTAACTTACACTATCCCTAGAGGTGCTAAGCGGGTTGATTACGAATTGAGCGTACTCTTACGGGGTGCTCCCATTCAAGGAAGCCCTTTTACCGTACACATGGCATCGTCACTACGCCGCAAGACTTACAAAGTGTTGTCCGATGTAGCCAGTAAAATAACTCAACATTAGTTAGAGCATTCGACTTCTGTGCGTCAATTCAGGTTGTTTTACGACAGCTTGATTTTCCAAGTCCCAATTTTTGCCTTGGAAATAAGAAACTTTCCCTTTTTTTCATATTACTGGAATACTGCTGATAGGGACTTTTTTCTTCGATTTTGCTCTAGGATTCCTGGTTAAAAAGTACAAACGACTGTATCATACAAATTTTGAGCTTGTATTGTTTCCACATTACAATAGACAAAGAAAACTTTTGTTACAATGAGAATCTTCTTCGTTTAGAATATCATCTGTGAGTTGTTGCATTCATACTCTTCTCCCTTCCTTTCATTCACGGGTGATACAACAGAAATAAAAGTCTGCGTGCTGGCTATCTCATCTGTATTTTTCTCAAAAAGAAAAAGAACTCAATGTGTACCTTAAACAATAAAAAAAGTACTCAATCTCCACTTTTCAAAAAGGAGAAAAATTCAGTCTGTACTTTTCAAAATATAAAAAGAAGTAGTCAATCGGTACTTTTCAAAAAAAAAAAAAAAAACTCGGTTAAGACGAACCTCGGGTAGCCAGTGATCATGACCACCCTATACTCTATTTAGTCCTTCGGGCAATGTGCACGGTGTATTAATGTTAGTCACCCCGTTCCTGTTTCTCACTTTTTTTTCTTCCCCTTTGCTTAAAGTTCACACTTATTCCTCAATCGAGAAAGAATATGGTCAAAACACTCATAACAGCGTTATTTTTTGCGTTAAAGTTATGTTAGCATATAGCATCGCCTTTTTTGACAACGTAGTTTTAAAGATGCTGTAGGAAAAACTGTTTGAATGCAGAGGTCCACGCAGCGCATAAATATAACTGACTGGTTAAAAAAAATAATGAAAAAATGAACGGTGACAACGTTCCTCACTTGCAGCCAACGACTGAATTGCGTAGGAACCAGAGAAGTGAGATCGGACGTCAGCATGTAAATAAAGGCGCACTGTTGCAGCCACTTCAGTCCATGTTTTGATCACACCTCGCCCACCCAGACCAATGACGGCACAAGTCAGATAGACCATGACATCGGGGACTATGTCCTCTACTCTTTTCGAACAATGTCACGGGCTCTGTCTCGTCCCCTTCCAACTGGAGTACAAGGATGAAGGAGACAAGGTCAATGGCTTAAAGTCACCGCCCTCTTGCAAGATCTCTAATTAAAGAGATGCTGTAGCCAGACGTCACGTAAAGAGTAAAATAAAACAAAACTGGACATTGAACTGTTTCTATTTCTATTTTCATTGTATAATCATTTACGTATATATTATTCTATCTAGTATTAATAATTGTAGTTAATTATTAACCACTTATGTGAGTTTTGAATTGATATTTTAGGAGCCGTTAAAAGATATTTTCTCTCGGTATAGCTCTGGCCTTGAGAAGGCTAATTTTGTTAGCCCGAAATATTGGCCTTTAATAAATCAGCCCTTTGCCGTAGTGCCAGCCCTGTATTCAGTTTTGAGTTAAAGATGCTGTGATGGTGAGACCTTGCTGGCTATGCCATGCTGATGAGTTCTAACAAGGACGAACCAGCTGTCCATGGCTGCCACTACCGCGGGGTGATATGGCTGTGCACTTGCGTAGGGTACTGGTCATACCGCGGAGTTGATATTCAGTGCATATTTTGGTCTTAGTAAATGACTCGTACCCAGGGACTGCGCACACTAATAACCGCGCGCAAGGAAGGTGACTGAGGACGAGGCACCTATGGTTGAATATTTCCAAAGAACCTGTTGTTGAGGCCTCGAATGTAATAAATGACCCTAAATGTAATAAAGGTCCTAAGTGTAATAACTTTTGGCCCCAAATGTAATAAAGGTCCTAAATGTAATAACTTTTGGCCCTAAATGTAATAAAGCGTCTCATAATGTTATATGTGTAATAGGTTTTAGCCCTAGATGTAATGGAAGTCTTAACAGTATACTGCATGTATGTAGTATAACAACCCCAAACTTGATAAAGTCCCTGACTGAAACATGCGACGGTCTGATGCGATATTAATTTTATAGCCACCTGGCGATTCCCAGGGCGATTCACTTTCTTCGCCCTAATGAAGTCTTCATAGATATTCATAAACTTAGAAAGCGGCTAGAGCGCTCAAGAAGTAGGAGAAACACTTATAAATTAACTACGTCTCGATCGCGTTTCCTACTACATGATCCCTACATCGTAAAACGCGAGTTATAAACAACTGGAATCTACACAAAAGTTTTCAAAAGACAGTAGTAATTTAGTAATTGAAGGAAGTATTAATGTGCATTAGAAACAGTCGTAGTAAATTAACTACTTTTGCCTATGGGTTTTTTTAATGTTGCGCCAAAAAAAGAAATGTTTTTTTTTAAATCATTTTCCAAAAGAGTATGTCGGTCGGTCCATACAGAATGCTGTGAACACGAAGTTATATATAAACAGCAAGATATTGAGGGCAGTATATCTTGATAGTTTTTCGGACTTCCTGACTTTGATTTTAATTTCTACCAGGAGTACTTCTTGAAGTGAATTTTTATGCTAACTTTTTTTTCCAGGATTTCACCACATGAATAATAATAAGTTGTTACTCAAATGGCTATATAGGGGATCTGCCTGGTGTATTTAGTGATTCTTCCCTAGACACATTCATGCGCTCAGTTAACCTGTAATAAGGCTGAAAGCCAACACTATGAAATCTTCTTATGACCATAAGCATAATAAGAGCTGAAAGAATTACGCTTAGGACCCGTTATTACATTTAGGGCCAAAAGTTATTACATTTAGGACCTTTATTACATTTGGGGCCAAAAGTTATTACAATTAGGACCTTTATTACATTTGGGGCCAAAAGTTATTACAATTAGGACCTTTATTACATTTAGGGTCATTTATTACATTTGAGGCCTCAACACTGTTGGCTAAATTCGATTTTCTCTCTGTTTTTACCAGTGTGAGCTCGGCGCTGCTTCTGCTGCTGTTTAACTCCAAACGAAGCCTCAGGTCAATTTTCGTGGAAAGTTGTAGTATAGAGCGTTTTCACTCACGTGGCCAGCGTCTGTGCAAATTTATTTTAACAAAAGAAAGCGTTTACATAAGAAAAGAGTTTAACTCCCACAGGACTGGTTTGGGACACCAACATGGCCACCGTTTCATTGTTTTGCGACACCAATATGGCCGCCGTGACGTCATGTGAAAACACTCTATATGCTTCACGTTCAAGCACCCTCCCTCCCCTCCCCTGCAAAAGTAAAAGGGTTTGTCACACGCAGGCTACCTACGTCCCGACAACAACGCCCAACTTCCGCCAGAAGGTTTTGGTACTCATTCTATCGAACCTTTTGCCTCACTTAAGGTACGTACAACTTCTTTAATTAATATATTGCAAGGCAAAGCTTGTTGTCAGAAGGCGGTAGAATAGACTAATTCAAGCGTATTCTGCATGATACCGTTTTATAACCCTTTCACTCGCAAAGTCACATTCGTTTTGGCATCAGTTTGAGTCTTGATGACATTTTATCGCTTTTTATACCATTTAATGCTGTGGTTATATGACCGTCTGCCGGTCGGAGTTTCCTAAACACTTAATGGCTGTAACCTGATATGAACATCTATAGGATATTGCTTATCTACTAGTTCGCTTTATCTACCCGCAGATGCAAGTCTAGATATTGGAATGTAAGACATTTTTTAGTGATTAGAAAACCTTGACGGGTTGTCGGTCGCTTAGGCTCTTTGTAAATTTAAGCTTTAGTGAGTACTGTACTTTGTTTTCAATTCGAGGCTGCACTTCACTAGTTTAAAGCATTCTATATATTGTTGGATTGACTTCAGTGACGACACGGAAAAGTTTTCGGTTCAGTTATTTTATCAATAACAACGAGAGATTAATTTTAAGTCAAAGTTCTTCCAGTCGCATTGACTGTACTGAACACCTCAGACTTAATGTATCAGTCTTTCTACTATTTATAACGATTTCATTTAGAGTTTCAAGTTAATAGCAAACGTAAGTGTGAAGGCAGTGAAGGTCTAAGCTCAAGTCACTTTACTTTGCATTTCAATTAAGTCGAAAGTTGAAGCGATTCAAGAAAGTTTTGAGCGACGTGCATTCTTTCAACCGACATAGCCGACGACATTAATTAACTTCGTGGGAAAACGTTACATTCAAGCTAAAGCTTTACCCCTCTCCCAATCCGAAGTTAAATGGTCGCAGCCCAGGCCTATTTGCAAACATATCACAGACATTGCTATCTTTGCCCACTGGGTGTTACTAAACAGAGTAACGAGTAACGAGTCACGAGTGACGGAGTAACGAGAAAACGAGTAAGGGTATAACAATTCAAGAGGAAAAAATAAATAAATGAATCCTAATGAAAGAAAAACCTAAAAATGGTTGTAATATCCTAATAATGACCTTTACCAATCTCGAAAAATGTGTGTATTTCAAAAAGTGCTTAAAACAAAGACGTCAACCCCCCCCCCCCCCAACCCTTCTAACCACCCGAAAGGGGTGTCGGTTTGGTCCCCTGAGCCCCCGGAGATCGAACCCATCACCTCATGCTCAACAGCCCATCGCTCTAAGCTTGCCAACGTGATTACTTTGTTAACCTGACTGTGAGGTTGGGCCCTTTTAAAAACTTTGAACTTTTCATGTACCTGGCCTGAATTTCATCCGATTACTTCGAGTCGTTATTACTCCCCCAGTACTGAGGGAGTAATAACGACTCGAAGTAATCGGATGAAATTCAGGCTATTCATGTACCGAACTTATTACTCATTTGGGTCGACCCCACGACGATGACTGCGAGCAGTCTCTCTCACTCTGTTTTTTTTTTCAGATTTAATAATAAGGGCAGTGCATGCGCGCGCGAGCGTCTCTTCCGTCTCGCGTCTTTCATCAGGCACGTGGTCATTTTCGTGTCTGGCGCGTTGAGTTCGACAGACTACGAAAAAAAGAGAGATGTTCATAGCCTAAAAATTCGACTGTTGACTCAAACGCTTTCTAATCAAAATAAATTATAGTAGCTTTTGCATTAAGATTCGGCACATAAAAAAGTTCGACATTTGAAACGAGGTCGCTCTACAGTTCGACAGAGTCGAAATTCATGTGGACCACTCGAACTTAATGTACATCGATTTAGTCTTTTCACGTACTAACTGAAAGAATTAGATTCGGGTACATGAAAAGTTCTACGTCTGAGCCGGGCCTTACTCTCAACATGTCTTCTTCTTCCTTTTTTCAGACAATGGCGTCTCCTAAAGTACTTGAGTGTCTAGTTTGTTGTGAGACTTATGATGATCAAAACCTTTGCCCTCGTATGCTGACTTGTGGTCACAGTTTTTGTACGAGCTGCCTACAGCGGTTACTCACTGTAGATGATAAAATTCCCTGCCCCACTTGCAGAGTTGAAGTTAACGTATCTCAAGATGGAGTCGTAGGGTTACCAAAGAATTTTGCATTGTTAAGCATCTTCGATATCAAACCTCAACAACAAGAAGGTGAAAGTTTATTCGATTGCGAGGTTTGTGATGATAAGCATCCGGCAATCGTCTGGTGCTTTAACTGCGACGAAGATATGTGTAAGGATGCA